TTTGCGATACCTTGAATTAGGCTATTATGAGTATTTAGCTGATGACTTGCTCTATGACTTTACGTGCTTGTTTAAGATTAATCCTACCATCCGTATTTATTTAGGGAAAGAAGCTTCTCGTGCAAAGAATAAGATGCTAGACAGGATTCGAGAGGTAGGCTTGTTGATTGATTACTATGGTTAGCGGCCCTGCATTATTGTTTCTTTGTATTTATACATGTATTCCTATGAATCAATTTTAAATGTTTACTTCAGGCAGAGTAAAACACTGTAGTTTCTTAGGACCAGACACTCCTCTTTGACCCGTATATTGCAGACCGAGCCATAGAGCTTTGATAAACTATCTCTCTTTTAGCAAAAGAAGACCGACAAAGCCATACGCATCGTGACCGACTATCAGTACCCAGCAAACTGGTGGGTACTCTAGCACTGCTCCCTGCATATTAAAGATGTCGCGTGTATACCTTATTCACCGTGGGGTCAATTTGGTTCAACAGCGTCACATTCAACACGAACTCCTTTTAGTTACCCAGTGTTACCCGAAGCATATCCAGAGTTCTGGAAACACAGAGACTGCATATACTACGTTACGTGCTTCTGGCACTTCTCTGCATTCTTTTGATGTCACAGACAAAAAGACGCGACTTGATGGAATTTTTCTACAGAATTTGAAACAATTTAAATCAAACGCGTCCCCAGTTATTGATTCGAAACACAAACCTCCCTGAATGGAATTCAAACCCAATTCAAATGATTTGGATCTTACAATTTCCACCTGAAATTATTCAGCTTATATTTGATGGTATCCCTCTCCCATATTTACGTGAGTACCTCCACATTGATCAAATTGGAAATTATGCGTTCAATTCATATTACGCCAATATCCTGATTTGTGACTTCCGTCAAGTACGCAATGGATGGTGCGAATTAACCAAATCCCCAGAGCTTCTTGGGGAGACAGATGTGTTTCCGAGAACATATAGTTCCAAGCAGGTCTATGGTAGTCTAACTTATCCTACTTCTTCCGATTTTTATCGTCCGCCGTCACAATGGAAAGCACCCGTGGTATACTTCATGAACTTGGAAGAATTTCTCGATTTTAGTGAAGAAAATGATTGGTTTTCTCCAAAATGTTTAGAGTTCTCAAGACCAAGAGATTTCGCACATTTCTACTTAGAGAATAACGACAAGGTTTCTAAGATAGAGCGGATCCATATATATCCGGAAGTCTATTTCAGTGACGATCATTCAGAGATGATACAGGAGATACAGGACTGCCGGAATATGATAGAGGACGAAGAAATTCCGAACGTAAGCCACAGTTGTATGGTTGTCGATAGTGCTACTTTAGATTTGCAATTGTTTCCGACTTGTTTGGATTATCTTGAAGTAATACAATGTCAGATGGGCCAATTTAAATTTGCTTTTGCTAATGTTTCGGTAACACATCTTGGACTTAGTGATGTTCGGATAACACCTGAGGATATGGAATTTCTCCCTACTAGCGTAAAGTATTTGACGTTAACAAATTCATTGCGTCTAGATGAAGAAGAGGACGTTTTAGTTGTAAAATCTCCTCCTAATTTGATCCAATTGGTAATCGCCAAGTTTAGAGAAGACACAATTGTTTGCGAAGTCGATTTGCTGGCTTTAACTAAACTTCGATATGTCCAAATGCATGAATTGCACTGCGCGGATTTAGAAGATTTGAAGTTGCCGAATTCAATTGAGATACTAAAGCTAGGAGCACCTGAGTTAGAAAGTTTGGAAGGAATCGAAATGTATACGAATCTACGCAGCATTTATTTTCAAACCAGTTACTTGATGAATACAAACCATCCATTGTGGATGCCCCCCAGCAAATTCCCTCCAAATGCAGGGTGGGCTAACCATACGGTCTTGTGTGATGGTTATTCGTGCGCGGAACTTGTTTGTTCATCACAATTCCCGAAAGAACAGATTACCAGCGTTCAAATTTTGACGGAGTGGGATATTAGTATTAGAGATGACTTATCACATTTATCCTTTTTCGATTACCCTAATTTAACTGTGTTGGATTTAGCGGGCACTCAAATTCCGAACGTTAATTCATGGGTATTTCCAGAAACATTGATTATGTTGAATTTATCAAGATGCAACATTCTGAAATTCACTAATCATAATTTCAGTTCATTAGCTGGTTTGAGGAGGTTGCACATGCTGGAAAATAATCTTGAGAGTCTAAACGGTGTTACCGAATCCCTTCCTTTGAGTTTGAAAGAACTTGACTTGCTGTATAACAAAATTAACAAATTTCAAGGTTCTCATTTATCACTACTCTCTCTTGATTTATCAGACAACCCATTGCATACTATAGTTACAGAAGAGAACCTCAGCCTACCAGATTCTTGTGAGATATTGAAATTGGAATCAACACCAATAAGAGCGTTTGATGAAACCTTTCTGTTCCCAAAAAATTTGAAGGAATTATCACTCAAAGCTCGATACGGCATATTTGACGGCCTGTTCTCCGAAGATGTTTCAGACGAGGAAAGCATGTTCAACAATGCATCTCTTTTCGTTAAACTTCCACAGGGAATGCATTCACTTCATTTAGACTTTTATGGAGAAAGTTCCGAAAGTTCCTTCGATTTTCCAACTGGTTTGCGGCAATTAGCTATAAAAAATGCACCATCTAATTTGGTATTAGATAAACTTACATTTTTGGAAGAATTGCATCTCCAAGGAGATGTAGAGATATCAATCGACTTGTTCCCAGTAAGTTTGAGGAAGATTCGTATGGAAGTGGACACTGTCACAGGGTCATTAGATCGCTTAGTAAATTTGGAGAGAATTATGTTGGAGGCTGAATGTTGGGATCTGGAAGAAACAATCATCGTTCCAGAGCCAGTTAGATATATTTCGATCCCAAATGGCGCTATTGCCGAGAGATTAGATTATAGCAAATGCGGAGATCTACTGTACCTAGAATTGGGCGATTATGAGTCTTTGTCTGTTGAGTTGCTCTTCCACTTTGTATCCTTGCTTAAGATTAATCCCTACATTCGTATTTATTTAGGGAGAGAAATTACTGGTTCATGTTACGAATTACTAGACGAATTTCGAACCTTGGGCGGGTTGATTGAGTTTTGTGGTTAGCAGCCTCATCTTATTGTATAGTTTTCTTGTTTTTTTGCAATATATTTGTATGATCTTATCTTACTAGCTTGGGGCATAATAGAAATCCCTATTTGCACCTGCCTTTGGCCAATGTTAAACAAAATAACAAGCAATGGACCTTCCACTATTCAGGGTTTGTATCTTCCACCGTATCTCTCTTGGACAGGTCCCTATACAAGACGAGGAGATGGCAGTCATTGGACAAGAGTGAACAGTGTAAACTACGTGACAATAATATTGGTTCAATAACAGGAGCTCATTCTCTAAACTAACTGATAGAAAGGTAATTTCCTCTACATTCCACAGGAGAACAAGCTATACTTTTCATTACATAATGTTAAAGTAAAAAAGATGGTTTGATGCCAACTTAAAACAAACACGAGGACACTGTAATGTACAACTGAAAAAAACAATCCCCCCTGAATAAACTTCAAAACCAATTCAAATGCTTTGGATTCTACAATTGCCACCTGAGATTATCCAACTTATATTTGATGCCGTTCCTCTCCCGTATCTACAGGAATACATTAACATAGATCAAATTAGCCAGTATGCATTCAATTCTTACTATTCAAATATCACGATTGTTGATTTCCACGATGTAGGTGAAAGATGGAGTGACTTAGAGAAGCCCAAACCACTCCTTGGGGAAACAGATGTATTTCCAACAACGTATAATTCCAAAAATATCTACGGTAGTTTAAATTATCCTGGCGATACAATATTTCTTGAAAGGCGTGGCAGTGCTCCATCGGTATACTTTTTGAATGTGGATGACTTCATTGATTTCGGTAGAGAACATCCTAGTTTTTCTCCACTGAATGTAATATTTATAAGACCTAGAGATGTTCTCAGGCTTTGCCGATGTTCTGAAATGGTTCCCAGAATACGTAAGATATATTTGTTTACCGAATTGATTTTTAGGGGCGATTACGAAGGAGAATTACAGGATTGCCAGTCCGTGATTGGCCAAGGAATTCCAAACATAAACTACGGTTATCTCTTTGCAGAAGCAAGCTCTTTGAATTTACAAACCTATCCACATCATTTGGATTATCTTCAATTGGACAACTGTCAGATACGGGATTTTGAGGGTACTTTTGTTGGGTTTTCAATTACACATCTTATATTTGATCGGGTTGAGATGGAATTTAATGATATAGCATCTATCCCAATGAATGTAAAATATTTATCATTGAAGAGATCACTAGGTCTGGATAGTGGTATCTTGGATATAAGATACCCTCCTAATTTGATCCAATTAATCATTAATGAGTTTAGAGGCGATGGTCAAATTATTAACGTTAATCTCCTGACCCTAACAAAACTTCGTTATTTACAAATTATGCCGGTGCAGGTCATGTCGCTTTCAGACTTAGAATTACCGAATTCCATTGAAATTTTAAAATTAGGTGCGCCTAAATTAAAAACCTTGGAAGGAATTGAAAAGTATCACAATTTATACAGTTTCTATTTCCAATCATTTTGCGGAACATGGTTTGACATGCCGTTGTGGGCGCAAACAACTAAGGAGAACCTGGCCGATACTTGGGAGAATCATACATTATTTTGTGACGATTATTCGCAGGCCGGAATTGTCAGCATATCTAGCTTTCCTAAAGAAAGAATTAAAAGATTTGACATAAGCGGTGAATATGACGTGGATGATCTTAAGAAGTGGAGGTATTTTGGCCTTATTGATTATCCGAGCTTGACGGTTTTGGATTTATCTGAAACGACGCTACTGCTGGTTACTTCTTGGATATTTCCAGAAACATTGATTACGTTGGATCTATCCTCATGCAAGATACTGAAATTTAAGAATCATAATTTCAAACGCTTAACAAGTCTACGACGCTTGTATTTGAGAGAGAATCAATTCAAATCGTTAGAAGGGTTGATTGACAGTCTTCCTATGAGTTTGAAAGAGCTTGACTTGCTGGATAACCAGATCACTAAGTTCCAAGGTTCGCATTTATCGATACTCTCAGTTAATTTATCCGACAACGACTTGTTTCATATTCTGATTTCCCTGGAGACCATCAGTTTGCCTGATTGTTGTGAGATATTGAAATTGGACCATAGCGATTTCCATGGATTTGGTGACTCGTTCCTATTCCCAAAGAATTTGAAAGAGTTATCAACTGGCCGTTGTCATGAATTTACGTTAACCAATGCGAATTTCTTCTCTAAGCTTCCACAAGACTTGTGTTGCGTTCGTTTATATGGCCCTTGTGAACATCAATCTGCTTTTCCAAAAGAAATAAGACAAATATGCTTACGACATGTACCTAAGTTTGCACTAAATGATCTATTGTTCTTGGAAGAGTTGGAACTAATTTCTTCATTGGTGCGATTTGACATGTTGCCGCCGAGTTTGAGGAAACTTCGAGTAATTGCACTGAGTGGTTCGGGTTCATTAGAACACTTGGCTAATTTAGAGAGGATCCTGGTGAAGCTTCTGTTTACTTATCAGAAAGATAAGTTTGTCCTTCCAGAATCGGTGAAATATATTTCCATTCGAAGTGGTTCAATTTCTCGAGAATTTGATTACAGCAAATGCAAAGGATTAAGATATCTTGAATTAGGTCACAATCCTTATTCAGCTGATAAGTTTGCAAGTTATATTGAAAAATTGATTGGGCTCAATCCTATCATTCGTATATATTTGGGACCAGAGATTTCGAATTTGACTTGTCCTAAGCTTGATTTGTTTCGAAGAAATGGGCATTTACTTGATCAGAATATATATTAGTTTGATTTGTTTTTAACTTAGGGAGTATCGTATTATTCTGCTCGACAAAATGTGAAATTAGAAACTTGGCTTATATTCTAGTTGTTACGACCATGTGATTCCTAAGTATACTTAATCACTATGCTAAATTATCATGATTAGTAATGCTGTTGTTATGCTTCTGGTTTATCCAATAAAAGTACTGTACGGCGCTTAACTGAACAGATATAAATATGGGTCAATTTGCCCCGAGTTCAAGTCTAGAGTATATAGTTTACGTAAATTGTTTTACTTCTATAAAAAGGACGTAGCATTTACTTCTAATACAACCAAAAGAATTCCCTAAAAGGATCTAATTTCATGCAATCCTTTTGGATTGTAATACTAGTAGTTTTATGAAATCTGAGAAAGGTGAGTATGTTCCCTGGGACACTAACTAAAAGTTCCAACAATTAATTCAAGAAAGCACGAAAAAGTGGCAGTAGCCTGGGACAGCGATTGGAGCTGACGTTATTATGATAACATTACAATCCAGTTAGAGGGTGAAATGAAGTACATAATATATTGCGGGCCAGTCAACTTATTTTATTTCATACAATAACGAAAACTCATTTTTCTTTTATTTAATCAATGCACATTTATAATATCGATAACAGAATAAACTCTAAATAATATCTAACTACACAGGATCCCATTGATCAAGTATTGGGTGACACTCACATGACTTATTTTTATGATAATCCTAAAGCAGCCGAGAACCTTGCATGAGAATGTCATTTTATTACTAACTTTTCGCAACCATTTCTCTAAATTCTCTAAAGAAAACGATATAGACAATTATCCGTTTGTTTTGAAAGTTTTAATTCCGCTAGCTATGATAGGAGACATGTTTATGTATTTCCAAATCTTGTATATAAATCCACTTTAAAAGAATATCGGATAAAATCACCTTTTTTGTACCTTTGTGTAATTTGCAGCCAAATCTGATAAGCCCTTAAATATTGATTCTAAAATGTTTTTTCACATGCAGATTTTAGATTGTGAATCATTTTTTTTGGGAAAGGAGCGCGTGAGCATTAACGAACCAACAAACTAAAAAAAATGTTGAGACTAAACCAAGAAAATAGTCACATGCTCCCTTTAAGTAGTCTGTCTGTCTGTTTGTTCTTTGTCTGTTATTTGTCTATTTGGAAGTTTCCAAGACAATTTTCTTGTCATCAACATTCGATTGATTTCATTTTTTTTTCACTTTCTTCTTTCTTCTTCTTCTTCTTCTTCGTCCCTTCTTTCTTTCAATTAACATAAGTTTTCAACAAACCCTTTTTGTTTCTGATCATTTTCAATTAGGAAAAATCACAGCAAATCAAAGGTGTAACTAAAGAAGAAAATAACGTGAGTTTTTCTAACCCCAGAACTGTATCATTAATTTAAATTTTAAAGAAAAGAATTCAACTTTCCAATACAATTCCCTGTACTCCTGCTATTCCAAATTTGCTGCTACTGAAATACTGTCTCAACACTGCTGATACTAATTACTATACTGTTGACTGCTGCTGCTGCTGCTCTTTGATTATTAATTACTAATTTATTTTATCAAGTTTTTTACAACCAACAAAGAGAGATAGTTTTTTTTTGTTGCCAGAAATCCCCTTAAAGAATTATATCCCTCCGCATTTACTTTTTTTTTTTCAAGATTTCCATTTGATTTCCTTATGATCTCAACACAAGTTAATACTATGAGTTCCAAGAAGGATATCCCTACTCAATCCAAGGCCAATGGTCCTAAAGGTATTACGTTCTCAGGAGAAACTTTTATAGTTCCTGAAACTCATGATATGGTTAAAACACTATTTGATCCAACTATTCGTAAATCAAATTTTGAAATTATAATCTTAACATGTTTGTTTTCTAATTTATTGGTATTTTTAATTCCTAATAATCAATTTAGAATTAAAATATTTATTTCGTTTTATATACTTTGGAGATTATCTTATAATTTTGGAATTGGTTGGTTATTACGTAATCAATCAAATTCCAATCGTTTAGTTGGTTGGGCTAAAGATTTGAATTTATTCGATAAATCAAATGATCAATTCTTAGCTAAATTTGTTCAAAGTGAAGTTCAATCTCAAAGAGGTAAGGATTATAAGATTAATTCTTTACCTGTTGAATTTAATACTTGGTTAATCTTTAGAAAATTTGTTGATTTAATCTTAATGTCAGATTTTGTCACTTTTGTGTGTGTTGTAATTACTTGTGCAATTGATGACAATTTCCAATTTATTCATAATCAACCAAATTGGGTGATTTATTCAAGAATTATAGGTGGGTTCGGATTGATTTTATTCAATTTATGGGTTAAGGTAAATGCTCATAATACAATTAAAGATTATGCTTGGTATTGGGGTGATTTCTTCTTCCGTCAAATCAATAATGAAGAATTGATCTTTGATGGTGTTTTTGAAATGGTTCCTCATCCAATGTATTCAGTCGGTTATATTGGATACTATGGATTTGCATTAATTGCAAAATCTTATACAGTTTTAGCAATTGCTATTTTTGGACATTTCTTACAAATGGTGTTTTTATATTATATCGAAAACCCTCATATTGATAAGATTTATGGTCCTTCCAAGAATGAAATTAACTTGATTAAAATCTTAAAATTGAAAGATTTAAAGAATTTCGATAATTTAAAACCATTGGTTGGATTATATAATTTCAATTGGTTAAGAGCAAGCGATGTTGTCAATTTGATCTTAGTTGGTACTTATGGTGTCATAATCCCAGTCTTATCTAAATCAGTAACCAATTTGTTTGTATTGACTATTGCCATGAAATTATTTGAATCTTTCTCAATTAATATTTTATTAGTTTTACAAAGTCATTCCAAACATTTCACAAAATGGTGTCTTGCAAATGATATTCCAGTTGAAAAATCATTAAATAATTGGGCAATCATGTATAATTCATTAATTAATGTGACTTATTCTTCATTATTCGGATTAAACTTGGTTTATTATTTGGATCCAGTTCAACATAAATTATTATTCAATGATTGGTTTTATTTAAGAATTTTGTTAGGTATCACCTTAATGCTTACTCAAACTTGGATTAACGCTTCCATTATTGATCTGATTGGTTATTTCGGTTGGTTTTATGGAGATTTCTTCATTCCAAAATCTCAAAGTATTTCCCCACGTTTAACTAAAGCTGGTGTTTATCGTTATTTGAATAATCCAGAACAAATTTTCGGTGTATGTGGTGTTATGGGATTATTTATCCTTAGTCCAACGGTAGAAAATATGGTTTGTTGTATTATTTGGGTGGCTAATAACTTTATCAGAATTAATTTCATTGAAAAAGTTCATATGATTAAAGTATATGGTGAACTGGAAGTATTGAAAGATTCAGGTGTCGTCAAGACTTTTAAGAAACACTTGATTCCAGAATCTCTTCAAAGAAGATTAAGTAATGATACCACTAATGGTGAAGCTGATGGTATATCAAGAAAAAGATCTAAAAGTGGTACTTCACTTGCTGATTCATTAGATAATTTCATTAGAGACTTAAAGAATTCTACCACTAAATTATCTCAACAGAAATTGATTGAATTATCTCAGAATTTAACATTTGCTAATTCTGATTATAAATTGACCATTAAGGGTTTACAAACTGATAAGTCCAAAGCTTATTTGCCGAAGTATACTTATGTTGGTGCTCCAATCACCGTTACTTGGCATGCACCAAGAGCTGTTCATTCAACTGGAGATTGGATTGGTTTGTATAAAGTCGTTCATACTTCTTATTCCAGAAATAAGACTCTAATTTCATCTTCAGGTAGATGGACCCATTGTAATGAACCAAAGGGTAGTTTTACATTTGACAAGAAGAGATTATTCTGGGAAGATGGTGTTTATGAATTTAGATATCATTTAGCAGGTAAACATGATGTTACTTATGTTTCTGAACCTTTTGAAATCAAATGGCCAAAGATTCAAGCCCCATTAGATAAATCTGAAGTTGATTCATTTAGTCAAACTTTAAAGGAAGAAATATTTGATAAATTATTAGAAGTTGAAGATGTTAATACTCCACTTATTCATCTGCTTAAAGATGATGATATAGTTAAGACATATAATTTATTGAGTGATTTGATTTCCAATATTTGTGAAGTTAAGATTAGTTCTAAAGCATTTTTAAATCATGATGATTTGACAATTAGAGATGTTGCTTATAAGATCATAAACATTAAACAAGTATTGGAAGAATTATCTCACAATAATAATGATGATATGATTGAAAAGAAGGATATTTAGAAAACAAAGGTGTTCTTGTAAATAGAATCACATTAGAACAATTATAAAATTACATACATATATTTTGATTAATTACAGATTATTTAGAATGAATTTAATAAATACGAATTCAAATTTGCTCGTATAGTTCTTGACATATTCTTACATTCTTCGATAGCTTTATTAGTTTGATCAACCGAAATATCTTTTTGATCATTACTCTCAAGCCATACACCAACAATTTCATCATTCTTTAAATTCATGAAACTAACCAAAGCATCAATCCCTTCCCCATCTTCTTCCTCCTCTTCTTCTTCCCCATTCCCACCAATTACAACCTTATTACCACCACATAACTTCACTTGTCCAGAAGTAATCAAATCCTTCATCTCAATCCCAGAATCCACAAACGCAAGCGAAACACAACAACTAATCCACCCAATCAACCAAAGCAACCCTTGATTTCCCCCTCTCTTCAAAACATCCTCCTCATCAATAGAAATCACACTTATATTAACATCAATTGCCGATTTGGGATATTTCTCCAATATCAAACAACTCAAAACACATGTCTCGATATAATTACTAATTCGTTGTTCTATATGTGTCATCCCTGTCCATTTCACCTGATTTGGCAGGATATTAAATAATTCTCCCTGGGGTTGGGGGAGGATATGGGGTTGGAATTTGGTTTCGACGGATATACTGGCACGATCGATGAATGAGCCTCGGATTGGACGGGGGCCGAAGATTGACACTTGGATTATTGTGTTGTTGCATTCGAGATAGGCGGACCCGTTGGCGTTTTTGATGAGGCCATGTTTGAGAAAGAAAGGTGGGATTGCGGAGGATGGTTTTTTGGATGGTGATGCGGGGGAGACGGTTGTTGGGAGGGGTGGTATATTTGGGACTATTACGTTTGATGGACCGAGTATTCTTCTTCTATCTGACATGCTGAATGGATATGATTTTGAATTGATGAAGGGTGCTGATGGGAAGGGACTATTTTTCATAGAGTAATTATTTTTTTTCAAGTGATGAGGTTGATCACCAGGCGCTACCAACGAGTCATAAACAAACTTAGTTGTTGCAAATTTGTGGAATCCTGTGATAATGGAAACGGCGAGCTCTAGGGATGTACTTTGAAGTGTAGCGGGGTTGCACCTCTTCTAAAGCCTTAACTTTGGTTAATAGCTAATGGATTATATTTGAAATTGAAATTTCAAAAATTAATTAGCTGGCAGTTCGAACTTCTTGAACATAATTCTGCATAGTGTCAATGAATCAAGTCATGATTGACTTCATAGGAAATCGATGATAAGCAAAAGGTAATATGTTGATTATTTAACAGAAAGATATTGCTTACCAACCTTAAAACAATGGATCATATCATTTACAGAATCTCTGAAGTATATCACCTTGCTACGAAATATATTAACAATTCCATGGACCCGCTACCAATCGTACAGGTATTGATAGTCTAGGCATCTACAATCTCTACAGTAAATGTACAAATAAATAATAAATAACATTCTTCTACACAACATCTACTAAAAACACTAAAACTTCTCTCTCTGATATACTCCCTCTCTCTCTCTGTCTCACTCGCTCACTCTTCTAAAATAGTACACACAAACACAAACTCCTTCGTTAATTTTGATCATTCCGAGAATTAAACGGATCCAAATATTCCAAATCCACCGAATTCCCATTCCCACTACCACTTCCATTTCCAGCACCAGCTTGTCCATCACCACCAAAACTATAAAAATCAAAATCATCCAAATTAACAGTCCCACTCACGATATTACTCAACGGCGACCTCGGCGCCATCAATCTTCCACCACTCAGGTTATACGTCGCAGGATTCATCCCCACCGAATTCACATCACCATTATTGGAATATGGAGCGGGAACATTTTTTTCCAACATATACGGAGGCAATATCTTACCAAAAATCTGCGCATCCAATTTATCAAACACCCCAGGAATATAATCCTGTGAGAAATCCATGGGAGTGGGTTCCATTGGTGGGGTTTCATGTTGTTGAGTTGGGTCTTGGGTTATTTCGGCCGATGATTGGAATTGGGCGATATTTGTGTCGTTGAATAATTGGGCAATGGTTGGTTTTTTCGGGTAGGCTGAATATGGTTGATGGGTTTTATCACTTGAGGTTGTTGATGAGACCATATCGGTGGCAGTAGGGGCGTTGGGAACGGTAGGAACACCAGGGGCGACAGTGGTGGTGGCGGTGGCGGTAGTGCCATTTCCGAAGTTGTTTATGGTGTTGAAGTTGTTGAATAAGGTTTTCACATTTTCATTTTCGAAATTGGTTGCTGCTGCTGCTGATGCTGCTGCCGTTGCTACAGCGGATGAAGCAAGTGGTGGATGGGGTTGGATTTGTTTTTGTTGAATTTGAAATCTTGAAGTATCAGCAGTTCTTCTATTTAATTGTTCAAATAAAGTATTCAAAATATTATAAATTCTTAAAGAACTTCTACTTGAATTCTTCAAACAATCTAAAACCTTTTTCCCAATTTCAATATCTTTTTTGATCATATCTATATTTAAATCATCATCAAATAAAATCCCAGCATAATTAACTCCCATACTATCTTTATTCTGTCCATAATTAGCAAAATGATAATAATACACTAAACATGCAACACTGAAGAAAATAGTATACATTGAAAACCAATATGTTCCAACCAATAAATTCTGATCAATCATCTTGTTAGCCAATTTAACAACCATTCTCGCAACTTTAATACAATTCCGACCCCGGATTAATGATCTTGGATCACTGGCACTAGTTGCAGAACTTCCATTATCACTAATGAAATGAATGCAGGGACGATATAACATGATTTGACAATTCAAAAATGCTAAATGTAAATAATAATTCGCTAATTTAAATCGTTCCGGAATATGTTCATTCAGACTTGCTAAATTTGGATCAGTTGGTTTTAATTCCATAGGTAAATTATCTAACCAAGTTTTTAATTCTAATTCTAATTCAGTTATTTTATTATGAATCTTATCAGGAGAATAAGTTGCTGAACTTGATGCGAATTCTTCTCCACTACTTGATTTCACTTTGATTGGATATAACTTTTTAACAATATGAGATAAAATTAACATTAATTTAGTATGATGATTGGCACAACCTGAAGATGAAAGTCTTCCTTCTTGTTTTTCATATAAACAACCGGTTCTAGTAACATATTCATCATCCAATTCTTCTGGGAATTCTTGATCAAATTCATCTTCATCTATTGATCTAGGTAATCCTAATAATGAATTTATATAAATATCCATTTTATAAATGGTATAAAATAATCTTTTTCTAGTATCAATTTCAATTGGATCAAGTTTTCTTTTTGAATTTTGAAAAATTGATAAATTTCTATGTAATCCTTCCTTTAATGCACTTCTTAATGCAATACCAATATATGAATAACAAGTTGATAATCTTGCTGAACATTGTAAATACATAATCATCATAACAATAGTTTGAATTGAATTAATATCCCCAACATTACTAATATCAATCAATTTTCTTGCTTCTAAAAAATATTTAAATCCATCATCTTCTAAATGTTCATTTACACCCGGATCAGTAAAACTTGATTTTGAAAATAATGAACCACAAGCTAAAATTGAATAAAAAAATGGTAAGAATTTTTGTTGTCTATCACCATAATTAAGTGGATCTAAGGAATATAATAAATCAACTTCTTGTAATAATGAAGGACGATGATAAAATCTAAACAAGACACATGCTTTATTCCAACATGTAAAAATCAATTGTAATGCAGTTTCTTTACTAGGTAAATATAATTCAGAAAGTCCATCATTTGAACTAACAGAAGATTGTCTTTCAATAGTGGAAGCTGAATGAGTTGGAGATGGAACTGTTGTATCAGTATCATGCATTAATTCACCAATTTCTGTTAAATGACGTACTAATGAAGGTGATTTTGTTTCAATATAAGTAACAACTTTTTGAAATCTATCTAAATCAAATTGAATATTTTGATCAAAACAATTTAATTTTAATTTTGGAAGTAATACATTGAAAATTTGTTGACAAACAATCAAATTTGTATTGGGGAATAAATCAGTATTTGATGATGTTGGCGCCATAGCTGATGATGTGGAGGAAGCAGCGGCAGAAGCAGCAGCTGCTGCTTGTAATACTGCTAGATTTGGTTGTGCTGGTATTGGAATGCCTGAATGTCTTTTATTTCTTACATTTGGTTGATCATAACTACATTTATAAGAATATACCGTGCAATGAATACAAGGTTGTTTTCCATCACATTTGACTTTCTTCTGACGACAGTTATCACATGCTCTAGTAACTCGTCTTCTTTTGGCTTCTGAAGTGGATTTCTGTCTGACATTAGCTTGGGAATTGCTAGTTGCCATATTTACCGGGTTTGGGGTTACTCCTGGTTGGGTTGAATTTGCCTTACTATTACTCGAACTGCTATTGTACGATAATGGATCTGACGTTTGTCGTTCTCTTTTTACCGGGATCATCTTAACAAGTTTTAGATTTTAAATTGAAATATTTCGGAGTTGCTATGTTGATGAGGGAATTTGTAAGGAATACAACTTTTTGAAAAAAAGTGTGACGTTGTTGTGGAGTTGAAACTAGTTGGGTACAAATATTGATTGATCTATCGTCAAAGGGTAACCGTCTGATAGTGTGTGTGTGATGTCTTGTTCAATCAATTTGGTTCTCTTTAACCAGATAGTAAACACTGTTAAAAAAAGTATGAATTAATGTTAAAAAGAAGGAGAAAATTAAGTTTTATGAAAATACGGAGATTTTTTAGAATTTAAAAATTAAAATTAAAAGATTTTTTCTTGTGAGTTTGAGAAAGTCGTGTAAAAATGATTAAAAAAAGGGTCATAAATATAATCATATAATTATTTTTTTATCTTTGCCTCTTTCTTTCTTTCTATTAATTATTATTTACAATGTACAATTGCAAATCCTTTGATAAAAAATAATATTCTAAGCCTATGACTAATATAAACATTATCATTCTTTTTATTGGGACTATCATCACTCTTTTTCCATAAATACTAACAAAAAACATCTACCTATGTCACACTTTCTATGTATATTCACTGATCAACAGTCTGTCAGATCTCACCTCATTATTTTTAGAAATTTATAGAAACTTGGGAAGTTTTAAACGGAAAGATAGTCCCTTCCCCAGATTTTATTTTTGTCTGTGGGGCGGATCTCAAACTTCCACCACCTCCACTAGTGAAAATATCGCAAGTACAACTTTTCTCAGATTTCCTATTTAAAAAGTGGGAAGGATATCAATTTTTTCCTTTTCTCACACGAACAGTATCTTCATGTAGATTCATGTCTTAGAACGGAAGTTAATTGCGGTAACCTAGTAGAAGAGCAAGGGCTCATTCATCTTATTCTTGGCACAATCAACTAATTAACAGTGTAAAATCGTTTCAGTCTCAACAAGTAAGAAAAAAATATTTTGAACTAACCAATAAACGAATGTACATACTCACATGAGGCTCTAGATAGTTTATATTCTAATTAATTAAAAATAGACATCTTCTTGAGTCATGCCGAGTAGTCATACTTCAACGAGGACTACGTCATCTTGATGAGTTTTTATTGGCTGTTTGTTCACTTGCATATGTTGAACAATATCAATACCCAAGATCAAAACCGCCCAAATATTAACAATGACTTTTTTGAAATGAATTTGTTAGAAACCCACCAAAAAATATCAAACAATAAAGAAACACAAACGAATGAAATATTTTTAATCAACTGATACAACATAGAGACAATGGCTTCTGCTTTCATCTTGCCCGAAGTCATATTTTTTAATCAAAGTATGGCCGGATGTCTTTACAATAATTCTTGATTTCCAAGAAAATAGAGTCACATATAAACATGTTGACCCAACACCAAGTAATTATTTATAAAAATATTTCAAATCGTAAATGACACCATTTTGGATTCTCCTAGAAGAAAACCATAACATGGCACTGACCTCATCTTATCGGGTCGTCTTCCCAGTCCAGTGTTATTAATTAGATGTCTGCACAATGATGATTAAGATTTTTATGATGATTAAATTCTGATATAAAACCCAACTGATCTGAATGCAAAAAAATAAATATTTGGTTGCCAATAATATTTCAAGCGTCATACTTTCGTTTATAGTTACTTGAATATCAATCTTATTGATGATACCGCGTTGGTTGTTGGTAATTACCACCAATACTCCTGATCTTAACTTACCTCTATATGAATATTTCTGTATTTAGGAATTCATTTGTAGTGAAACAACTGATGTAATCATAAAATTAAATATGGTTGCAAAAACTTAACTAGAACGAATTACATCTTCTGGTTAACAACATTAATGATCAACATTCAACAGTTTCCTAAGTATACTGAAAAATGCTCCATACTATAATATCAAAGCCACCACTTCTGTCGCTGTCATTTTTGTGTTTCTAGTTCACATATTCTGATATTCATATTTGCTTGTCTACCGCTAGGGGAAGACTAGCAAACTGAGACGACAGAGGGTCCATAGCAAACAACGAATCTTTTGGGAGTATTAGAGATGGAGAAGTCACAAATGGACATCAGAAATGATATATCAAACAGTAGTGGAAGCAAATCACAAGTGATACTTTGACATTCACTATCTCTAAGATCTGAGATTGTGTTTATATCCACTGGTTGCAAAAACTTTTTATATCATTCAAATATTCCTTGATATATTTCAAGACATCACAACTCCAAGACGCACCTTTCAATAGCAGCTTGTATCTTCCCTAGCTGAAATTCTAATTGAAGAAAGTAAGATTTGCGAACAGACCACAAGATTTTATTCATCAAAAATAAGATCAACAAATTCCTACAACAAATTCAAACGTTAAGTGGCTCGAACAGTTTCCCAAATGTTGCATAATAGTCCCAGCTTAAACTTCCACTTTGACAGAGCTCTTGTAAGGATATTAATAGACGTAGGGATAGTTATAAATTCATAACCTAATTTTATGAATTCAGGGCTTCGGAGTCTGGTTGCGAAATACCGGTCATGAAGAATGACTTATAAATAAAGCACCGCTCTCCTGACCAATGCACTGAAGGATAAGAGAGTGCACCCAATTGTTGTCATCATCGTGAAGTATGAAATACAGCCAACGGAACTAACATATTTTTAGATAAGAGGCGATGGTTTGGGATGCAATTACAACAAATTCAGCTTAAATTTGTATAATTAACTGTTTCGTTTGATACCCAAGCAATAATTCGAGGTGATCAGATTATAGTTGGTTTGTAGATGTTTGATTGATCCTTGCTCCATTTATTAAACCTGTTTATTGGCCATATGGTTATCTTTTGTTCTAAGTCTTCGTTTGTAACCAGATGAATTCTATGACAGCAAAGTTGTCCTTTACACTGTTGCCCATTTCTCGTTGTTCAGAATACACTGTTTGAACCCTCACTCTCACAAGGAATATTATCACGATACAAAGCTTTCTTGTTGAGGTAGAGTGTTCTGGAAGGGAATGACTCTATGAAATTAGAGATTTTGAGAACTCATTTGAACAGGCTGGCCCATTCTAGCTCAGATTTGCTTGCTTCAAGTACGACCTCCCAATAGGTAGGCGCACTTCTGAGATCGACTACATCCAGGCAGATGCTATGGAATGTTTATTTTTTATTAATTATATTAAATTTATAAATATTATTTATACGTTAATGAATTTTGTACATACAAGACAAGATACAGCTTTTTTAATTAATCTTAATTGGTTTTTCCAATAAATGACCCATTCTTTCAATTTTTGTACTTAAATAACCTTCAATTTCTTTTGAATGAATTCCATTTTCTGAATTATTCCAACTTAAAGGTACCATTGGAACTCTTTCCAATACTTTAATTTCTTGATGTTTACCTTCAACAGCCACAATTTTATCAGGATTATTAGTCAACAATTTAATTTCTTTCAAACCCAAATCTAATAAAATAGCAGTTGCCAAACTAAAATTTCTTGCATCAGCAGGATGTCTCAACATTAAATTAGCTTGTACTGTATCAGCACCTAAATCTTGTAGATTATATGCTTTTAATTTCTCACCCAATCCAATCCCTCTACCTTCTTGTCTTAAATATACGATACATCCATGTCCATCATTTCCCATTATTCTCCCCGCTTCATCAAATTGTTCACCACAATCACATCGGGCACTCCAGGCAGTTTCTCCAGTATAACATTCACTATGAATACGCACCAACGCAGGATCAATAAATGTCTCATCATCAATAATCAATTCCCCATTCTTCTCATCAAATCTCAACAGTTTGTTCAAAGTCTGGTCATGATCAGCTATTGTTCTACCAGGGGATAATTTCCCAATATATGCCCCTCTTGTCATCCTATCTTGTTGAGATTCACCGGGGCGTTGTTTGAATAAGGTTCGAGACCGAATATCTTCTCCGAATACAATAGCTAAATGTTCTTTATTATCAATATCATTTTCATAAAGATGTAAGAAAATGTCAGGACCTTGAGTGGTGGGGATACGTGCTCGAGCAAGACAATTGACAGTTGGAAGTTTATCGGCAAGTCCTATAGAATTACGTACTTCTTGGGAAACTTTTGGAGGTGGTTGTGGCGAGGTTGTATGTTTGTTCGAACTGGCGGAAGCGAGTGTGGCAATGGTGGGGGTGTTTGTCGTTGATGGCCTTGGGGTTACTAATGGAATTTCGTTGATGTTCGTAATATGATGATCGTGTGTAGAAGACATTGTGGCTTTTTGTAGGGATGGGGAAGTTGGTTGTGGTTGTTGTATATGTGATGTATGTGTATGTCCTTGTGCCATTCTGTATGTATCAAAATGTGATGTATGGTGGTATCTATTAAAGTTAAAGAGAAATGGTGACTGATTAATGGAGTGAAAAAATTGGACAAAAGAAAAAAAATTGCGGAATTTATTTCCTTACCGTTCTTCTTCTGATTGTTGGTCTTGATTGGATTTGTTTGTTGGTATGGGAATGGTTTGTTTCGATGGGTCTTGTCAAAGATTTCTCTCTTCCTTTCTTAAACTTCTCTCAAATTGGGTAGTTGTGAATGGGAATCACTACCTTTATTTCCTTTATCTCTTTTAAAGGGTAATTGAATCTTCTAGAAAATGTCGACTAATAAATCTCCACTCAAAACTGCAAAAATCCACTCGGAAATAACGAAAATTACATTTTTACTGAACCTCGGAAAAACCACCGAAATCTAAACTATTGTAATTATTACGTAATAATTTATTAACCACATCATCTCATTTTGTATCACTTGACACAAAGTGCCATAATGTCATTACTAATCCCAACAAGACAAGACCATTTTGATGCCCATGGACATCTGGATGACGATGTAAAATACATAGAATTACTAACCCAATCTAAACAAACCCATCCCGAACATTATCAATGGGATTTCCAACCAATCAAGGGGTTCTTCAAACAAACTGAACCAGATACCGATGATATGACATTTCGTTATACCCAAGATCATTTCGGCATACTTAAACCTTGGCCCGAAATCATCTCCCATCTCAATCATTTAAACAAAACCGCTGGTTCTAATGAACGATATATTTTATTCTTCCTAGCTAGACATGGTGAAGGTTGGCATAATATCGCCATGAGAAAATATTCCAGACATGAATGGCATCTGAAATGGAGTAGGTTAAACTCCGATGATGAGATCAGTTGGGGTCCAGATGCGGATTTGACAGAATTGGGTATTGAACAAGCTTGGGAGAATCATCGGGCTTGGAAGACACAATTGATGAATGGTGCTCCTTGGCCATCGCGGTTTTATGTTTCTCCATTGACGAGATCGATTAGGACTCATAATATAACTTGGAAAGATACGGATGTGGAGATTTTGGAAGGGGTGAGGGAAACGATTGGATTACATCCTTGTAATCGAAGATCGCAAAGGTCGGTGATTAGAGATAGGTTTCCAAATGTGGTATTCCCATCGGAGTTTCAAGAGGTTGATGAATGGTTTGAAGAATATAGGGAGACAAGGGAATGTTTACATGAACAGACAATTAGAATCAATCGGGTCTTACAAGAATTGTTTGAGAATGATAATGGGGATGAAATTGTGTGTATTACTTCTCATACTGGGACTATTAGATCTTTTCTTAGTGTGATTGGACATCGAAAGTTTGTAATACCTACAGGTGGGATGATACCTGTGGTGGTAAAAGGGACAAAGACTACTTTATAGATTTTTATAGATTTAGATGTCTCATTCAAATATGGATCTATATTCAATCCTGAAATACTTCCAACTTCAATTCCGTCTTTCAACCCTCTTCTTCAGATTCTTAACTCAGACATAAGTGTCAATTTATCTATGAGTCCCCCTGCTGCGGCATTCACAAATTTCGCAACCATTCCACCAACTCATCCTCATTAAAATTCTTAATATCCCGAATCACAAATTTATCATACACCAACTGATTCTTCAAAGCAACAATACACGGCAAAGTCGGCCCCACCACATATTCCATCATCAACTCCCTTCCACCCTCAGTATCACACAAAATATTCACCAAATACACTTCTTCAGCTCCATCGGGATAATTATGTTTATTACTCAAGATATCAAACAAGCTTTGGGTGATTTTGTTATGACGAGGAGTCGCATAGGTGAAATGTAGGAGGAGAGGTTGTTTGACTGAGAGATAGGGGTATATTTCTTGGGATTGGGTGATGTAGGTGTCGATTATCCTGTTTTTGGTTGTGAATTGAGATGCGGGTGGCGGATAGATTAAACGTTGGGATTGAGCGGCGTTGGTCCAGGATTTAAACCAGGCTAGTAATGAGAATGGCCTTGTTTGTTGGTAGTGACGGATGATTGGAGATCCTGTAAGGACTATCAGTTGTCTTGCAAACATTGTCTTATGGTTGATTGCAAAAGAGAAGAGAAGGAATAAGCAGCAATGCTGAGATGCTTTTTTCGTGGGGGAGGGTTCGTGGGGGCAACCCCTGAAAATGAATTAATTTCACAATGGCCCAATTGAAAAGTCTATGAAATAAGGCATATATACAAAGTTCTATTTACAAGCCAATACTATTTTCTACACATATAATATCTATTCTTCATCATCCCAGCCATCTTTCCATCTCTTCTTCCATAAATCACAATTAAATTTCGGCTTTCCTAATTTTATATTCACATCATTATGAGCTTCACAAAACCATTTACCTAATTGATCTTGATTGGCAACTTTTGGTTCATTCTTCTTTATATATTTCTGAAAATCTTCGGCACAAAACCAACAGGGGTATATTCCGGAAAATAAATTTATAAATTGCTTCATATCTTGTTGTTGCTTATTGGAGGGAGTTTCGGGATAGGTGGCAGCTATGGAATGGAGTAATGTCCAGGTGGATCTTCCGAGGACGGCAACATCAGGCGGGTCGTCTTTGGCGTATCCTCCCATTTTAGGTTTGTGTTGTTGAGTTGTGTTGGTGGTGGTCGTTGTTGTTGCGGTTGTAGATGAAGATGGTTCTTCAGCTTTTTTATTGGCGATTGGTGCTTTTCCAGTGGCGAATTGGAAATCAAGTAATGTATTACAAGTTCGACAACTAAAGACGTGAAAATTTCAGTTAGTATTAGAGTTCTTACTTTTTCTGTCATGCCAGGGAGCTGTACTGCTTTAGATTTTCAGTTCTTACATACGGTTTGCCATCTTTGTCGTAGACAATCTTACGACCAGTTAATCCTATTTCTGGTTTTGCATGTGTCTCCGTCCTGTCTCCAGCTTTGCTGGGCTCGACGACAGTTGTCATAGTAGCTGACATGGTGTTGTGGTACTTGAAGATGTCTTGTACTGATTAGTCAGAGTGAGATGATGAAAAATTCCTGAACAGAAAAATGGTTCCGTTTTATACCGGATTATGAAGTTTACTGCGAAATTTTCAGAACATTATGAATATGGTGGCAAAAATACCCATGTCGTTTAAACCAATAATAATTGTTATGTACTGGTCTTGATACGTATTGTTTTAATCTTGTAAGAATTACTGAATATTTATTTATCAATTTACGCTTTTCTATAAATTTATATCTCGATAATTTCTCCCCTTTATCTAACTTCTCCCTTGAAGCTTCTTGACAAGTTCAGCTCTCTTAGCAAGCACTTCATCAACCATTTCCCCAACTTCAGCAGTCTTAATAGCTGCACGTGCAGTATAAAATTGATCCAAATTATACACCAATCCAAATTGTTGTTCATATTCCCAAGCAGTCTGGATCATTTCGAACTTATCAACATCCTTGACGTATCTAGCCTCGACATTTCTCACTTCTTCATAATCTAACCATAATTCCTTCAATTCAGTAGCAAATAAACCATTATACGGCCTGATCAAATCACTCAAAAAATCAATCGTGGCTAATTCACGGCGATGTTTTTCTTCCTTAGTTACACCAGCATATGGAGTAATATCACCAACCAAGGCCTCGGCGATATCATGCACAACGGCGATCTTGACACATTTGTCAGTGTTCACATGAGGGACTAACATGGATATAATCGCCATTCTATACATATGATCAGCAATCGATTCTGTATCGAATGGTGGGACTCCGTGATCGATCCAGCCGGTTCTTTTTTGGGTTTTTAATAAGCGGACGATTTGGAGGAATGCAAGGACGTAGTTTACGGGATTTCCATCTGGGATGAGTAATGATTTGATATGTTGTGGAATGGCATCAGTTGGTTGCCAGATGTTTTCAGTGGTGTCGGTGACGGTAATTGGGTTCATTCTTTGGGTGGTGGACGTCGAGAAATGGGCTATATTTGACGATAATTTGGCAAAGGGCTGTCTAATAGATCTTGTTATTTGGACAACTGGTAGTTTAGGAAAGAATGGCTTGGGAAAGGAGAGTTTCATAGACAGAGGGGTGAATGTCTACCACTTTTTAAGTTGCAATAATTTAAATGTAAACAAAGAAAAAGATTGAAAATCTTAAAACGTCAAATTTATAAACAAATTCTTGGTAAGGAATGTCGCATCTGTAAAATTAATTTCACGACATTATAAATTAACGACATTTCAAATTTTCGACCTGGATGTCAGAAATGAGAGACAGTTGCAATTGGTATCACAGAGTCACTGATGTCTCAGCGCTGAAGAAGCTGATTCTTGGATCTGTAAATAGGTCGACCCCATTGCACTACAAGAATTACATACTGGAGAATTCAAAATAGAAAGTGTTCAAACTAGAAACCCGTTAAAAGTCATGTATTAAATTTATATGATGTAATTGTCAAATATGATGAAGGTGGATGATTATATGATTACTTTTCAAAAAGCGAAATCCTTTTATTTCTTTAAATATACAAATAATTAGAATTTAAAAATTAATTTAAGCAACTAATTCAACAACACCACCAACAGCTCTGATCTTTTCTTCGGCTAATTTAGAAACAAATCTAGCCTTGACAATGACTGGAACTTGTGGTAATCTACCCTTACCTAAAACCTTACCGTAACCGTGAGCTAAAGTGTCAATAACTGGAGCAGCGGAGGCAGAAGCGGATTTTAAGTATTCATCCTTCTTGGATTCATCAACAAGAGACCATAATTTGTCCAAGTTGATTTCTGGCTTCCAGAAGTGAGCGTTTTGCTTGTGGAAGTATCTCATACCGACCTTACCGAAGTAACCTGGATGGTATTTATCCAAGTTGGTTCTGTGGTGGTGTTGACCACCAGCCATACCTCTACCACCAGGGGATTTTCTGTGCTTACCGACTCTACCCTTACCGGCTAAAAAAGATGTTAGTATTTACATGCTCATTTGAATGATTTGGGGAATGCTTTACAGGAACTAGTTTTGTTTCTTTCATTTCGATTGAAGATGTCTGTCGTAGGAGTTCATTGTACTCTGGGGCTCTTCCAGATTTTATCAAATATCTTGACTTGTTGATATTGATGAAATATACTGCTCGATGTGCATTTGCGATCTTATTCCACTCTGATAATGTCGCATATTCATTCACATATTTGTAGTTGTTAAAGATTATAGTAGTAGACTGAAAAATTTTGTATCCTCTGTTCAAAATGATGCCCTTCTTGTTTGTTCCATTTCCACAATTAAAATACATAAGTTCCTGAAGTCCTGTTGATTCCCCTTGTTGTGTATCTTATAGTTCACATACCAGAAACGTGTCCTCTGTGCTTTCTGGTCTTAGTTAATCTAGTAGGCATTGTTACTGTTCTATAGCTAATCAAAGGAAGAGTGAGAAATTTCTGAAAAAGATTTTTTAATTCTTTTGTTAGTGACAAAAATTGGTTGTGTATGAAAAAAATCCCAAATTAGACTATATGCAGGACTTTTTTCTATGTAATAAATGACACTATATAAATTTATTAAGGGAAGACTTTTAAATTGTTAGTTAGAGAGGCACACTATACAAAAAAAAATCACAACAGAAAAAAAATTTGGAAATTCAGGTTTAGGGATGTTGCCCTAATGAATGTCCGATTACACGTGACTAACTCCCCATACTTCTTCATAAGATTGTTTCCCCTTTGTTTCTGGAATATGAGTCTTTATAAACCAAAAACTAACAACACACATACATGTAAATACAAAATAGATTGATCCTCCAAATTGATGCATTAATGGTGGGAATGAATAGCCTACAATAAAAGTAGCTAACCAATTCATACTTGTACCCCAACTTTGAGCACTTGCTTTTGCAACTGGTTGAGTCACTTCACCAACTAATAAAAATGGAATTGGTCCAAGACCGATTGCAAAGAATGTAATGTAGGTGAAAGTACCAACGATTGATAAGACTGAGTTTGTAGTCATTATACCCATTGCCATTAATGTAGTCAGGATTCCCAAGAATGTCACGGATGTTAATAATAATGGTTTCCGACCTACTCTATCAACAATAGTAGCCGATGCGAAGGTAACAACTACATTCACTAATGAGATGAGACAATTGATCATGATTGAATAATTGGGGAAAATATTAACCAAGACTGAAACCCCATAGAATATAATTGAATTAATCCCATCAAATTGTTGTAATATTAATATTCCTGTGGCAACTGTTCTTGAATTCTTGAATTCTGGGGAGGTGATGTATTCTCTAACTGTAATTGAACTTCTTTGGAATGGGTCCGTTGCTGTACTGTTCTCTAATAATGAATCACTCTCGGGACTTGGAGAGGTTGATTGATTAGCGGTAACATTGCTGTTGGTACTGCTAGCGACATGTTTCCAACTATTAACTTCATCGGTTGCAAGTGAATAACTCCCGCCTCTAATTCTATGTAATACTGTAAATGCTTCCGTGTTTGCTCCGTGATTGGCTAACCATACAGGCGATTCATGAACATAAAACAAGAGTGCAATGAAATTGATGACACCCAAAATTGCGGCCATAAATAATAAAAGTCTCCATTGATTATCATTTGACCAACTCAAAGCAAGCAATTGGGTTAACAAGATACCACAGTTAATACTGACTTGATTCATGGACCCTAATAATCCTTTACAATTCACAGGAGAAACTTCATTAATATACAATGAAGTAATGACAATAGCTGAACCAGCAGCCAAACCCACAACAAACCTTCCAACTAATAATTGACCTAATCCATTACTAAATCCATTAATGGTCGAACCAATAACATATAATACACAATGCAATAAACTAGTTTTCTTTCTTCCAATCTTATCAGCTATAGTTCCAACATAAAACGAACCAATTAATCCCCCTATACTGAAAATAGAAGTTGCTAATCCGATCTGAGTAGGTGACATAGGAATACATTTGACAAACCCATGACGACCAAACCAAGAATCATTAAATGGAGTACTTCCTGGAACTGATAGTTTACATGATAACACCAATTCCGGGGAATTCAATTCTGACATATGATATCCAAATTGTAAGGAACCAAGACATATTATTGCTACTGAAGTAATTAATTCAGCTGTTAATCCTTGAAATGCTGATGGCGTTTGATATGACAGCGTCGGCATCTTTTGATTACTTAGGAATTGTGAGTGGTGTCGTTAGAAGGAAAGATTGAAGATGGCAATGTGTCCCCAGATCTATTTTTATTTTTTGTGTGTGTTGTTCGGGTTATTTTAAGGGGTGGTTGCGATTTGCTTATCAGTTGCGAAAATTTAAAGTTTTTGCTGACTACAGAATTGCAAAAAAGCCCAGGGCAAGTAGAGCAGAGCTAAAGTTACCACGGGTTAACAATAACCATTTGGGACAATAATACATTATACGCTACATACATAAGCGTAGTTTACTAATCATACAAAACTTCAAAATAATAAAACAAAATTCTATAAAATAGGTAAGAAATTACCTACAATCATCATTGGAATACCAAACACGTCTCTCTTTAATGTCCACATACATCCAGTTCGTATCTTAATATCCTTCTTCGGAGTTAACAATGTACATTCAGTCATAGTTGCCCCTAAAAAGTCTCCAAATGCAATACGTGAAAATACTTGGAAATATTCCAATACTGATTTATCATCCAATAATTCAACAATAAATCGTCTTTGATTTCCTCCTACCAATTCCTCCTTGGTCCATCCTGTTAATATGCAAAATTCATTACCAACATATGCAATCTCCCCTGTTCTTCTCCATACTATTGTTGGAGTCCCACTAATTCTAATGAATGTATCATATGTTAACAACGTCCGTTGAAAACATTGCTCCATGAAGATCAAATCACCTTCTTTTAAGGAATTCGTACATGCAATAAATGAAGGTCTATATACCGCCATAGATTCTGCCATCTTGACTAACATATGTTTCGGGAACCTTTTTCTTAAATATGCAATCAATGAATGATATCCTGGAGTATATGAAAATGGTTTTTTAACTTTTTCATAAATCTCTTCCGGTTCTTTAAATAATACATCATCGGCTTTTTGTTCCTTTGCAAGTTTATTATAATGATTATCTTCAGGCATGATTCCTATTGAAAATGATAATGACAGTTTTGAATTTCTTTCAAAATAAACTGCAGGATCATTAATTTTCATATTTTGAATCGCGGTAATGACATCGGGGAAAATCGCAATATGATCTGCTTCTGTCCGACCTATGAAATATTGATTGATTGATTCGTCACATTTAGGATATCTCAGATCATCATATATATTACTATTACTAGAAGGTCTATTCAGTTTCTGATGATGATGATGGGATGTATGAGGATGATGTTCATTTGGATTCAAAGGTGATGGAACTCCATTATGACTTGGAGAGTCACCCAGCATTTTATGTAAGGATAAATCAGTTGGTGAACCTATTTTTGTTGAACCACCATTTGAACTTGCGCCAGGATTTGGCATGTTGTGGGGTGATATTACCGGGGAAAAATTGTTGCTTGAATTAGGGGTACCTTCATTTGACGTAGTATGGTGGCCAAAACTATCTTGTAAAATATTAGATAGGGTTGCATACTCCAAATCTGCTGCTGTCGACAAGAAGTTCGTTCTTCTTGGCTTTCCGGGGGCGGGGATCTGGTCAAATTGCTGTTGGGGTTGAGTTCGTTGTTGGTACGGTTGCTGTTGGTGGTGATGCTGCTGTTGCTGTTGCTGTTGTGGTGGCAGCTGCAGCTGTTGATGAGTGAACTGAGGTAGGCTATTTCCAAATATACTTGGTTGCTGTGACGGATGTTGGAGTGGCCTTGGTGGGAAACCTTGAGTGGTGGAAGGTCCGGAAGTTGGAAAAGGTGTAATTTCTTGAGGTTGCTGTATCAAATTAGGCACAGTAGCACTATGTTGGAACATCGTGGCTTGATATGTTCTATGATTTGAAACTGGTATTGGGTGTATTTCCGAAGTTGTATGTTCAAGGCGAGTTGGAGCTAAAGAGGAGTTGGGTACATCAGCAAGATATTTCTTTCTTTTCCTAGGTGCATCTTCACAAGTCTTGTCTAATCCTCTTTGAACACATCTCTTACATGGACGGCCAGCGTCACAAGTCATATGGGCTTTATGACAATGATTGCATGCTCTGTTTGTCTTTTTCCTTTTCTAATATGGGTGTTAGTAAATCATAGCCTCGACGACTTTCAAAATAGTCGCAATAATTTACATACTGGTTTGGTAGAATCTTTCGAGTTATCCTCGAGTGCATCTAGACCATTCATATTGAAATATTCATTTATTTATATAAGAGAGACGCAGTGAGTAAGTAGTTATTGCCGTTTTAGTAGTGTGATGACACTTAAATCATCAAAACCAGAAGAGAAGAAAAAAAGGGCCCGTCTAAGTTCAGCAAAAAAATCCCGCTTTCAATTTCTCAACGGTATTCTTTTTTCCGGATCTTTTTCTTTCTTCACTGCCAAGTCCGTGGTTCTCTGAACTGTAGTTACAACTGTCTCTAAACCCCTAGTTTTCTTCGGAAGCTAACCCCCCAGGTTGTGATGTTTAAGGGATTTATATGCTCTTCTTTAGAGAGTATTGGAGTTTATAGGTTTTTACCACCAATGATGTCGGTTCTCCATGGCAACAATTGTCTTATCGTTCCCTCTTCTTTAATGGCTCGATATTAGAAGAAACTACTGTTCATCTTCTAGTAGATAAAGTCGGTTAAAACTACCTCTGAACTTGAAAGAATTTTATGTTATTTGACTGTTTGATATCTTTGTCAATTATTTGTTGATTTTCTTCGAGAAATGGCAGCAACTATTAAGTTTTAGAAAAATCATACTAAAATAAAACAAGACAATGAAATATGAAAAGGCGTAATATTTCTTCAAATCAAGAACACTTGATGGTAAGTTCCTCAACACTTATTATACGTAACAGTAACATGTTCTACCTTGAATATGCAAACAAACTGGATTTTGAAATTTCCAGAAACTCACGTGACACAATTTCCTATTTAGGACACACCAATTTTTTTTTCGATCCTTTCAGTGTAAATTTTTCATCTTCAACATATTTGACTGCCTGACTCATCGATCTAGTCTTCAAAAAGCATCTACAATGTCTGACTTTATTACTCAATTCCAAAAAGTTCTGTTATCAGAAGCTTCTCAAGTTGATGAATCAAAATTCCCAACTTTAACTAAGGAACAAAAAGCTCTTGCATCTCAATTCGAAACCTTATCCACTAGACTCGATGAAGTTGACACTTTAGCTCAATTAAATGAATTTCTTAAAAACAAAACATTTGTTGCTGGTGCCGTCCCATCTAAAGCCGATTTAACCGTTTTTGAAAAAGTTTTAGTCTTAGCTGCCAAATGGACTTCCGTTAATGATATTGCCAAACATAGACATATTCTTAGATGGGTTGATTTAATTCAAAACACTTTAGTTGAAGTTCCTGAAGCTCAACAAATTAAGGTTGACTACAATGTTGAACTTCCAAGAGAAATCAAGGAAAAGAAGAAGCCAGCTGCTGCTGCTGCCGCCGCTGCCACTGAAGCTAAAGCCGAAGCCCCTGTTGAAGACAAGGCTGCTCAAGGTGGAGCCAGAAAGGAATTAACCGAAGAAGAAAAGAAAGCCAGAGTCGAAGCTCAGAAGGCAAAGAAAGCAGCCAAGGCTAAGGCCAATGCCGAAAAGAACAAACAAACTCAAGCTGCTGCCAATGTTCCACCAACTCCAGCCATGATTGATTTCAGAGTTGGGTTTATTCAAAAGGCCGAAAAGCATCCAAATGCCGATTCATTATATATGTCAACCATTGATATGGGAGATGAAGAAGGTCCAAGAATTGTTTGTTCTGGATTGGTTAAATATTTCCCACTTGAAGAAATGCAACAAAGATGGGTTGTTGTCGTTGCTAATTTGAAACCAGTTACTATGAGAGGGGTTAAATCTTGTGCTATGGTATTATGTGCATCTGATGAAAATAAAGTTGAATTTGTTAATCCACCAGCTGGTTCTAAACCAGGTGATAAGATTTTCTTTGAAGGTTATAATGGTACTCCTGAAAAACAATTAAATCCAAAGAAGAAGATTTGGGAAGCTTGTCAACCTAAATTCTCAACTAATGAAAACTTTGAAGTTACTTATACTGAAGAAGGTCAAGAACCAAAGAGATTGGTTAATGAAAAGGGTGAATTATGTAAGAATACTTCACTTGTTAATGCTGAAGTTAAGTAAACATGTTGTATTAATTAATTAGTTAAATACTAGCGCATCTTAATAAATACATTTATAAGAATTTGGGCATATTTATAATTAACCGCTCGTGTAGTTTCACATTGCCGTTGTTCGGTATCCCTTGCCGGGGCTTTAGCTTTCTTCTCTATACTAAAAAAAATCCAATCCCTGGAATATGACTTGAGTGAAAAAATATCCCCTTGTTCTAGAAACCAATTAGTAATTCACCACAACTCAATTACACACATACAAACGCACATACTGCCCCAATGCAAGTAAAGAATAAGATCAAACTAAAGGATAAGAATGTGGCAATTACATTAGTCCCAGAAGATTCCGAAGATTTATGGTATTTGTACAATTTATTAAAAGTTGGAGATACAGTTCAAGTATTAACTCAACGAAATGTTAAGAAAGGGAATCCAGCACAAATACAAAAGGGGAAAGCCAAAATGGAGAAAGTGTTATTAAGATTGAAATTATTGGTTGAAGATATTGATTATATTGCCAGTGATCAAGCTATGAGAGTCAATGGTAAATCTTTAGAACAACAAGAATATGTTCCTTTGAATAGTTATCATACTGCTGAAGTTGAATTGAATAAGGAGATTACAATCTTGAAAGATAATTGGGATGAATATGATATGTCCTTGTTGGATGATTTATGTTCAATTGAAAAGAAAGCAGATATAGGTGCGGTGATTTTTCAAGAAGGTGTAGCTCATATTTGTTATGTAACTGATACAATGACTGTATTACAAGCTAAGGTTGAAAAGTCAATCCCTCGTAAGAATACTGAATTTGGGACTAAAGATCTTGATAAAGCCATGAATTCATTTTTTAATATGATTATTCAAACAATGGCAAGACATTTTGATATGGATAGATTAAAAGCTGTGATTCTAGCATCACCTGGATTCCTTGCTAAAACCTTATATGACAGACTTATACAAGAATGTCTTAATTTACAGAATTCAGGAAAAGAAAATAAAGTATTCGCCAGTATATTGGAACACAAGAATAAATTCTTAATAGCCCATTCTTCTACTGGATATTTACAAGGATTAGAAGAAGTGTTGGATGATCCTGCAGCAAGAAAGAAATTAGCAGATACTAAATTCCTTGAAGAATCAGAAGCATTACTGCGTTTCCAAAGAGCATTAAACAATGATGATGGACGTGCATGGTATGGTCTTGAAGAAGTCTCGAAAGCTTTAAACATGGACGCTGTAAGATATTTGATGGTTTCTGATGAACTTTTCAGAAGTGATGATATTGAAACCAGAAGACATTATATTGACTTAACTGAACAAGCCAAGAGGAATGGTGCCCAGGTGTATATATTTTCTAGTTTACATGAGTCGGGAGTGCAATTGAATCAATTGACTGGTATTGCGGCTCTTTTGAAGTATCCAATACCTGATCTTGATGATTCAGATGAAGAAGACGAGTAAAAAATTATGTTTATAATTTAATATGCAAATATGCAAATTTATCTATGTACAAAGTGTCCCTCCATATCTATGCTTCTAACTGACTTACAGGCTCAGTACTTACTGGCTGAATACCTAATCTTTGTAAATACCAAACTCTCCCCCCTCTTGAATATATCAAAGAATCTTGAAGCAACCCAAGAACCAATCCCAAAGCTGTCCCCTTCATGATCATTTTCCTAGACTGCACTATACTCAACTGATTATATCCAACATAGAAAGTAGACACAAGCATAGCAGCCACAGTAGTATTCAAGAAATCTATCGTATTATTCCTACTCCTATCAAATAAATATTCCAATCCAAAAAATCCAGTTATAACCCCAGAATATTTTAAACTTTGTTTAATAGCAACTTTTGTAGATTCAACAAGCATGACATAATTCTTCTTCTTATGATAAAAATACCATCCTCCAACAGTTTTGGGAAGTCGATGACCATTTTCGACCAAATATCGAACTGATGAGGTTTTGAGTCCTTCAAAGAAACCTTTCATCATACCCGTCACCCCAGCCGTAGTGGCTATTGCTTCTAGTCTTGCACGGGGAACCATATGAAATCTTTCATTCTTGTAGACGTCTATCTCTGGGGTTTTATATGTTGTGAGTTCTATTTCGTCAGCCATTGCGTTTTGTAGAGATGATGGGGGATGCATCGGTAGTACGAGGTTCGGCTGAATTAATTTTTTTTCCAGTACCACCGATTCGCCTGCCCAGAGTCGCAGTTGGATAGATCAACACCCTTAGCTGCACTAATTAATACGACGTTGTTTTGCTATCCCTCGACGTTGTCAGTTGCTTTAAGAGAAATTGAAAGAGTAGTTCACATATCTCTGAACTATGCTTTAAAAGAGCAAGTCCTTGAACCATAATCATTTCTGTAGAATTTTCATAGTAAATATGGTTTTATATTGTGTTTGATTCCAATTATATTCTTAAAACGTATAATTAATATTTCACTATTGGTATCCTGCTGTTATAAAGGGTATATATATCTATTGATCTAAAATGGATTTAACAAATTCAACATAATCTACATTTCCTTCTGGAGTAACATTAACTCCCTTTAATAATTCATCAACTTCAGAATCACTCAATTTTTCACCAATAGAAGTTAAAATATATCTTAATTCACCAACACCAATATAACCAGTTTGATCTTTATCAAATACTTGGAATCCTTTAATATAATCTTCTGGTAAACCTAAAGGTTTAAAACCATCAGGTCTATTAATTATATCTTGATAAGTATCAAAATCAAATTCATTACCTTTAAGTTGTTTTTGTAATTCAGCAATTTCAGCTAATGTTGGATTTTGTCCAACTGATCTTAATAAATCACCTAAATGTTCAGCTGGGATTTTACCAGTTCCTTTCTTATCAAAAAGAGCAAATGCATCTCTGTAAGTCTTTGTATTTTGTGACTAAAAGTGAGGGTGGTTAGTAAATCGTATAGCTCAATACAGGGAGAGCGGCTGTTCCCCTTTGATGACTACATACCATCGTGTTCAAATATTAATTAGTTTCAGTAAAAAGGCAAATGATTGATTGGTGATTTTTACGCTTTAAGGAAACGTCAAATAGGAAAATGTAAACAAAAAAATCTTTTTTTTGATCTGATAAGTTACCCGGATTTATATCCACACTGCCACTAGTGGTGCTAAATGTAGTTTACGTAGAATACTTGGTACTCAAATCTAAACTACGAGAAACATTATTATTAAGCTCTCAGTATTAAGAAGAGTGATAAGCCTGTACTTGGATTATTTAGGTATTAAATGTGTTCGAATAGCATTCTAGAGTCTTTCTCTGTGCAGCCCAAGTCCTCAAGTCAGTCACCCCAGTAGAGCCATACTAAGAGAAAAGACACCCGTAAACATAATTTACTAGATGTAGAGAGAGAAGCTGATCAAGTGTTTACAGTCAGACTAGAACTGTGGTAATAGTAGTAATACGCGCTTTGTCCGATCTCCACCCTTCATTACCTCTCTCACTCTCCCTCTCACTTTCTCGGGTTCTTTCTCTCTAATAAGAACAATGCCAAAAAAAAAACGCGTCTTGCAAAATTTGATCTTCAAAAATTTCCTCAATCAAAAAACGTTGCAAAAAAACTTATCAATCTAAGTATCATTCTTCTTTTGAATTAATCATCAAGAAATGAAGACAGAGGAGCCATCTAACAAAAGAAGGAAGATATACAAAGCTGACTTCAAGCCTGGTTTTATCAGGTCAGTGAAAGTCACCAACTTCACAACTTACTCATCGGCTGAGTTTAATCTTTCCCCAACTTTGAATATGATTATTGGTCCTAATGGGAGTGGTAAATCCACATTAGTTGCATCTATTTGTATTGGTTTGGGTGGTAAAGTTGATTTGATTAAGCGTAAGAATATGAAATCCATGATCAAGACTGGTACAGATAGAGCTACTGTTGAAATCACGTTAGAAAATTTTGACAATAAACCTCCAATTACTATACGACGGGAATTTACTGCCAGAGAGTCTAGTTGGCTGATTAATGGCAGAAGATCAACTGAAACTGCAGTCAAAGAACTTCGTAAAAAGTTTAATATTCAATTAGATAATCTTTGTCATTTTTTACCTCAAGAAAGAGTTGCTGAATTTGCTGGTTTATCTCCTGAGAAATTATTAATCGAAACTGAAAGAACATTAGGTGATGGTCATTTGTTAGAGATGCACGAAGAATTGAAAGATAGAGATGCTACAAGTCAGGAATTAGATAGAAAGATTAAAGATCTTTCGTCAAGACTTGAGCAATTACACAAACAAAGAGCTGAACTTGAAGTGGAAGCTAAGAAATACGAGGAATATGAAAGTAAATCCAAAGAAATCGGAAATTATAAATTATTAATTCCTTATGCACAACTTGCTGACCACGAACACGAATTGAAGGATATCAAACAAAAATCTAGAGACGCTAAAATTGCTATTAAGGAGTTTTCCAGCAGAAGGGACGGCTTGGATTCAGAAGTTGAAAAAGCAGACAGTGAGCTTACAAGAGTCAATTCTAAATTAGCTAAGGAAGATGCCGCTTTTACCAAATATAAAAAGAAGATAGAAGAATGTAAGAAGAATAAGGAAAAGATATTGGAAGCCATTAAAGAGGCTCACATTGAAATATCCACTTTACTGACCAGAGCCGAGAAAAAGAAAGAAGAATTATTAAAAATAAGAGCCGATCTTGAGAAATACGAGGCTCGTAAAGAAAGCTATGGCGAGGTCGACGAGGATATTATTACCGATTTAAGTAAGCGTGCCAAGGAAAAACGTCAAGAACAAAATGAATTAGAAAATCAAATTAGAGAAGCCAGTGGTCCTAGAAAGACTATTGAATATGATATAAATATGTTGAGAAAAAAATTTGCAGCCGAATCACAAAAATTAGAAACTAAAGATAAATTAGAGATCTTTGCTTCCCTGGGATACAGAAACAAAATCAGAGATGAAATGTTTGATATTGTAAAAAGATTACGTAAACAACCAGATTTGAATGGTCGTTTCTTCGAAGCTCCCATACTTTCTTGTGAAGTCACCGATCCACGACTTGCTCCTGCAGTTGAAAAAGCCATTGATAACATGACTTTATTTTCCATTACTTGTGTGTCACAAAGTGATTTAGAAAAATTGAAGACCTTCACTAAGAATCACGGGAAGAATGTCCCATTAAGACGTACTGATACGACACATAGACCAGCAAGTTTATTACCGGTCAGTCGTATTAAAGAATTAGGATTTGATGGATATCTTGCTGATTTTATCCAAGGACCAACAGCAGTATTGGGGATGCTTTATGATGTTTCCAAATTGCATAATGTACCAGTTAGTAGGGCCCCATTAACAACCGAGCAGATAAATAGATTGACCCAAGCAGGAAATGCTTTTCCCTTTGCTAAATTTATTTCTGGAGAAACGTTGTACAATATTCAAAGGTCAAGATATGGATCCAGAAAATCCTTTTATATCACCGAAGTCATTGGTAGGGCCAATTACTTCAGTACTCAAGGGATGTCAGAAGAAGCAAAAGCCGCAATTAAACGAGAACTCAAATCAACAGAAGATAAGATCAAAGACAAAAAGGCCGAGCTTGAAAAGATTTTGGAAGCTCATAGTGAGTTAATGGCGAAATTATCGGATTTAAAAGCCGAGTACAATGATATTAAACATGAAGGAGAAAAATTGATGCAACGGAAACAACATATTGCTAAAGTTTCAGGTGCTATTGAAGGTCTTCAAAAAGAAGAGAAACGTCTCGAAAGACAAGCTACTAGAGATTACAGTGACAAAATCAAAAAGTATGAAGGTCGTATTGCCGAATACTATAGTGAACTTGGTCGTGTCACTGTTGAACTTACTACAGTAATCCATGAACAAGCCAAACAAGGTCTGATTGTTAAACTTATCACCTTTGAACAATTGCATTTCAGAAATAGAAAAGAGATTGCTCAGCGTTTGGTTAGCGAAGCCCAATCTAGGATGCAAGAATTAAGGACCCAATATGAAAGATATAAAGCCGAATATGACAGATTGAAGAACAGTGAAACCGTAGCTAAAATCAGAGAACAGAGTGAATCATACACTGATGAAATGCGTGAAATCTTAACTGAAATTGCTCGTGAATATATCAATAATGGTAATTTCACCGAAGAAAATATTCGTGAAAAGATTAAGCATTTGGAAGATGAAATATCCATTATGACCACTGCTGATCATAGTTCTATTGATACTTTGAAACAAAAATTAAGAGATATTGAAGCTGCCGAATATGACCTTCCAAGGCTCGAAAATGAAAAAGAAAGAATCGATAACGTGATTGAAACAATACAAAGTAAATGGGAACCTGAGTTAACCAACTTAGTCAATAGAATATCCTTAGCCTTCAACAAGAGGTTCTCGAAAGTTGCGAGTGATGGGCAAGTCCAGCTAGCCAAACTGGACCGATTCAAAGATTGGAAATTAGAAATCTTGGTTAAATTCAGACAAGAATCAGAATTGAAAGTCTTGGACAATCAATCTCAATCAGGTGGTGAAAGAGCTGTGTCTACAATCTTTTTCGTCATGTCCCTTCAAGGTTTAACTGATGCTCCATTTAGAATTGTCGATGAGATTAATCAAGGTATGGACCCCAAGAATGAAAAAATGGCTCACAGATATCTTGTGCATACCGCTTGTCAAAATTCTCAATCCCAATATTTCTTGGTTACTCCCAAGTTATTGACTGGGTTATATTATCATCCTGATATGGTTGTGCATTGTATTTTTACTGGACCATTGATTGAAGGGAATGAAAAGAAGCATGATGATGATTTTGGATTTTTAGATTTTGTTGATAGAGCAGCTGCTGGACTTGCAGTCTAGATAAGAAGTATAGATTAATATGTACAAGGTATATAATTATTGTATTTACGATTTGTTTTCTATGTGGATGATAGCATTTTGAATTCGTTTCTTAATCTCTTGTAAACCTAAAAGATCCATATATTGTGGGATTGATAATCCTGATGTACGTCCAGATATGGCATATCTCAAACTTAAAAACACATCCTTTTTCGATATTTGCTTGTTTGAATCAGCAACAATCTTGTTTATACATGAGTTGACGTCAGAAAGATCACCTTTCAAGATTTGTTCAAGAATCGCCTGGGTATGTTCATTTGGTGGGATTGCGCCGGTCAAATCAACATCTTGGAAAAGATACATGTAATGGTTCTCAAAATCATTCATTGTGGTGAGATTTGGAGTAACATATTTTAAGGCTTTTTTGAAATAGTCTTTATTACAATTGGTCAATTTTGAAAACTTGGGATAATATTCATCAACGAGTTGTTCAAATTCAATAGGGTCATTTAATTTATTAAATAAATGATGTTTATTGAAACAATACAATTTCGAATCACTTACTTTAGCATTCCCTTTAGTCAAATGATCAATTGAAAACTTTTCAACAATTTCTTCAAGCTTCATGACTTCACTTACACTCTCCCCTGGGGTTTCACGAACTGGTGCCCAACCGAACAATGCAACAAAATTGATCAAAGCCTCAGGTAAGACTCCTTTATCTTTCAATGTAAAAATATTCAAATCTCCCAGCCTCTTCAGTAATTTCTTATCTTTCAATGAAGTCAATAATGGAATATGGACATATGCAGGTGGTGTCCAGCCAAATGCCTTGTATAAGGCGTAATGTTTAGGAGTAGAAGGTAACCATTCTTCACCCCTTACGACATGGGTTATCTTCATTAAATGGTCGTCTACGACATTGGCAAAATGATATGTCGGCATTCCATCCGTTTTCACAATCACGAAATCATCATATCTTCGATCCTGATAATTGTATTGCGGTTGGAATTGGACTGTTCCATGAAGAAGATCAACTATTGGGTCATACTCTTCTGGTGATTTGAATCTAATAACATAGGAAGGACCGTCTTCTTCGGTATGTAAACATTTTCTATCATATGTTACATTTGTTGGTGGTTTTAATAATTTGGCAGATTCAGTAAGGTGATTCAATCTTTCTTTTGAACAATAGCATTTATAAGCCAATCCTTTTTCTAATAACATATCAGCATATTTCTTATATATCTCTTTTCTTTCAGATTGTCTGTATGGACCATATTCTCCCCCTTCAATTGGTCCTTCATCGATTTTCAATCCACACCATTTCAAAGTATTATAAATATTAGTTTCCGCCCCTTCTACTAATCTTGTTCTGTCAGTGTCTTCAATACGCAATATGAATGATCCTTTGGTATTTTTGGCAAGGAGGTAGTTGTATAATGCTGTTCGTAAGGAACCTAGATGTAAGAAACCTGTTGGTGATGGAGCAAATCTTGCTCGAACTGGCGTTGTTGGATGTACTTGTGTGATTGCCGAAGTAGTTGCTACCGCCTCAGGGTTAGATACTTTTGGCTTACTCTTTATAAATGAAAGCTTGGCATAGCTTCTAGTGAAGCTTAGAAGCGAGTGTATTTTCATATGTTGCTCTGTTTGGATGTAAGTAGTCGTCTAGATTAGTTTCTTGGAATGTGAATAATTTTTTTTTTGTTTGGGGGATTGGGATTGGGGAGGGGAGGTTTGGCTGCAATAATTTGTGGGATGGTTTATTCACAACATAAATTCTGGTATGATAATAAATACTTCCCCATTTCATCAAGAACGGAACTCACAAGGTTCCTGAGAACAATCTAGATTTATTTTAAAACAAGGAACGCATTTGACAGATTTGTAAATACATTTTGAAATGTGCAACTTATAATGATTGGTAGCGCGAACGTAGTAATATATATAAAACCGGCATTCTTTTCAATTTTAAATTGTTAAAACCTTCATAAAATGGAGCTTTTGGATATCCGGTATGAAAATTATCATCCTCGGCATACCATAGGCTCTGAAAATGCAATGTTCTTGGAAATCCTTTAAGCTCACAGGTGTTTGCAAAGAATTCCAATAAAAGCTAGAAAATTTTATGAATTCCGTGTGTTGTATTAATAGAACATCTATACATACGATGAATTGGTAATAATGTCAGTTTCATTAGATCGATTCAAGGCCCAATCCTTAAGCGTTGACGAAGAATCTGGTTACTTTATAAAACTCATTTTTTGCAACACCATAGGATATCTTTTATAGTTGAACAAAAAGGGAGACATTTGTCAATGTCGTCAATTCTGGAATGTCCCAGAGTCACGTGCCACAGAATTCGAAGAAAGATTTCCTTTGTAGATTCTGTGACAATTTGGCGTTATTAGCTGTAATGTTAGTGAAGACCATAGTATATCCTTATATGTGTAAACTTCCAATAGGCTTAGTTTGAATTCGACACTCTGTCGTAATCCCACAATGGGTGGCAATAATTTAAATAAATTTCGCAAATGGAAAAGTGAAAATTATAAAGTCATTAATTTTTCGCGCTTTTAATTTATCCCCCTTTCTGGAACCTTCTTATTCTTCTTCTTCTTTTTGCCACAGTATATTTCAATTTCAATAATAATTCCAATTCACTAATGTGCAGAAGAGATAGAGATCAAGACGACGACAAGCATGACCGTCATCATCGTCATCATAGATATCCATGGGATGATGAAGACAATCGTGACAAAGTCACTCAAAGTTTAGACAAAATAGTTTCAGGAGTTGGTACATTAGCTAACACCGTATTCGATGTTTCATTAGATGCAGGTAAAGAATTCAATGAACGTGCTAGAGATTGGTCCAATAGAATTTTCCATGATGTTGATAACACTATTGAAGACACTAGAAGAATTGATCCATTCGAGAAATCATCAAATGAATTTAAATTTCCTTCATTTTATGAAACTAGAGATGCAATTCAGAATACGGTTGCTTCTCATCCTTTTTTGAATGATCTTTGGAGTCAATTCCCTGGAATGTCAGGATTTAGTAAAGGAAAAACCCCATTTGGTTATTATGCCTATAAAGGGCCTGGTATTCGTACTTATAATGATTGTTTAGAAAAGAATGGGAAATCAATTTGGGATGATAAAGGTTATTGGAGATGCTTATTTCCTAATAGTGAAGTTCCTGTTGAAATGTTGAATTATAAGAAGGAACATCTTTCTAATGATATTTTAACCAAGGAAGATTTTATGAATGCTATGAAGGATGCTTCAGTTCAACAAGGTCAACCAATTGATTTGAAAGAGAAAGGAACCTTTTTCAATACATTTGAAGATTTCTTGAATTGGAAGAATAATAAATATAAGGAAGCACAAGCTAAGAAACTTGAGCAACAAAAGAAATGGCAAGAAGAAAGAAAACAACAACTTATTTCCCAAAACATTGATCCTGCTACAAGATTTGTCGTTTCTAGCAGTGTTAAATCAAATATGTATACTGATTCAGAAACCAATGAAACTAGATTAGTCGAGGTTAGAGAAGAATGTTTTGATGATGGTACTTGTACCACCACTAAGATCACTAAACTGAAACCATTTGGTTCTAGTGAATGGGCTAAAGTTGAAGAAGAATCTTCAAATGATAAGAGTAAAGGATGGTTTTGGAAGTAAGGGAAACGTTTTGTAAGGATTGGTTTGGTTTTTAAGGGTATATAGTTTACTTTTGTGTAGTGAAGTTTTTGGGTTGACTTATTATGTTGTCACGTTTTCTTGTATATAGTTATATAGCTTAACTTTGTTACAATACTTATTGAACGTCCGGAGGGAGCCAGCACAGCCCGTATAAAATGTAGTAATAAAATTCGGTGTCTTTTCTTTGTACGTCCGTTCTGATGGCGATCGGCCTACTACGGTGACTGCGAGATTTAATTCCAGACGAGACAAAAACAACGCCGTTTTGACAGACAGCCAGCCAGGAAGAGAGAGAAAGACTCAACACCATATCCCTTATACAACCAATCTAAATAAAGATAAACAGACAGCATGAATCCTTTAAATAAGATTATTTTCCTTTCAGCATTTTTAGCCAGTGGGTTTTTATTAATTTTATTATCATGTGCATTATTTAATAACTATAAACCATTATGGGTAATATTAATCTTTTTATTAGCACCATTACCAAATATATTTGCTGATACAGTTGAAAGTAATAGAGATAGTTTCTTAACTTTTAATGATCATGAAAACGGATCAAGTACTCCATTACAAGAATTTTGTAAATATATAACTGGATTCTTAATTGTTAGTGGGATTGCTTTACCAATAACATTTTATCATACAAGATTGATTGAATTAGGATCAATGATTATGAGTATGATTGGTGGGTTGATTGTCTATAGTGACATTGTTTTGTTTATATGGTTCTTTAGTCATGAAGAAGAAGAAAATGACGATTTTAACTTTTAGAAAGAAAGGTATATATTGGTTTATATATAGATAAATAAGTCAAAAGAATAGAGAGAACTTAATTAAGAACAACTAATAATAAGATCAATATAACAGTTAATACAACTATAGTAACCAAACTCCCATTCTCTTTAGCTTTCCTTCTAAAATCATGCAATCTATTAGCAGCAGAATTCAATCTATATCCAGCATCATCTACCCCAGATTCTAAATCATTCAATAAAATCAAATGATCATCCAATTCTGAATTAATCCCTACCCCCATAGAATGCTGACGTCTGATCGAGGAATGCAATACATCCAAATCTTCATCTTGTCTTAATAATGTTTGTTGATGTTGAGCAAACATTTCTCGATTATCACTAGCGTTAAATGATTCGCCGTCGGATATTGTCTCGTCACCCAGTTCATCCGTATAGGGTTTAAATGCTCGTGTACCCATTAACTCATCCCTATTCTCATTATTGTTTGTAGATGAATGTGTACTCTCTTGGAATCGTACTGATTTTGTACTTGTAACTGGTCGTTTAAAACTATATTCATATTCTCTTATATCTATCGTAGTATCATCCAATAAACTTTCATATAATTCATTATATTGACTAGAACAAATAGCAAACTGTCCCAATAAGGATTCTATAGCTGGGGTTGTGTTGCTTATCCCCGAGAAGTCATCTTGTAGATACTTAAAGTATTGTACTATTCGTTGTAATAAGCTTATCAATTCAAAGTTATCATTGGTGGTTGGTGTTAATTTCATTTGAAATATTGAATGTCGTTCTTCAACAGTTGATGCTAATTCATCTAGACAGATGGTGACTTTGCCTAATGTCGTTTTGATATCCTTTATCTTAACTGCAGACATGACTTAATATTGTTTGGTTTTGGATTAATCTATCGTATGACTCTATCGTCGTACTAATTACCGACTTCTAAATTTAGTCCGAGCCCACAGCCCAAATGAACGTTTTTTTCTACTGAACTTTTAGGTCGGCATTTCGGGACACCGTATAAACTTTCCCACCATCCGACAACCAACCATTCAACACATACATCCAATCTAAAGACAGAGACATCGACAGAACCAGCTCGACAGAAGCAATGTTTTCTAAAATCAAAAACTTTTCTGAAGAAATGACAAAAAGTCTAAATGACTTAAATGAATCTCTAAATCAACCACAACAGAACCAACAACCACCTGCAAAACCAGATCCATTAACACAACTCAAGAAAGGATCTAAAATCCTATCTGCCAATACTCCCGAAATGCATGAAGTCACACAACCCACCGATGAAGACCAATCAACATCCAAACCATCATCCCCTGCCCCTGCACCTGCACCTACCGAGGAATCACAACCTGCTGTGGTTGACCCAATGACAAACCTCCCACCCCAGATCAAAGCAAAATTAAAGAAATTCGCCAAATATGAAGAAAAATATCCAATCTTATTAGAAGCATACAAGACTGAAAAGCATAAAGGTGAATTAGTTTCAATATTTGAAAAAGTATTACGAGAAAATACTCCTGTTAATTCGATATCTGAAGCTGGAACATTAGTTGATTATCTTAATGGATTGAATGAAAAGACGAAATTGTTAAATTCTGAAATTAGAAAATTGACAAAAGAGAATTCGGTATTGACTTTCAAAACCGCGAAATTGGAAGAAGAGAAGAAACATCACGACGAAAATGAGAAGGCAAAGGGCGAGAAGGAAGATGGGGGTGATATGGCGAAAGCTAAGATTGAGGAATTGGAGAAGGAGATTATGCAATTGAAGGAATCGATAGGTACACATGCTCTGGAGAATGAGGAATTACATGAAGAGAATGAGAAATTGAAGGCAGATACAGAATCGAGTAAAGTTGAAGTCGACACTCTTAAACAGGAGAATGAAAAATTGAAAACCGATATAGAATCGAATAAACAAGAAATCGAGACTCTTAAACAAGAGAAAGAGAAGTTGGAAACTGAAGTATCTGGAAATAAAGAGAAATGGGAAGTTGAAATTAATGACAAGACAACTAAATTAGACGCATCCTTAGCTGAAATAAATACTCTTGAAATTGAGATCGCAAAGACGAAGGAAAAACTAGAGGTTGCGTTATCTGAGATTGAACAATTGAAGAGCAGATCAATAAATGAAGCCGGAGATGTAGATAATACTAAATTCGAGAAGGCGGTACAAACGACCGAAGAGCAGGCACCAGAAGTCGAAGAACCTCAAGCGCAGCCATCGATAGAGGAAAAGGACCAGACATCAGCAGAAGAAAAGGTTCCGGAATTAGCAGAAGAAACACTGAAAACTGAAGAGACCTCAGGCCAATTCACGCAAGAAATAGACAGCCTCAAAAACCAAATATTAGACGTTGAAACCAAACTAACTCAAAAAGAACAAGAAAACAACGAATTATCAGAAAAATTACAAACCTTACGAGAACAGCTCAATGACAAAAACGACGAGATTGAAGACCTAAGAGATCTGGTACGTGATATAGGAAATGAATTAGTGGTATCCAAAGATGAAATCAAAGATCTTAAAACAAAACAAGCAGAGCAAGAAGCAACTGCTTCAAAGATTGATGAAGCTGAGGTACAAAAGTATTTGGATACTATAGAGTCTTTGAAATCGAATATTGCTTCTTGGGAGGAGAAATTCAATACGAAATCGAAAAAATTGGATGGGTTCCAGGATAAAGTATCTCAATTACAAAACGAATTGGATACAAAAGATAGCACTAGCAAGAAGGCGGAAGATTCATTACGGAAAGAGATCCAAGCTACTAAATCGACATTAAACTCCACTGAAGCAAAATTAGCAGAAACGAAACGAGAAGTTGAAAACTTGTTGCAAGAAAAATCAGGTTTGGAGAAACGTATAACTGAATTATCGAAATTCAAGAGTAATGATTCCTCCTTAAAACTTGAGATATCTGCATTACAAGAATCAATTAGTCAAAAAGATAAAACTATTGCCGAATCCAGGAAAAAAGTAGATGAAGTGATGAAAGAGAATAAATCATTACAGGTCATGGTTGCAAAATTACAATCTAGTAGTAATGAATTGCAAAATAATAGTATGGGATTACTTAAAGAAAAGAGTGAATTATTGACTAGACAGGAATTACTTGTTGAGAATACGAAATCATTGAATACTCAATTGAATAAATTACAAAGTGAAAAACAGCAAGTTGTTAATGAATTAGATAGAACAAAAGCAAAGCTTGACTTGCTAATGGCCGAGAAATCTAATTCTTCAAATGATTTCTTAATATATAAGAAACAACATGAAGAATTAATGATGAAGACAAAAGAATATACACTTCGTATAGAAGGATTAGAGGATGAAGTAAATGAGGCTAGAAATTTATTACAAGAAAGAAATAGAGAGGGTGCAAGTATTAGAAGATTATTAGTTGATGCTGAAGAGATGTTAAGAAATAAAGAAGTTGAGACTAAGAATGAAATCAATCGATTGAATGAAGAAAGAATGGAATTGGAAAGACTTCATAATATGACTATGAATAGAAAACAAAGGGAGATTGATGAGTTGAAACTTTCTATTAATGATTATAAAACGAAGATAAAATCACTTGAGAATAAGATCGAAGAGAGTAAGAAGGCTAGTGTCTTACAGACTAGTGGGTTTGAAACAAATAAGATGGATAGGGAACTTAATAGTACCATAGATACATTAAGATCAGCATTACAACAAGCTTCTAAGAAGTCGCAAGAGTATGAAAATCTTAATAATATACTTAAGAAATTAAATGAAGAGAATAATATGAAATTTGAAAGATTATCTAAGAATTATAAACTCCTAACTCAACAATATAGAAATATGAAAGAACGATCAAAACTGGAATCAGAAGAAGCTTTAGCATTACAACAAAAATTAAATCAACAACAACAACAGGCTGGTGGAAATAAACAATCGGAACTTAATATTGATTATTTAAAGAATGTCTTGTTGGGATTCTTTGAACATAAAGATCAAAGACAACAATTATTACCCGTTGTTAAAACAATTTTCCATCTTACCCCAGAAGATGAACAAAAATTTTTACTCGCATTAAAATAAATTTTTCACACCCAAAGTTACCAAGCGAGATGGCCCTGCTAGTTGACTTTCAATAGTATATGTATATATATAGACACAGTGTAAATTAGAGAAACAACAGATAGAAATGCAAGATCCATTTGACCAAAAGAAACAAGCAATCCTTAACGAGATTACTCTCAATAGTGAAGATAATCTAGATGCATCACCAAAAGGTACGATTGATGAACATTGTATACCAATCATTAACTTAATAAATTCAGATCCTAACATGGTAACCACTTCGTCCTGTTCGGGAAGAGTATCAGTATTCTTAGAAGGAAAGAAACAAGAGAATGATACTAAGATAATAGCAAAAGGAAATGAAGGTCGTTGGTTATTTGTAACTCATGATACATCTGATTTGAACAATTGGTATACCAAAGTTGATTTTAAATACCATGAGAACCAATTCCCTCCTCAAGATAATAATCATAGAAGTATATCGTTTAAATTTGAACCATTGATCTTACATGTTAAATGTCGAGATTTAGATCAGGCCACTAAATTATATACATGTGCTATGAATAATGGATTTAGAGAATCCGGAATTGGAAGTAATTTTAATGTAGCAATTAGAATTTCAATTAAATTAGATATCCCCATTGGTTATTATGAAAATGATACTGAAGAATTGATATCATTTGTTAGTGAGAGTTACTTAGACTATGTCACTAAATTATCATTTGAAAGATTTAATGAAAATTTTAAGAAATTAGATCAATTATATAAAAGTATTGAATGTTTAATTAAGAGTTCTTCTAGTGAATCATCATCATCTGGAATAACCAAGAAAGAATCAAAGGAAGAAAGAAGACAAAGAAAAATACGAGAAGGTTTACAAAGACAGCAAGAGACAAAGAAGTTAAAAGAACAACAAGAAGCTCAGAAGGAGTTGGAACAGTAGAATATAGATAGATAGTACATATAAATGTATAGTTAAATGTGTTGGTTCATCACTCCCCCTTAGTCTTCGCAGGGCATTTTCGCACTCCCTCCCGCAACCCCCGTACTAAAACATCCAATTGCCATTTCACTCCCTCGCACACTCTGACTCAAAAAAAATTTTCAGCACGGAGCGAGTTGGCAACCAGCAATCTCTTTCTAGAATTAATCATATCAATTCCTCAACAATGTCCACCGAACAATCTCAAAACTCTCCTGCCGCTGAAGCCAAGCTAGAAGCCAACCCAGCCGAAGCTGCAGCCGCTCCAGCTGAAGAAGTCATTCTTGGTGAAGATGGTCAACCATTATCCAAAAAGGCATTGAAAAAATTACAAAAGGAAAAGGAAAAAGCTCAAAAGAAAGCAGAAAGAGAAGCTCAATTAGCCAAAGAAAGAGCTGCCAAAGAGGCTGAAGCTGCCAATGATCCAGCAAAAGCCAATTATGGTAAATTACCATTAATCAACTCTTCTTCCAGATCTGAAATTAAGAGAATTGATATCAAAAATTTAGGTGCCCATGCTAATGGAGAAACTGTTGTCTTTAGAGCTAGAGTTCATAAGAGTAGACAACAAGGTGCTACTATGCTTTTCTTAACTTTGAGACAACAATCAGATTTGATTCAAGCTTTAGTTAGAACCAATAAAGAAACTGATGATAAGGCAGTCTCTAAACAAATGGTTAAATGGGCCGGATCTCTTAATTTGGAAACTATTGTTGTTGTTCAAGGTATTGTTAGAACAGTTGAAGAAGCAGTTAAGTCAGCTACTGTTCAAGATATTGAAATCCAAGTAACGAAGATTCATTCTATTCAAGAAACTCCAGAACAATTACCATTATTGATTGAAGATGCTTCTAGATCAGAACAAGAAGCTGAAGAATTACAATTACCAGTTGTTAATTTAGATACTAGATTAGATGCTAGAGTTATTGATTTAAGAACTCCAACCAATCAAGCTATTTTCAAGATTCAATCTGGTGTTTGTCAATTATTTAGAGAATATTTATCCAAAAAAGGGTTTACTGAAATTCATACTCCAAAAATCATTGCTGCTGCCTCTGAAGGTGGATCCAATGTTTTTGAAATTAATTATTTTAAAGGATCTGCATTCTTAGCTCAATCTCCTCAATTATATAAACAACAATTGATTGCTGCTGATTTTGAAAAAGTTTATGAAATTGCCCCTGTTTTCAGAGCTGAAAATTCAAACACTCATCGTCATATGACTGAATTCACTGGATTAGATTTGGAAATGGCTTTTGAAGAGCATTATGATGAAGTATTGGAAGTTTTGGAAGAATTATTTATGTTTATCTTTACTGAATTAAAAGAAAGATATGGAAAAGATATTGCAACTGTTAGAAAACAATTCCCAGTTGAAGAATTTAAGATTCCTGCTGATGGAAAAATGGTTAAACTTCATTTCAAAGAAGGTATTCAAATGTTAAGAGATGCTGGTAAAGAAGTTGACGATTTTGAAGATTTATCTACCGAAAATGAAAAATTATTAGGTAAATTAGTCAGAGACAAATATGATACTGATTTCTATATTTTGGATAAATTCCCATTAGCAGTTAGACCATTCTATACTATGCCAGATCCTGAAGATCCAAGATATTCAAATTCTTATGATTTCTTTATGAGAGGTGAAGAAATTCTTTCTGGTGCTCAACGTATTCATGATCCTGAACTCTTGAAAGAAAGAATTAGAGCTCATGAAGTTGATCCAAATGTTCCTGGATTAAAAGATTATGTTGATGCTTTCTCATATGGATGTGCTCCACATGCTGGTGGTGGTATTGGATTAGAAAGAGTTGTTATGTTCTTTTTGGATTTAAAGAATATTCGTCGTGCTTCTTTGTTCCCAAGAGATCCAAAGCGTTTGACTCCATAGGTAGGTTCTTTCTACGTTTATAGTTATCCTTTTATAAATATTAATAAATCTGTACTTACTTCGACACGTACATGTATAGAATTGTAGTGTAACTTGGTAGCTCCATATCAAGAAGTGTTAAAATTTGGAGGGCTGAAAAAAACATAAAAAGATTTCTAATAAAAGCAGCGTTACTTTCAAAATAAAAACAGACATTCAATAGAAAGAGAATCATCTTTACGAATATCAAATACCCCATAAACAGATAGAAATACAATAGAAAGAATAAGAAACAGAAGCGATGGAAGGACGAAAAGATACAAATGCTACCATTTTATTGATGGGACTTCGTAGAGGTGGTAAATCATCAATTTGTAAAGTTGTATTTCATAATATGCAACCATTAGATACTTTATATTTAGAAAGTACAAGTAAACCAACTACAGAACAATTCTCATCATTAATTGACTTATCGGTAATGGAACTACCTGGACAATTGAATTATTTTGAACCAAATTATGATTCAGAACGGTTATTTTCAAGTATTGGTGCCTTAGTTTATGTTATTGATTCACAAGATGAATATCTTAATGCTTTAACTAATTTATCCATGATTATTGAATTTGCTTATAAAGTTAACCCCAAGATTAATATTGAAGTTTTAATTCATAAAATTGATGGTTTGTCTGAAGATTATAGAATTGATGCTCAAAGAGATATAATGCAAAGAACTGGAGATGAATTATTAGATTTAGGATTAGAAGGGGTACAAGTTTCGTTTTATTTAACTTCAATATTTGATCATTCAATTTATGAAGCATTTTCAAGAATTGTTCAAAAATTAATACCAGAATTATCAAGTTTAGAGAATATGTTAGATAATTTAGTTCAACATTCTTCAATTGATAAAGTATTTTTATTTGATGTTAATTCAAAGATTTATGTTGCTACTGATTCTTCTCCTGTTGATATTCAAACTTATGAAGTTTGTGCTGAATTTATTGATATAACCATAGATTTAGATGATTTATATCTTGAAAACGATAGAAATAGGAATGCTAGAATGAATAAGAACAACACCGATGAACAGCCTCATCAAGGAAAAGAATTGAAATCAATTAGTCATTTATCAAATGGTTATATACTATATTTAAAACAAATGATTAGAGGATTGGCATTAGTTGCATTGATACGAAACGATGATACTACCAGAACCATGAATAGAACCATTGATATTAATAGTGCTGGTGGTACTGATGTATCTAATCTAGATGATAATCAAGATAAATCATTAGCTATAATTGATTATAATGTCAATTTATTCAAAGAATCTTTAATGAAGATATGGGAGAGTTCTCGTTTGAATGCAGAACAACATGGAAATAATATCAATCATACAACTTCCAATGGAAATGGTACTGATCATCTGTCGTTACCAATCTAGAACAATATCTTAGTTTATATTACATAAATATATCTATTTGTATAGGACAGTCTCTCTCTCAACTCTTTTTAATAATTAATGTTCTCTTTTACTGTCAACTTTATACACTTTTAATTAATACAAATCACCAGACTTGTCAAATTAACTAAAAATATATAAAATATCAGTTTAACTTCAAAGAAGTATAATTAGGAAATCAAAAATTAAAAGATCCACACCATCCAATTTATAAATTAGCAATCCCCCTCCCCCAAAGGGGAAGCGAATTAAACTAAAATACAAACCATACGGAAGGTTGGCATAATCCATCATGGCGCTGTGCAATGCCTCTAATGAACATATGATTACAAGACTACTTGATCTCTTGTAATATCTCTAGGTAAGTATGAAGAAGAAAAACCAGAAAAAAGAAAGAAGAAAATTTCTTCTTTGATCGTTCTTCAGCTGAATTTATACTTCGCGCCAGAAGAGAGCAAAGAGAAAAAAAAAATGATGATATCCGGGTAACTCTTATAAATTAAACCTATATCTAACTAATGACTTTATACTCAGCTAAATACAATTTTGTAGTTCCAACATTTCTAATATAAATCTTCTTTTCATCAAGATGTTGTTTGCTAGCGACAATAGTTGCTATTCCTGTACATTTCCCTCTATTCAAATTCATACCACCAGTAGTTACAAATCCAATCATATTGAAATCAGATGGTAGCGTATGATTCTTCATTGAATTATGTTCATTGATATATATCCTGGCATTATTGGAAATAGTACCGTCATTGACTAATGTTAATGAGATTTGAATGACTGGAATCTTAGTTTGGACAATAGTTGCAACATTCTCACAACGAGATGTTGGGTCATTATTGAAGAATGCAACATGTTGGACATTTTTGGAATCATAGATTTCTACAACTGGGTCCTTAGGATCAGCAACCTCTTTATATAACGACCTAGCTACTTGAATTACATCATGTCCCGTTTTCAACTTCCTTTCCAAATCCTCCAAAAATTCTGCAAATTGAGCAGTCCTACTAAACAATTTCTCATCAGATAATCCACTATACTTCACCAAATGGTGTAAATTTCTCAAACTATGCCAATCACAACTATGTGCCCTAAATACTGTCGAAACTTTCCCCTCCGCCGCCTCAATCGTCACTTGACTCCGTGGCAATCTCCCATCTTTCAACTTATTAGCTTGTTCAACCACATCATTACTAACCCATCCATCATATAACCAAGGATAATCCTGCGGGAATGACGCCAAACCATTCTCGAAATTGAATTGATACACCTGTTGAATCCCACCCGGTTTCACGTCACGAACGTGAACCAATCGAGACCAGACCGGAAGGACCCAATACCAAGGCGTAATCACCGTCCAAGTCTGACTTGCGGTTTTGGAAACGAGGATGGGGATTTGGGAATGGGATATATCTGAAGGTTGTTTATTTAAATTACCATAAAACCTTCCGATTTCTTTTAGGGTGAGTTGGTCTTTGTAGCTTGTATATCTTCCTTCTGGGGTGAATAGATCTTCGATGACTTTGGGTGATATCATCTGTGGGGATGATGATGACGAGAGGGAGATGATTATGTCATAGATGGATTTGGATTCTTTGAGGGAGTATGGGAATTTGGATGGGCGTTTCCAGACTCGTGGATCTTGGATATGGAATGTGAATGTTGTGCCGATGGGTACGAGTCCTGAATCTTTGATGTTTGCCAATGATCCCCAGATGTCTAATATTGCTGGTGGGAGCTTTTCGGAGAAGTGGAATACTTTGGAAAGGGATGATAATGCCATTGGACCTGATAATTCTATACTTCCTAATGAAAATCGACAATCATGGATCGAACATGTTGGGAAATCTTCAAGCTTGGTTTGTAATGCAGTAAATAACCTAGTGTAGACAGATGGAAATACTCGGACTAAAATCAGATTGGTTTCCAAATTGGCATAGATGAATCCTTTACAAAGCTGTTTTGAATCAATATAAATCCAATCATTATACGACTTTTCACCTTGTTTTATCTTTTTAGAAACTGATGATTTATTAGTCAATCGTCTCAACACTTCATCAAATAATTCTTCTTGATCAATATTAAGTATCAAACTACAATAATACGACGTATCGAAAGCCACTGCTTTTGCCTTATACTGTCTATTCATCAGTTTAAAACACTTCTGAGTAGGTGTATAAGGAATTTGATATCCATGTAATTTCATCATTTTAAATCGTTTAGCATGCCAAATATGAGTTGGCGTCCATACAAATTCCTTCTGTCTCTTGCGATATTTGATATTCCCCATTGGACGATCAGCTAATTGGTTCAAACCAGTTATATCCCTCGCTCCAACAGAATTGTTCAATTTGGCCCTATCATGACCCAGTTCATAAACCTCTTTCAATTGTTTACTAAGTAATTTATATTGAGCACGAAGGTTTAGTTTTGCTTGAAAAGCTTTCATATCAGGTAATACTGCCCTTTCGGCTTTCAATTTCCCAGCGACTTTTAATAATCTCCTCGAAGCCAATAATTTATAAATATGTCTACCTTTAGGCAATTTCTTCACTGGACCACCATTAGTACTCATTTCTCGCCTTGCACGAAGTCTAAGTCTCTTAGGAATTCTTTTCACATTATGAGAAGCGGCTCTTCTACGTAAGGAACGTGGTAAAGATTGGAAGACTCGAGTAGATGAAGCATTTTTGGAATTTAGTTGAGATAATTCAAATGATTTTATTTCGAATTTTCGAGCTTGTAAGAAATTGGCAACGTTTAATTTTTCTTTGTTTTCGAAACTTGAGTCATGGATTTGGGTTTTGATTGTTCGACTGTTGTAGAGTCTGGTTTTCTTTTTGTTTATATTGGCATTGGGTTTGCCTGACATTGTGTGGATTATGGTTAGTTGTCAATGGGGGGAAGAAGAAGAAAGTTGATTTGGGGTTAAATTTCTCATCGCGCGTTTTGAAAAATTATATTGGAACGAGGAGGTGATGAGTTAGAGGATACCAATCTTACAGGAATTACTCTGTCCTGATAAAAGCAATGGCCACGCCACTCTCGAGCAAATAGAAAGACGGTTGCTGCGACCGTAAAATCTTATAAACGTTACATTCATTAAATACTGATCTCTATAATCTAATTAAGCTAATAATATGATACACCATATATTGTTGGTAAATGAGTATGATCTTTTTGCCATTCTGTTAAGATACTCATCATTTGATCTTCCAATATAACATCAGAGTCATCTTCATAATCTTCGGATTTCTTTTTCTTTCTAAAATCATGAATCATATTAACTAATTTTAATATCCCTTTACCACCAATTATAGCATTTTCATTATCATCTTTAATATCAACATTTATTACATGAACAATTCTTCTAACATCATTCATATCTTCATTGCTATACATTCTAAACATCAAATCATCAATCACACTATCAAAACATCTTTCTTCACAAGTTATAATCAAATCAAATTTCCCAGCATAAGAATTTGTATGCCATTTTTCAGGAGCTGATTTAACTTTACGATTTCTATCCAACATATGAATTAAACCATTTGCTTCATACATTTTCTTACATTTCTGAGAGATTAAATCATCATATATCTCTTGGTATGGAGTACCGAAATCATATACATTAGGTTTATCTATTGAAGGTCCTGGTAATCTAACCGCAGATCCAGTACCAAATGATTGAACATCATATCCCGCATCTTGTAGTTGTTTATGTGATTCCATTGATCTATTGTTATTAGATGCACATACTGTACATATCCGTAAACTGTCATCTAACATCTTCCTTCTATTCTATATATCTTAGTAATCACCTGTCAATGGCAATAACAAGAAGAAGAACTCCGGTGGTGGAATTAAAGAGGGAAAAAAATTGAACCCTAAGTAAATATTTGTACATTATACACGACCTAACTATCTATCCTAAATCTACAAACTCATCTTCTTCTTCATCTTCATCTTGATTAGATTTCATTAAATTCAAATTGACAAAGTCATCATCAGGTTGGTCTACAACTTCCCATGATTGACCAACAGTTCCATCTTGTATTGGAGTCATTTGTGGATGGAAATATACGATTTTATTTCCATTTTCACGACAATATATCTTAAAATCTCGATATTCTTGTTCATCTTTAAGTAATATTCCAATCATCATCGATGGGTCTAATGCGTTTATATCTAGATATTGATGATTCTTGGTATGATATGATTGATAGTTTATTGGATCTTCAAATAATTGAGAAACATGAGGATCAAAATATATTAATTGACTTTGATTTTGATAACCTAAGAAATAAAATGATGAAGATGGTTTACCTCCAGATATACCAACGCTATACTTACATCTTAATAATTGTAGGATACTTTCATAATAATATTCATTTACTTGTTCTATTCCTAATCTCATCGGTAATAATACTAATACACTTGAATTATCAGTACCATTTTTGAACAATTGTTTAAGTTCATCGTCATATAAATCGGAATTCTCACTTATGAATACATTAGGATATTTGATATTTCCATTTTGATTATCTTTAATTTCATCAATTAATTTCTTGATTGAAAGTGATGCAGCATTTGGACCAAACCATTGTCCCGGTTTGATTTGCAATGGCAGTTCACCAGCTACTCTTATGAAATTATGTAATGAAAATGGTGCATCCTTCTTATCTTGAAACAACCCAATCACGTCCTTATCTATATCCGCAGTTGTTGTAGCAAGTCTTATCAATGCGGTAGCTAATAAATTCTGAGATGTTCGAATCATACATCCCCATCCAGCATCGGAATTAAAATTCTCTTTATCCAATAAGCTTCTCAAATTGGCAAAGTTGGCAAAAATGCCTTTATTAAATACAATAGATGGAAAGAATGAGATTGGCAGTGGACCATCTTCTGCTTTAACAATTGGATCAAATCCACATCTATACGATAACCAAACTTGTGAACTAATGAATGTATCTGCATCTTGAGCATTTTGGAATTCTTGTCCTAATATAAATATTCTTTTATCTTCTTCTGGTTGTTGTTGTGCTTTTGTATCTATTATAATCCCTTCCCCAGTTGTTGTTGTACCGGTTGAAAACTCCCTAAAGAATGCTGAGAAGCGTTCCAAATTTCTTCCAATTATTGTGTCAATTCCATTCTGATTTTGGTCAGTTGTTTGAGGTTCTGGATCATTGGTGTTAGTGTCCATGATTGGTATATACTTGTCTATAATAATATAATACTTAATGTGTAGTTTAAACAAATGAAGTAAAGTAATGTTTGGGGTATTTTTAAATTGCCTTCGATATCCCAACCATTTCCTGTTTCAGTTGTGCGGCTCATTCTTCCTTGTTGTGGTACCCTGATAAGCAACCGATGTGACTTATGCATTTGTATATTCAACCAAAGACAACTTACACATATACTTGAATTGATACACGTGACACCACAGTAGACATTAACGTGACCTATCTCTTTCAGCAACTCCATTTCCTTTTAGATTGATCTCCGTTTGGGTGTCCTCTAGTGCTGTGTATTTGCAGCTATAAGTTTATCTGGTACTGCATATAGATTATAAATGATTTGTCCTGTCAAAAACGTTTTTGAGCATCTCTCCATTCAAAAACGCTTTGACTCATTTTAGCACCCTTAAGGAACTCACTATACATCCCCCAAAACAGAATGGCGAGGGGAAACAGACGGAATAATAGAGGAAGAGGAGGTTCAAGAGGTCGTGGAGGTAGTCGAGGCGGAGGAGGCGGAAGATCAAGAGGAAACAGTAAATCGAAGTCGAAATCCCACCCTCAGAGACCACCTCAAGGATATACAAGAAATGTGAATATGACAGATTATCCCGAATTAATGGACCTAGCAGAAAATGTTGTCCTCGGTGGTGCTTCTCCATCGATGTATCAATTATCTCAAACTAGAAGACATTGGATGGATGAGGTTGAATATACTAATTCACATCAAGCGGATACGATGTCCAGAAAATTAAGAAATAATCCTGTGGAATTCGTAAAAGCTAAAGAAGTTTATGATCCGAACTCGATACTTATTGAATTGGCGAAGAAGAACAAGCATAATATTGTTGATAGAATAGAGGGTGATTTTAAGGATATTAGTTTGGATGAGGTTAACGTGGTGCCGCATGAGAATGAGGAGGATGGGGCTGAGAGTCATATTAATGGTCTGCAACCTATAGTGTCAGACGAGAAACCAGCTGAGAGAATACGCATTGAAACAGATGTTGACGTTCAGGAAAGCATTACTGACAACCACGTCGAGGGTGCTGAACATAGAGTTGGCGAGGAAAGCCCGGAAGGAGAACCAGAAAATCCAATTGAAGTGGAGGACTATCTATCCGAAGAGGAGCTGAATGACTCTCCATCGGATCAAGAAAATGATGAAGTCAGTATGGAAGGAAATGTAGAAAATCCAATAGAGGTGGAAGACAATTCATCTGCCGTAGAGCTGGATGAAACTTCCTCAGATGAAGAGCTGGATGAAGAGGACGATGACGTTGCAGTAGTAGTACAAGAAGAAGAAATAAAAGAATCGGAGTGGATTGAAGCATATCCTGACTCAGATGGAGAAGGTTACATCCCAGAAGAAACCTCAACCAAAGAATCCAATGCCCCATCTACCAGTAAGTCCAACAACATAGTTCCAACACTTGACATCATACTAGACACACCAACCACCTCCGTGCATATATTAGCCGACTCTCCACAACCAGAATCTCAACCCGAAATCGAACCAGAACAAGCTGAACCAGAACCAGAATACGGCTATCTCGAAGAAGATTACGAATTCGACATCTCACGAATCGAAGTCACCAATGTCCGATTCGGAATCCATAATCAATATTATTGTCGTTGTTTGGACCTAACTGGTTCCCCAGACGATTTTGCCTGGATAGATGAAGATGATGTGATTGAATATGCTTTGGAGAATGGAGTCAAGGAACATCGATTAGGGAAGTTTTTGTCGTTTATTACAAAAGGAATGATTGATGATTCTGAAGAAGAAGAGGAAGAGGAAGTTTATATTTCCGATAGTGATGAGAGTGAAGAAGAAGAAGAGCATGAAGTAATCGAGATTGAGGATTACGATGATGAAGATGATGACGGATTGGATTCATTGGTGGAATATTCTCGTGCAAGTACCCAAGGATTCCTTGCCTTTGAAGACCGTGATTTCTCACGCAATACCCCGGCGAAGAAACGTACAACGTTCTCCGATTTAGATATCGAAGATGATCTTCAAGAATCCCTAACATATCAACTCCAACAATATAAAGCAAACAAAAAGAAAAAACTCAAAGCTTGGGAAGTAAACGAAAAGGAAGAAGCAATCTTGCGTAATGACATGTTGATCAAATATCCACTTCAAATCCACATAAATGAAATCAAAGCGGAAATGGAAGCACTCCTAAGAGATCATACTCGAGATTCGGTAAGTTTCCCCCCATTAGATGCTCATGGTCATAAAATTATCAAAATGATGGCAGATGGATACAATATGGGTGTCAAACGATGTGGTGGGCTGTCTACATCTCATTATATGAGAGTACAAAAGTCAAAAGCGACGTTTAGATTTTATCCAAACTATGATAAAATAGATCGCTTCCTCAGACAGAGACGAGTCTTTGTTCGACAAGACAAGAAACCACCCCCTAAAGACAGAAATACCGACAAGAAAGTCGTCAAACGCGGAGGAGGCAATGATTCGAAAGCACGGTTCAGAGAAGGTGATATTGTGGGTGCAGAAGCTCCCGAGATTAGTGAATCTAATGTAGGGAGACAAATGTTGGAAAAATTGGGTTGGGTAGCTGGTCAAGGTTTGGGTGCGCTTGGAAATCAAGGTATTAATGAACCGGTGGTTGCAAAAGTTAAACAATCCAGAACCGGGATTAAATAAAATTAATAGATCTCTATATAATTAATTATTAAAAATGCATCTCTATTTACGTTTTGGTTTCTTCTTTTTGACTTTGGTTGGTGGTGCAGCATGGCCGGTGGATTTGATGTGTTTGAATAGTTGGTTTCTTGTTTGGAACGACAGATCACACACAGCACACTTTTCAGGTCCGGTGATAATTGGTGAGTTTGATTTTGGTTCTGGGGCTGGAGATTGGGTGGGAGCTTTTGGAGTTGCCTCTCTTGATACCTTTTTATTCTTTTTCTTTTTGGATTTCTTAGGGTCAATTCCCCAATCGTCTTCACTATCGTCGTCGATTTTGCTACGTTCCATAAATCGCAATAGATCCTCGTCAATTTGTTCAACAGGTTCTGAAGCTTTCTTGGGCATGGGTATGTATGCATTGTCATCTTCGCTATCGATTTCATCATCCACTTCCACGTCTTGTGAAATTTCGATATCTTTCAACTGCTCCTCCATTTTTTGTAGTTCCTCTTCAAGATCTTTATCTTGGTCCTCGAGATCGGACTCCCCCAGTTCTTCTCGGTCAAGTTCCTCGAATTCTTCATCCTCCAGTAATCCACTCGATGCTGTTTCAAACTCATCCAAATCGATATCATCTTTGTCTATTCCCAAATCTATTCCTTCCTTTCTCATTTCCCATTGCATCTGCCTCAACGCTTTTTTATGCTTCTTCGATGCCTCATGAATCTCAAACTGTTGTTCATTCTTGAAATATTTATCACATATAATACATTCATACTCATGAACCTCTAATTCTTCTTCACCATCTTCAAACTCATCAAATTCTGAATCTGAACTTATATCATATTCTTCCTTCAACAACGCCTCCACATCCTCCAATTCATCATTTGTCAATTTTTGCCAATCTTGTTCTTGAAATTCAGTTGAATGTTTCAATTTCTCCATGGCTTGTTGTTTCAATTGTGCCTGATATTCTTCCATTTGTTTCTTCTTTCTTTGTTTTTCATATTCCTCTTGACCAGCTTTAAACCTTGGGTCTCTCCTTTTGATAAATGCCACAAATTTCTTTATGACCTCATTGTATTCCTTTCTTGCCGCATCTCGTAATTTCTTATTCTCTTTTTCCATCAATCTTCTAGTTCTTCTATCAGGAGCAGTTGAATATCGATATTCATCTCTCCAAGCAAATGATTTCACAGTACTAAACCCACCCCAGACATTATAAAACACCCGAACTTGATCCACATACAGGGCTTTACTATTGCCAAACAACGGGAATTTCAACAATTCTGGATCTAATACATTCACATTATTATCATCATCACGATATTTCATATATTCAGGAATTTGTTGATATTTCCCATGTTGGATCTCTTCCCTCGCCAATCTCTCAAATAACCTCCCGGCAACAACATAGAATCCATTTATACTATCATCATATTTTTCAAACAACGAAGGATTAAAAAATCGATAGATTTCTTCGGTCGAAATGCTTGGAATATGGGAGTCTCCAGTATCCACATAATCCTCCTCATTGTCTTCATTCAAGATCAGCGATTTATGAGAATCATACCATGATCTTTCCTGTGGGTCACTAAGGACTTCATAGGCAGCACGGATCAGGGAGAATTGATGATGGGCTTCGTCGGGGTTGTCAGGGTTTTTGTCAGGGTGTAATTGGAGGGCTTTTCGACGATACGCTTTTTTGAGTTCTTGGTCGGTGGCGGTGGATTCTACACCTAGGAGTTCATAGTAACATGTCTTCATACTTTCTTGTGGGGTCCTTGTATGATGATGGTTGTTCATATCTGGGAAGATTTCTAAAATTTTTCTCACATTTCCATAATGAGAGATCCAAATGCGCATTTTTCCAAAGCGCAAATATTAAATCAATGAATAACTTTTTTATTTATTAATCATTATTGAAACAACAATACTACAAGAAACTAACTAATAAACTATATACGGTCTAGCTTTCTATATGAATCACAACGTGTATGAAGTATGTAAAAATATGCATAAATGGATCTCACCTCTCTCTCGGGCATTCACCAACCTTTTGAATGATAATCATCAAAATCATCATCATCATTCCCACCTGCCATATTTCCAATCATCAATGCACTTGGATTTATAACTCGATCAGGCAACGCCACTTTTCCCAATTTATAATCAATAATCAATGCATCTTTCAAACTCTGACTTAGATCCTCATCCAAGACTTTCTCTTTTAGGGATACATCCCTAGTTGTCACTTTTGGTAATGGAACTGAAGGTGGTGGAGGTGGTGGTGCTGGGGTTGGTGGACTATTTGCATCATGAGCCGTAGTTGAGGATGGGACTACTGGGGTTAGCTGTTGTAAATGAAGGTGATGGAATGAAGAAGTAGGTGCTGGATTTTGAACATTATGTTTATGCAAGAAATCATGATGTTGTTTTGCAGACGAGGTGAAGGAAGGGTGTTTTGGTTTTGAACTTGAATATAATTTAGATAAATTCATAGCCGATTTTGAAATGTATGTTCGGAATGTACTATGGGAATCAGAATGGGAGATTTTGTTTAGACTGGTGGATAATTTTTCATGTTGTGCTGCTGCTTCAAGTTCACTTAATCGATCATGAGAACTATAGTCAGAAGTTGCATTGACGTCCGATATACCGACTATTGTTTCCTGTTTATTCATTGGAGGTGCGGGACTACTTCCTTCGCTGGATGTCAAATCAGTCACTGATGGGAATTTCGTCTTGGCTAATATCAATGAAGGCTTTCTAATTTCTTTATCCCTCTTTTCAATCGTAATCACTCCAGTAGTACATGACCTCCTAAGCGTTGGTTTATCATGTTCTCCATTCAAAGGCGTGTTTGCCACCGTTGATGCCATTTCATTAAGAAACAACCCTGATAGTAGTGATCTTGGTTTTTGTAACAAGGGGGTTGACTGTCGTTTATCTAGATGTTCAATTGCTATAGGTACAGGATCAACTTTTGCGAAATTCAAAGGTGGAGGATCATGATTGAGCAGATGGGCAGAATCAGAACTTACAGAAAGCCATTCACTATCATTATCTTCCTTTTTATGATTATTTTCATCTTCTGTATCTACTTCCTCTTCCTCTTCCTCTTCTTCTTCTATTTCCTCGTCTTCAGAGATATCAGTTGACGAATATCCATCATCATCCTCGTCATGGTCATGGCGCTCATGCGAATTCTTCTTCGTCATATCTGTTTCTGTAAATCCAAAATTGCTAAATAATGAACCTTGTCGCTGCATACTTGAATCATCAGGCGCCGCAAGAGTGACTCCTAATTGTTCCGACTGAGCACGTGGGTGATTGGCAATACGACCATTGGATGTATGTAATTTCGAATTTGGTGTATGTAATTGAACTGGAGGTTTTAATTGCAGTAATCCCAGAGGAGAAGTGGCTGGTTTGGTATTTTCGTTTTTGGAATTAGAAGGAGATGGTGAGTTTGAAATATAAAATATGTTCTTATGTTGTTGCTGTTGTTGTTGTTTCTGGAAATGTGTTTGTGGTTTTGGTTGTTTAGGTTGAGTACTTTTAGGGGAAATTCTCTCATCTAGTTGTTTACTACCTGGAGATACGGGCTGTTCTCGTTGTTTATTAGTTGGAGATATGGCATGCTCTTGTTTTTCTTGTTGCAGTAGTTCACTGGGGGTTTGTTCAAGATGGATCGGAAGGTTTTTGAGCTTCATTAGACTATGCTTCCATGGGTTTTTCGTATTTGAATCCTGTACTGCATCGACGTTTAAATCTTTTCTGTCTTCTTCGTATTCTTCCTCCTCTTCGTCATCTTCAGAAATTTCCGATATATCTGAAATATCAGAATGTAATTCATCATCGTCGACAGTTTCCTCGTGGAGTTCTCTACTAGTTTCGGTTCCTATTGATTTCCTTGAAGATGCCGTACTTAATCCAGAAGAATGACTAAACAATGAAGCGGTTTGACTTTGATTATTAGTTTTATTCATTGATNTTGATTTCCTTGAAGATGCCGTACTTAATCCAGAAGAATGACTAAACAATGAAGCTGTTTGGCTTTGATTATTAGCTTTATTCATTGATTCTGATGAATGGTGAATGCGAGGTTGTTTATGATCTATTGCTACAAGATTAGTTCGATTTAAGTCATTTAATTTGGTTTCTCTATTTTGTTTTAATATTACCTTTTGACTTATTAATCTCCATGATCGATAATTTATTCGTTGTGGTTGAGATGATNCTATTTTGTTTTAATATTACCTTTTGACTTATTAATCTCCATGATCGATAATTTATTCGTTGTGGTTGAGATGATAGATTAGAAGTGGTTGATATTATATTTGAATCTTTTGTTAATTTCCATATGTCAAATAAGGATTGGTCTGAATGTCGATCATAATTTAATGATATTTGAATTGTTTCCATAGTGGTACGTGGTATGGTTGGACTATTTACTGTGTGAATTGAATGCTAAAATTGATATGAAATATTAATGAAAATAAATTAATGATTGAGTAAGGAAATCAATGCTAAAAGCATATAAATGTGTATATGTATACTGTAATGACTCTATCTAAATACGAACAGGTGTGTCACTTGCAAAAAGTAATGTCAAGTGGAAAAAAAGGAGGACAGTAGATGAGGAGGGGTTGGTCAGGTGAAAAGGGTGTGATGAGTTGTAGTAGTCAGGTCGGGTAGTATTTTACTTTATATGTCTTACTATTTGAAATGAATAAAGTTTAATTGGAATTGAATGATTTACTGCGACACCTCTTTTATGCTTTTTGGGGGGGGAGATGGAAATATGAAAGTATGAAAAGTATGAACGGGAAGGAGGGGCAGTTGAAGTTTAAAGTTGGGCTTGGTTTGGTTTGGGGGGTTGGGAGTTGTAGTAGTAGAAGTTGTGCTTAAGAACTAAAACAATTGGACGGTGAGAAGTAGGTGGGAAATATGTGGTGGGTGGAGGTGGCCAATTTGAAACGTTGAAGAGGCGGAGGCAGCGGTGGTTGCAGTAGTGGGTGGTCAGTGGAATTAGTTAGTTGCTGGTGGTGTGAAAAATTGAATGTAACAAATAATATCAAAATAAACTAAAAATCGAAGTCATGCATTCAATGAAAAAATAAAAAAATGTGTGACACTAAACAAAAGAAATACTTACACACCAAACAAAGTAATACACGCAATTACAGACCGTTATTTCCCAATTAGGAAGTCTACAACTTACTACTAGAGGGTCTCTTATTACAACAACATAGTTTAAAGTTACTATGACTAGTCTGAAGTGTATTTACTTGTTGCCTGGGTCTACACTCTTAGTTTACTTAATAATACTAATTTAAATACTGTTAAGGGATGGCTTTATCCAATTGCTAATTTAATTTTTGCAATAACTTTTCTGAATGGAACAAAATTGAAACGTTGCCAAAAACCTGCCATGTATTGTAATCGCAACAGAATCAGGCAAAATTCCTTTGCATGTCATCCATTACATTCTTCACGATTCTTACTCCACTTCCATATTGGTGACCTAACTTGCATGGCATGTGAACTTGTGGTTGTAAACGTCTTCATTTTGTGAAGTTCTTCTGTTCGTGAGCCTCGGTTGCAAAATTCGGTTTGGAACTTTGATGCGAATTTTTTGAATGAAATTTCCCCGTTAAGGTTCCTGGTCAAGCCAAATTATCAATTCAACACGTTTTGATTATAGAGAGAGATTCTTACACTCTTGGGAATTCATCAACTGTAGATTTAACCCAAAAGCTAACCTGATCCATTTCGTTTACACACGTTTTTAAACTGATGCTCATAAATGCGTGGTTGTAGGGACAATCCAAGTTTCTGATGTGTCACATGCAAGACACTTAATTACATACATCTCGGACAAACTACATATTCTCTTATGTGACATCACAAAAATGCATTGTCATAGTATTTATTCTATATAAATTAGTAAGTCTCATTGTGATAATATTTAGCAATTAGATTAAACAAAAATTGCTGCGAAAAACTGTCTGTTAAGGCAAAAAAGATGTTGCAAAAAACAACAAACTATGAACATATTTAAATACCAAATACAACCTTCTCAGCAGAGACTTTTCCTTGTCTCAGCAACTCCAATCCTCTATTAACGCTCTCCAATCCTCTTGGTAAAATTAATAAATTCGAATGATAGATTTGATCAATATATAAAGGTAATACCCCTTGCCAAAACTCAGTATATTTATTAAGTAATTCTGGTGTTTGAATATATTTTACAGGACCGATTTGAACTTCCTTTTCTAATGAATTATAAGCCAATGTACATCCATAGTGAACATTTCGTTCTGGTCGGGTTTCAATTGAATTACCATCCAATCCTAACAAATTATCTAAATATACTTCTGGAGTACCCTCAGTAGCATCATAAACTTGTTGGAAAGTTTCCTTTTCTGCAATTGTATCCAACGCATACTTAATTCTTCCATTACCAATCTGTTTAATTTTTTCAACAATTCCAGGATCTTTATAGTCAATAACATAATCTGCCCCTAAAGATTTCAAATATTTAAAATTCTTAGAAGAAGCAGTAGCAATTACATTTAATCCATAGATAACTTTAGCAACCTGAATAGCTAAAACCCCAGATGCACCACTCCCACCCCAAATCAAAATAAAATCGTCCTTATTATTATCCTGATTATAATCAATATTCAAATAATAAGAAAATGAAATCGCAACAGTAACCAATCCCAATGTAACACTAGCAGCTCCTTCAAAACTAGTAATAGTCTCTGCTGGCTTTGCTTGCCCTTCAGCACTATGTAACCCCTTGGGATACTTAATAGTAGCAAGCGGGTTCACAATTGCATATTCCCCGAATGCACCTTCTGTATGTGAAGTATTTCCATGAATGAATGAACTCACACAATCTCCAACTGCAAATCCATTGACGTCGGACCCAACTTCTTCGACTATTCCACTTACATCGGTGCCGATTATATTATCAACTTGGCCAATTCCATACAAGATGTGTTTCCAATCGGTTGGGTTGATTGCGAAGGCTTTGGCTTTGATGAGGAGTTGGTGGGGTTTGATGGGTGGGAGGGTTATGTCTTTGATGGTTGCTAATTTGTTGGGTTCTGATGAACCGGAAATAACTGCTGCTTTCATGGTTGATTGCTACCTATCACGAGAGAAAATGAAAATACCAGAAGATTGCGAATTTCGTTGATATTATATATTTAATATAATGGAAAAGAAGAAAGGGGAAATAAATAATGATGTATAATTGCCATAAAAAATAAGATGTATAATAATTTATATAATAGGCGGGAGTTTACTTATTTGTGGTTTGATTTGAGTATTTTCTGTCAAAGACACAAAGAATCCGAGAGAACAAAGGAGCCAGGGTCTTACTTACTTATTTGCCTGCTTGCTCTACTGACTAAGATGTCTCATTGGATAAACATCCTGATCTGGTTTTATTATTTTGTAGAAGAATAATGGTCAATCAGAGGCTTTTGAGTTCGTCCGTTCCGTGGAAAACCTAAACTAATTGAACCAACACCTGTTAAATGGTTTATTTTATGACATAAAACCAACCAGGGCACTTTTGTAATTCAATTGAGGGATTTTTTGTTGGGGCCAGCATCAATTAAATAGACAATAAAAATTGAGAGGAGACTGAACTCTATTGTGTCATCCGGCGTCGGAAAATAATTGATTAATCCCTTGTAATTGCACTTGCCACTGCCAAGTATAATTTTCTTTGCACGTAAACATATTTCCTTGGTCAATACGGACAACAAGCCCCTTTGTACCTTACCGTTGATTCACTTAAATCCGGACTTACCGTAATCTTGACACGTTATCTGATGAAGTTAGATAGTAACTAGATTATAATCAATAACCCGGAAGTATGAAATTATGCTTCATGCAAGATCTAAAATGTCTAAATTAGCGTTTATGCATGCAAATAATATGTGGCGGATATGTGCAGTCCGGAAATGTGCTTTATAATTGGCTTTTTAAAACCAACAAACAAACAACTTTGTCTTTTCAGGAACAAAATTCATTCCACAATAAATAAATTCTACATTGTTATTAGGGGAAAGTACTTGTCTACTTCCTACTCGTCTCTGTGGATCATGATTGAAATAAATTTGATTACTAATGTACATACATTGGTATCAGGGCTCAGAATGTGGTCACATCCATTTGATGAATATTTTTTGTACCCAAGGACATTCGTCAAATGGATGTTACCTCATTCCTCAACCCTGATTTCAATGACAATACTGCATGTCGAATTCTGTACAATTGGGTACTGATTGTGGTCGTCAACATCATTCATGAAATGAAGTAAATTGTCTGGTTGATGCTTCATCTCTAAGACCTTGTCAAACCAAAGAAAGTACCCCAGGTTTAGACTGAATACACTCATCTCTATTGAAAATGAATTATCCACGTTTTTGTTTTAAGAATTCGGTTATTTAACCAATTTTGATACTTCTCGATATCTTTTGTAACGTGTAACGTGTAACCTGTAACCTATAGATATCTTTGTAACAATTCTCAATACCTAAAATAGATATGTTTGGTGTACTTCTGAAATAAATACCTGCAGATAAGCCTGGGTCATCTTTTCAACAGATGAAATTTAATCAAGGGGGGGGGGGTTAATTCTTGTAATATTAACGAAAAATTATAATTCATACAACTATTCAAAAACTACATAGAAAACCTGAATTCATTAGAATCGGAATTCATTTAAAAATGATTTTAATGTTTAATGATGTTTAGTATAATGAGCAAATTTGCTAATGTTTAAGTATTAATTGATAGACCGAGTTAATAAAGTAAGCTGTTCTTCAGTCACTGGACGAAGTATGGACTTGCTGTACCGTCGTCGGAACCATAGGTTTTTATTGTTTCCTGAGAATACCCCAGATGTTCTTATTTACACATAATAATAAAATATAGAAATGGATAATAAGCAGAAGCAACAACAACCAGACCATCTTTCGTAAGAAAGAATCATAGTACCAGTTGTAAAATACATATTGTTAAAATACCCAATATGAAACAACCAAAGATAGGAAACCAGTTGAGGAGATTCACGACGAATTTCATTGATTCGCCTCCAGAAGGAGCGGATTTGCACCGCTGGTATACCAAAACGATAAGAAAAGTAGTACAGATAGCAAAGCTTGTCCACACTGCTTTGGAGTTTTTTACTCCTTGACTTAAACGCTTGGAGTGTCACAGCCTTATTAGAAATATATTCCACCATACTCAGCAACGTGTGACTAAGATGGAGAGGCGGCGTCTCAACTGAGGCCAACAAGCGTTGAAACCCAGAAGTATCGTATGAACATATGTATGACCGTGGAAAGAGTGACCGAGTTAAAGAAAACCATTCATCTAACCAAACCGTTCCAGCTTACTGAAAATTGATGAAAAAGCCGCCAATGCTTGAAGATCTTTTGGATGTCCTCTAGCATCGTTCGCAGAACTTTGAATATGATGACCAAATAAAAATTGATACCTCGGAACATGATGAGCGGCCGTATGCATGTCAAGGAAAAACTGAATTTTATCCCGAAGAACCACAGGACCCCAATTATCAGATGGAAAAAACAACGGATAAGTCATCTTGGCGCGTTTACCCTTAAGCTGCTCGGCCAAATTTATAAAATTCAATCCACCTGTCAGAGGATAAGCATGACACTTTGCAATGGAGATTCGCCCAATATATCTTTTCAATTGCTTTTCATAAAATGCAATATCAGCATCCAGCATTGGCCAAAGGAGATCATAAAAATATACTCTCAGATATATAAATGAATTAATGTACAAAACCCTGTCATGAAGCGGAACATCTCGAAACCTCGGATTACCTAACCCTCTAGTAATTGTCGGAAAAAAGGCTTTATAATCCTTACATATGGATGATATACGCAAATAAGAAGTATCCACTAGAGCAATATTCTTAACTTTTAAGTGTAAACAATTATCCTTTACTTGCTCAGCCTGATCCTGAGATACCACAAATATCCACGATTTCAATTTGTTGATGAGAGTAGATGCAACCTGTTCAAACCTGGCCAAGTCATTTGGACAATGGGATAATCCCTTTGATTCATAAAAAGCACCACATCATCAGCGTATGCTTGGTATTTAACGCTTAAATTCAAAGGACAATAAGTTGGAATAGAAATTCCAGAACACTTCTGTTGAATGTTAAATAAAAATGGCTCCAACATTAAATTAAAAATTATTGGAGAGAGCGGATTCCCTTGCCGCGTACCTTTGTTCATGGGGAAAGAGCGTCCTAAAGTCTTAATGATATAAAGGCTCCCTTGTTGTTGACAAAGCACAGCCAGTAAACAGTGATACATGCGTCTACCAAAATTCACATGTTTTAACACCGCCTTTAAATAATTATGATTAAAACTGTCAAAAGCTTTTTCAAAATCAATCAGAAGAATACTCGATTCCTTGTTATATTCCATTGGTTCTTTCAATAATTCGACCACCTTGTAATATTGATACAACGCCATATCAATAGATTGACCTGGTATAAACCCAAGTTGATTCGTATTGAGCAACGTTGGTAATACTTGCACCAATCTTTTATTAATCATAGCACATATTAATTTGAAGTTAGAATTAATCAACGATATTGGACGTTGATTTTGAATCTCATTACTTCGATTTTTCTTCGGAATAATTGTAATGTATACTTGTTGAAAAGCAGGAATGAGAACACCACTTTCCAATAACAAATTAGCTTCACCTAATAAATAACACAGTAGCAATGACCAATTTTCTTCATACACTATTGGATAATCCCTCTGTTGGAAGTCAGGCAAAATTAAGAGTGTCGTTAAATGGTAAATGATATTTATTAAAAACCACTTCCAACAGATTAGTTTCTTTGACGGATCAAATTACTATCACCATTTTCATATTATTTGGGTCAATCAAATAGACGTGCTTATAATCAAACAAACATGAATAACCTTTCTTCGTAATTTGAGCAATGGAAATTAGATTCACTGGTTCATTAGGAATGTGACGTACAATGTCTGCCAGTACACGTCCATGTGTTACGATTCCTTCAGTATATCTTGAATAGTCATCAATTAGAGTCATAAAAAGTACCACATCATCCGCATGGGCTTGATATTAGATGCTTAAAATCACAGGGCAATAAGGTCATTTCTTTGTGCAACCCGATAGAGTCCGGTCCAACGGCGGCTGAGTTTATTCCCACGATTTCCAAGGATTGGTTTGTCCCATACCAAGAGTAGATCGTTTGTCTCAATGGTGTCATCTAATTTGTGGTTTCTATCAAGAGATTCCGTCGTTGCTTGTCTAGTTCGTAAAGTTTGAGTAGTGGCAGACCAGTAGTCGTCAGTTCATTGCTTGAAACGATACTCGAATAATTCATCATGGGACGTTGAGAGATGTATGGGTGGACTATTCAATAAAGTGTCTAAATTGAAGTGACCTTGGAAACCATACACAAGATATTGAGGAGATAAACCGGTGGCAGACCTGATGTTGGTTCGATCAACCCATAATGCAGTTGTGAGATAGTGATACCAGATACATCCTTCAGGGAGTTTTATCAAAAAGTTGATGATAGGTAGGTGGTTACGTTCAGACATCCATTTATTATCAGTCGCCATTCCATCGTTAACAACACCAATATAGCCAGCAACACCATCTCCAAGATGTGTCATAAAATCATAGTTCAGGCCTTCAAATCCAAGTCTCCATGAATAATAGTTTTCAGCGCCAATGAGCTTGTCAACAGTGGAAAAAGTTGTCTCATTTCCAATTGACATACGATTCTGTTCCAACATGTCTTGAATATATGTTGGTGGATAATTATCTTCACCTGATGACATTGCATGAGTTTGTGGAAGTAGATGTTAGTGCTGTACGTCAAGAGGCTGTTGTCGTGCTGGTCTTTTTGGAATCAGTGGTGGTGTTGTTCTAGGCTGAGGTGGTGATGGAAGTGGTCTTCCCTTTACTGGCCCTATATAAGTATTCTTTGCACCGATATTCGCGGCAACTACAATACATTTACGTTCATTCAAATTGATTAAATACAAATACTCACTTGTTATATAGGCACAATATCCTAATTTAACTAAATCCCCTAAAGCAATAATGTTTAAAGCAGCATGTCGGACAAGCGACATACTATCAATCTCGGTATCGTATTGCTTTGCGATACAATCAAAACTAGTAGAGTTGTTCGCCCTAAAGAAGAGGGGTCCTAATGTCCAACACTTTTACACCAATTACAATATCCTTGCTCACATTCAAAAGTACCGTGACTGCTAGATTGAAACGTCTGACAAAATCTAAGATGACTAATGATTCTTAATTTTCCTCCAACATTACTTTTAAACAAAATCCCGGAATGAATTTTAATCGGTAGCTGTTCAAGACGTGACTGCTACCGGGGTGGTATCACCTTCGAATTCCATTGAAAGGAAAGCGATGACTTTCTTTTTAGTGATTTTTGAAGGAGATTGCCTATACACGTATATTCTTGGTCCATATCAGAATGTTATTATTGTGATCTCTTGTGGATCTTTGGAATTGTTATTTCTTGTACACAGTCATAATCATTGAACAAGTTTGAGGTGAACCTAACGACAGGAAAGCCGACAAACCTTAGAGAGTGGCCGTTACACGATTGCTTGAATTAAAGACAGAGTTTCATCGGATTCGCTAAAATTAAATAAAATATATTATTAAAAACAATGTTTTACAAACTATACACAACACCATAAACGATCATTTTTTGAAAAAAAAAACTAATTATCACAATTGATCAAGTTCCACAAACACAACAGGAGGAGTCAGAAGCTTCAATTAGCAGTCAAAGAATTAGATCACAATTTAGTGTTGTTGCCTAACCTTATTTCTAATGAGCTCAGTAGCAACAGAAGCAATAATACTAGCCCCCAACATAACCACCAACATCATATTCGAATATTTGAATAATCTAGCTTGATCAGCCGGCCAACCAGAATATAAAGCATAAGTAGAAGTAACCGAACCCAAATTACCCAATCCACTAACCAAAGCCGCACTGACAGCGGTTCCAACATCTCCATAACGAGGTTGGAAAATCTCCGCAGACCAGGACATACAAATAGGAACAGTTGGACCAAGACCATATCCGGCAACCAATAATCCAACGTATTTACCCCAAGACCCATGAGCGAAAGTAGCTACGAATAAACCAACCATGATGATGACACAGGCACCACTGAAGATTGCGGCTCTGTATTGTTTATATCTGTCGGCAAATGGGGTGAGTGTTAAGATACCGATAAGATCACAGATCCAGATTGGGGCGTATAATAGGGAAACATCGATAGAACTTAAACTGGGGTTATTGACGTGGATAATGGTAGATCCAAATACTGCTAAACCAAAACCGGTACCTACGACACCGAAATACATGATGATGATTGTCCAGATACGCAAATCAGTAATAACGAGGGCGACATCTTTCCAAGTCCATTTGAGTAATTTGTATCTTGATTCTAAATCTTGTCTGTGTAATTCCTTTTCATGTTCATTTAATGGATGGGGGGAGGAGAAGATCTTGTAATACCATTCAATTATGATATGGCTGGAGTGATCTCTTTCCATAAATGGTCTGTCTGGTAGCCACCATAACAACAGGATACCGACGGCCATAGTAAGACTTCCATAAACCAAATACATCCATTGCCAACCAGTATATCCTCTCATACCATCCATCTTCTGGAACCCAGCGCTGACTAAACCAGCAACAGCGGCCGAGATTTGAGCAGCAGTGAAATAATAACCAATCCGTCTTGTCAGTCTTTCATTGGGATACCATAAGGAAATATAATAACTCATACCTGGCCAAGTCCCAGCACCAACCATACCACTGATAAATCTAGCAGCTTGAACACCTTGACGACTACTTAAGACATGATAACAAGTATATACTAAACCGACAGTAAGCACAATTCTGGATAACCACGTTTGAGGACTAATTTTAGTCATAACCAAATTCATAGGAACATCAAAGATAATATAACCAACATAATAAAGAGCCGAAGCAGTTGAGATATCTTTTGGAGATAAATTCAAGTATTGGGAAAGCGAATGACCATCTTCAAAGTTCATAGTTAAAGTTAACCCATAACAACTTGACCCGAATGAGGTTAAGAAATATAAACACCATAAAGCAGGAATGATTCTATAATCTAACTTTCTGTATAATTTATCTAATTCATGTTTATCAAGAAGTAAATGAGCTTCATCACTACCGATTTCTGATTCATCGGAACCAGTACCTGGACTTATACCATTAACAGATTTTAATTGTTTTGAGTCGTCGTCGTGAGAATGATATTCCATCATGTGTGCTAATTAAACTAAACTTTAGATAAGAAATAACTTTATCTGAAAATTTGAAACAACAGGGAAGGGGGAAATCAAGGGTAATTTATACTTTTTTCTAGAGACACAGTAATCTATACCAATTGTCTAATTGTTGAGTAATTTAATGAAAAAGCCAACACAAAGTTCTATGAGTTAAAAAGAAAAAGAAGATTGCAAAAAAAAAATTCTATGCAGAGTCAAGTTGAGTCGAAAAAACAAGGGGATTTTTTTTTTTATTGCCTCGAGATGGTGACTCGTAGTCATGATTTTTCCTTTTTTGGATAGGGATCGGGGCTACACTGTGCGATCCTTATTCAAACACAGAATGACGAATTAAGTGAGATCTGACTCAGATTCCTTTTCAATATCATGTTTTCCTCGCTTGTTATATACTTAAACTTCACTCCCCAGGTGATCCACAAAGTAGGTACTTGGTGCTTTCATACGAACACCTCTTCTAAATGTAAAACTACAGCGCTTGTTAGCACCAGGTACTACCAAACTCCACTTCTTCAAGTTCCATGACTAATCCAACAAAATCTGAGTTTGGAACATCCTGATTCCAACCAAAAAATTAATTAAAAGTTTATAGTTGAGAAACAATGGGATTTTAATAAGATGAGATACATTTCTTTACGACTCAACAAATTGTATAGCCTTTCCATTTATTTTTTTTCTCCCTCTCTCTTGAAACATGACTCACGAGTCATCTAATCAATAGAGAAAAAAAAATATTTGTCTTCTCCCATTATTTATCAACTGCCAATAGGAACAATTAATTCACCAATCTAATAAATAGATAATGACACAAACAATAAAACAGCAATTCACGGCTACTTTAACCTATTATACACACATCAAGATTCGGGAAAGCACGTCCGTATATTTGTCATCTACTCCAATTAGATTGTTTTCGAGCATGACAAGTGAATTAAACAATGGCTGCAATTATTTGCAAAAATCTTCGTGAAAATGACTAGGAATGACTAACGGAGCCCAACAGTTTTGCGGTAGTCACTTTACAGAATGATTCAACTTAAATTTATAGTTTCAGAATATTTCGTTTCCTTGATAGAGTGTACAAAGTCATTAAGTTCCCTACAACCATCAATTAATCTTTGAAATTGTTGCGAATGACTTCCACTAAAGGCACTGGGAAGTTCCATGATATTTTTTTTACTACAGTTCACTTATACAAATATGCTTTATTGATATTGCTCATACTAAATAGCGTCGATATCAATAGGTGCATCTGGCTAATGCACTTCTTCAATGTTCTCGTTCGATGGACCTAATGATGTCGAAGCTCTATTTAGTGTAAGTAATACTAATAAGAAAGTATATATTAGATGTATAAAAAACGAATAATTATAAAATAAATACACAAAGACGAAAATCGCCTTGGATGCAAAGCCTTTCAACAAAACCATTTCCCAGATCTACATTATTCAATTGACTTCTTTCCATTATTCAATCCACATAACCCAACAATTCTATCTACAGTAATTTCAGCAAATTCTTTACTTTGACAAACACAAAAACTATGAGCAATAGGATTATCCAAATCCCGACAAATTTCAATCATCACATTTTCATTCTTCTCACTACCATCGTTTCCATATTTTTCAATTATACGTTCTCTTGTATGATTACCTACCCAATGATCATCTTGAGCAAAGAAAACCCATCGTTTAAAACCATTAGTTGAATCTTGGAAATACCAATCATTTATACTTTCATCAAGATCAATGACATGCATTTCTTCTTGTGCCATAGTCAATGCTTGTCTGATGACTGCTTTTGATTGTAGGATCTTATATGAACCAATCACAGAGTTCTCTAATCCGATTATATCTTTGTTTTGTTTTGAGAGATGATTTCCTAACATTTTCTTAAGTTGTTGTTCTCCAAATATTAACAATATCAAAACACGAAAGAATAATAAGATTGGAATAATGGGGATATTGAATTCCATGGCCTTGGCAACCTTTTTCCCCAGGTCCGAATTGGCGATATCTAAAATAGTAGGAGTTATGAATCCGGTGAATTTCACTTGGAATTTATCTTTCAATTCCTGATCTTGTAATAATTTCTTTAGAGATCTTTGAAATACAAAAGAACCCATAGAATGAGTCAAGACGTATAATTGAACTTGTTTTTGATTTTGATTATATCTCTTGAAAATAAACTCTTTAATTATCTGATATTTATGTTCAATCTGAAACTTTAAATCAAAGGATTCTTGGGGTTCGTCATCATTACCCAGAAATCCAGCATGTGCAATACATAAGATTTCAAAACTAGGTAATTCTTGTTGAATTAAATCAAGATATGTAATATAAAATTCAATCAATCCTGGATTTCCAGGTATCATAATTAATAAATCATTATTACGATTTGTCCCAAGCTTATCAGCTATTGGTAGTTGATGATAGATATGGGTCTTTGGATTCGTATCCAAAAGTTCAACTGGCATATCGTATGTATTTTAGTAAACTACTCCTCGTGGTAGAAGATAGGGATCATCTGATTTTTCAGATGCCAAGGGGAACAAAGGAGACAAAGGAGCCCTGGTAAATTAAGACAGGACAGTCACGAAAAAAAACTTAGTAACAGAACTGCTAACAAATTATTATTAACCTTCAGGGTTCATGACGCTTAGACGTCATTTATTTTAGAAAAGATCTTTTATTTTTAGCTTGTGCCTGGGTATTATTTAGGTTATAGCCGAGGAAGTCCGGAAATGTAATCAAGTAACATCATAACATAATTCAATTAAAAAAGTAACATGTTCTCGCACAAGTTGGTCATTCATGTTAAGCTTTTTCAAATTCGAGAAGCAAAAATCTTTTTATTAGAAAACTGTAAATAGAATAAGAACAGGAAGCTACATAATAGACTTTTTATTGATCCTTGTTTGTTGTATGTTGTTGTCATACTGGAAATGAAATAAAAACATTAAGGACATTAAATCATAAGGACATTATCATCTTTGACAAAATATATGGGGTAGGGTTGCTCAAGGAAATAAATAAAAAACTGTTCAACAGTTAGAATCAACCAGCTTCCTCTTGTAAAACGTGCTCTCAAACTCTCTCTATTAGCTTTCATTATTTGCTCTGAAAAATATTAAATTTATAATGAGCAACCTCATCATCTTTTTCAAGGTTATCTGAAGTATAGATATTCTTTTCATAATAATTAAGGTTTCCTTCTTTATCCAATAATATAATCGTTTGAGTACGAGTACCATAATATTTCCCCACGGCCACACAATTTGGATTTGACCCACTTCTTTGTAAAGGTGGAATAAACACCGAGTTACGTAATTCCATCAATTTGGCATCAAAATCTTTGGTTTGAGCAACTTCTCTATTATATGTATCATGACTAAGTAATTCAAAACACTTCTCAACCACTTCTTCTTGTGAATAACAATTATTAGCAGCCTCTTTCATTAAATCTTTTAATAAATCTTCTCCAATGGCAACTTTTTTCCAAGGTTGATTATATAAAGAATTGGATAATCCAAATGTTGATTTATGTTGTATTTCATCATGAATTAATTCATCATAATCACAAGTTTCAAATATTTTACCGTGTTTTCCCCGGTTACTAAGGATATTTAATGTGTCTATCTTACCAGTTTCAGGATTTAAACTTAATTTACCGTATAACAATGAAAAGCCCCCTATTTTGCTTAATTCTCGTTTTATTCCCTCTCTCCATTCATCATCCAGTTCGTTAGAACAGAGATATGCTAATGGTAATACTCCACGGGATACTTCTCCTATGATACCTAGAAAATTATCTGTTAGTATTTTATGTTTGCTGAGTCAGCTATAAAAAAACAAAGCTGGTTAACACATACTATTATTATCAAGTTCATGATAATTTACCAAAACCGCCACCTTTCCGCTTGTTGTAACCCCTATCCAAGTACCATGTTCTGGTCTCGCTAGATCTAAAGGAGATAATAATTTGACATCACCTTCTATAGTACGGAAATGGACTGGCATGGTTGGCCGTTTGAAATATTCATCCCTATTAGATAGTAGTATAAATGGATAATCGGGATGCTCTGTAGTAGCTATTGCAATGCACATGACGTTTTGTGTATAAGTTTGAAATTTAAGTAATTAAATAAAAGTTGTTTGTTGAATAAAATTAATGGATTGAATTAATAATAAAAAAAAGAATGATTTCGGTGCAATGTATGTGGTATTTAAATTCCCCCAGTTTTTAATTTAATTAAAATAATTTAAGGATCATGGCACAGTGGATAAAAAAAAATACAACTTCTGACTTCCGGCAAGAAGTTAAAAAAAAAGTAAATCATTTCTTTAATTGCTTTTTCTTTGTTTTAAAATTAGTGTTAATATGCCAAAACTCCCAACCGCCGCTCCCAAAGCGCATGTATCTTTAAATTTTCTTAACTCTTCCTTGTGATATTTCTTTCTTCTCTCTTAGAACACTGCCTATCTATCAGCAGAAAAAATCAGCTTAGTGACCAGAATAAGAAATGGGTAAACAATGAGATTTCAATCGTGTTTCAGTACAGCCTATTGTTTCCTTTACTTATTGTTTTAATTTTTGTGGGGATCTATGTGGGGATTTCGACCGCCACCCCCCACCACGCAGCACCGACTCTACTTCTTGATTCGGATAGGAAAGGGGGCGACGACCCGACATAAACAACATTCTCTAAGAATTAATAATCTCTTCATTTTCTAATGAAAATGTACTAAATGACCTTTTATTTCCAATAATAGATTTAGTTGTATGATTATCATTATTATTATTATTTCTTGGTTTAATAGGTGATTCTAATTTTAAATCATTCTCTTTATTCATCCACGCATGACAGATTTTATCAATGTCAGATGAGTCTTGTTCGTGCGATTTATTTTTTTCAGTTTGCGTCACATACCCAGAAAAATAATTTTCATAAGCACCCATTTCAAGGTCATCATAACTTAAACTTACATCTTTCAACTTTGGTGGTGGTAATAAGGGTTTTTTATTTGGTGAATTCTTTTTACTAGGTGAACGCGACAAAGTCAATGGTAATGACGATGCTTGGGGTGTTGTAGCTGTTGTAATAGTGGTAGCGTTGGGCTTTGATGACATGATTGTAGCCGAGGAACCAACCGGTATTCCGGCCAACTTATTCAATGATGCTTGCATAGGAATTTCATTATCAATATGGCTATCCATTAAAGTTATTGTATCCTTGAAATATGGCATTTTACTAATTTCATGTGCATTTGGTCTAGCTAGTGGATCCCACAAAAGACACGATCTAATTACATCAGCAAGTGGTTCCGTATGAGGATTTGGAAGTACTTCCGCAATAGTCAATCCGAGTTCAGCTGGAATTCCAAAACCTAATTTTTGAGCTAATACTTGAGCTTCACTCCAATATCCACCAAGTGGAACAATATAATTATTATTGAGTGAATTTGATTCTGGAGCAGTTGGTGTTCCCAAAATCCTAAGAATCTTCCATATTTGATCAATTTCATTCACACCAGGAAATAAAGGAGCAAAATTAACAATTTCTGCAGCCACAGAACCAAATGCCCAAATATCAATTGGTCGAGAATATGATTTTTGTCTAAGTAAGATTTCAGGAGAACGATACCATCTAGTTGAAACATAAGCAGTATAAGGTCTCATATTGGAAACATGTCTAGCAAGTCCATAATCACCTAATTTGATAATAAAATTATCATTTTTTCTATATGGAGGAATTAAGGATCTACTATGATAGAATTGAGTAGTTGGTATAACCAAAATATTTTCTGGTTTAACATCACGATGAAAATAATTGAATTTATGAATATGTTTAATAGCACAAAGTAATTGACTTAAGATACTTCTTAAAGTAACTGGAGAAAATAGTACATTTCTCCTACTTCTAATTAATTGATATAAATTTTGATTAAGGGCTTCCATGGAAATATGAAGTTGGAAACGAATATCATCAACAAACATTTCAAAGATTTGTACCAAACAAGGATGCAGTGGAACTGCTAAGATAAACTTAACTTCTTTAACATTAGCATAATCATGCAACAAAGGTAATCTTTTCTTCATGGTTTTAATAGCAACAAGATTTGAAAGATTATGTTTTGAATCAGCATTTGGAAATAACATTGTACCTCTTTTATCAATTTCATGAGATTTTAATAAATCTAATTTATGGAATTTAACTTTAGCCAATTCAACAGTACCAAAACTACCATTACCTAAACTACTAACTGATTGATATTTATTCTTATAAGAATGAACTGATAAATTCTTTGGTGGTGAATCAAAATCCAAAGGAGTTGAATTCCTTTTAATCATATTAACCAGCAGCAATAAATTTGTTAACGGATCTATTGTTGAATTGATGATTCTATCTTTGATTCTGAATGTACCCAACTTGAGTGTTATATATTTAGTTTTAGTTTAATAAAGGGGTTGAATTGGTTAATGGCGGTTAAATATTTGAATTGTTTAAAATGGTTACAAATTTTTTGCAACATTTTTTTTGATTTGAATTTTGGGGTCATTTCTTCAAACCAGAAATTCCTTCTTTTCTTTTATTTCAGCTTACAGCTGTGGCATTAAACTTTTAAATAACATGAAGGCGGCTGTATGGAGGAGGCTAGAGGGGAGAGGCTGTAACAGAGAGAAGATAATTCTCGTACGGCTACTATCAATATGGCGTTGTATTAAGTTTGTCTAATAGTTTAAGCTGTAGACACGTCTATCAACGGCATATTCGACCATTGTAGCGAAAATAACTTTTGACGCGAATTCTTCTATGTGGTCAGCCCCATGAATCTCTACAAATAACCTCTATTAAAGCAGGTCTTGTTGTGCGTTGGTAACTACAGCTGCCAAATAGTCGTGTGACCAAAACATGCGTCAACAAGAGAAACCGTGACAACTGGATTGTACGAGATGTAACAGAGACAACTATTAGAATGTTTGATTATCAATAAATGTATTTTTGTATTTATTTATTTTTTGGGGTCTATGAACAGTGTACAGGTTAATATTATCAATGTCTCAAAGAGGGAGGAGTCAATAGGGAGACAATGCTAAGGGGGAATGCTGGTCAAGTCTATATATTCACATAATCATCATTATGTTCTAATTCATCATCATCTGAGAAATCTGATTCTTCTTCAGATGAAGAAAGATGAATCAAAAATTCATTTGGATCAATTTCTTCTTTATATTTTGTAGATTCCATTGTATTATCAATATAAAATTGATAATTCCCCGTTTCATCTTTTGTAAATAACACATCAGGATCAATCGTATAACTACTAATGATAATTTTCTTATTGGGGTCTTCATCTTGAGAAACAACAGTATCAGAACGAACATATTTGTTAGTACGAGTTGTCATCAAATCTTGAGTTCTTAAATTCACGGGATGAAACAAAGTACAATCCCTTCCTCTATTACAATAGCCATATTCTTCAAAATCTGGACAATTAAGAGCATGTAAGAATGGACATCTTTTCCCTCTAGGACACCATCCTCCTATAATAAACGGTCTACAAGTCCATATCTCATAGTGTGGATCGTCATAGAAGGGAGGTTTGAAATGTCTATACTTACATTGTGGATTATTACATTTATTTTCCAAATAATAGCGACAAACTGGAGTATTATTATCATTTGGGGAATGGGATAATAAACAATTTCGAATTGTACATCTATCACTTAAGAATGATGGACAGATTCTTATTTTCTCTTTATCATGGACGTATTTGCAATTTGAACCTTTCTGACATATGCCTAAAGAAATTCTCGAAAGATTCAGAAAAGAAGAATCAATCTTTGTTAGTAAACAGTCTTTAATAAAAACACAAACCATTACTTGAATACGAACCTGTTCTTGTGAAGTATCGACAGTGTCGATCTCCTTTGCTATAATTTACCAGTTAATATAACCCTCTCTGTAGCTAAAACCAGATCAAAGAAAAGAACGATACATACCCTCTTTTTGATTTGCTAGCACTTTTGAATACTCCATTCAGATTTCTCACATATTTATGATTATGCCATTCAATCTCCCCTGGTTTATTAAACTGGGGAAATGCCAACGGAACAAGCTGCCTTCCATTTTCAGTAACAGAAAGCTTCTCGCCATTAACTTCAATCCGATCACAAGAATCACACAACACCTTCAATTTTGCTATTCTATTCTGAATCCTCGTGATTCTCTTTTGTTCTTTCTGTTGTTGTTTAATCAATAATTTTGCCTGTTTCTTTTTATTCCGTATTTCTTGTAGTTCAGATGTTCTCTCTTGATATGCATTTGAATTATAAAGTGACATCCCACCTTTCGATATCACATTCACATATCCAGATGGAAGAACAGGAACACCATTCCTCATATTATTATTGGGGAGAGACAGAGACAGCAGAGAGGGTGGTGGAGGTGGCAGGTTGTTCATAACGAGGGACATGTTCCTATGTAACATCTGTTGCTTTTGTACTTTCTTTTGTTGCATAGCATTGCGTTTTTGAATGATTCTGACTTGGAGATTTTTTAATCTTTGTTTCTCTTCGATGGATTTCTTTAAGGCGGCGATTTCTCTATATTTTAACTTCAACTCTTCTGGATCCAGCGTGTGTGACGTGGGGTGCGATGAGGGTGACGACATTTTTAAATATACCAACTACTATACCTTTATACTAGAATGGACTTGGAACTGCGAGTGTGATTGTAGTTGTGAGTTGAATGATGGTTTCCTAGAAATTTTTTTTTGCTCTTTTTCTTTCCTTGCATAGAAACTTTGATAGTTTTTCCGCTTCGCAATAATTCTATTTCCAGATTGAGTCATCTATCGACAACTTTCCTACGCTTTCAAGGATATAAACACAACCATGTCAAAATCCACAGGTAAATCAACTACAACATCTCAATTGCTCAAACAGAAGTCAGACAGTCCCGTCCCTATAGACAAAAGATCCAAGAAAAAGAACTTAACCAACCTCCAAGACATCGAATCAATCTTAAACGACCTAGAAACTGAAGAATCCCTTAAAGCAGATAAATCAGCAAGAAGATATTGTAATTGTTTAGCAAGACGACATCCATTATTTGAAATCGCACCTAATTGTTTAAATTGTGGCAAAATAATTTGCACCAAAGAAGGTCTTCAACCATGTTCATTCTGTGGTGCCGATATCATACCGACTAAAGATAAAGAAGCACTTATTGATTTGTTAAGTAAAGAAAGAGAAGATATTTTGCTTAATAAGAATGTGCCGGTCCAAACCCCATCAACTTCGAAATCTAAGAAAAAGATTGTCGTGAAGATGAATCCGGGTGAGAAGTTTTGGGAAGCCCAGGATAGGGCATTTAAAGCTGCTGAAGAGGAGTTGAAGAAGAAAGAGCAGGCATTGCTGGAAGTAGAGACTCCTACTATGCTTGAGGCAGAGACGGAACGAACTAACGAAGATCTAGATAAGGCAAAAGCGAGATTGGAAACTTTGTTAGATTATCAAGCAACGGGGGAAGAAAGAACAAAGATTATTGACAATGCGGCCGATTTTGAGATGCCAACGCAATCTATTTGGTTGACACCCGAAGAAAGAGCATTGAATTTGAAAAAGCAGCAACGGCTAGCTAGAGAGAAAGAAAAGGAAAAGGACAGGCAGCAACGTGGTGAAAAGACAGTAGAGATGACAATCAAGGATGGGAAAGTCACCATGGTTGAAAAGCACATAACCACTAAGGAGGCAGCAACTGATGAAGAATCCAAATTGGAGCAAACTATCAAGGATAAGAAGAAGCAATCACAAGAATCAAATTATGAAGTCTGGGATTATGAGAAAGAGAAATTGAAATATACTAAGCCGATTTACTTTTCAAATAGAACAGAGAAGTCTAGTACAGTGCCCAATAATCTTCCACAACCAAAATATAGAGTACAAGTTGCCGAAGCAGATACATCTGAATTGATAGCTACCTTAATTAATTAATCTATTATATATAATACACATTCCTCCTAACGTCTCCCCATACGCCTTTTGAAATTCCTTGTTCTTGGATCATTAATCTTCATTCTCTTATAATTTGCAGTTACTGGTTTTCGTCCTCGTTTGATTGGATCCTTTGAAGTTGGTGCCACCTCTTCTTCCTCCTCCTCTTCTTCTTCATCGGAATTAATGTATGACTCTAATCCCCTCCTTTCCTCTTCGTTCATTTTGCTGACTTCGAGTTGTATATCCTTTGTTTTGAACCCATCCTCTTGCGCAACTGGTCTTGGAGCCATCTTCACTCTCCTCGTCAGTCTCTTCTGTGTCTTTGCCTTCTTATACGTCTTCCCCGATCCTTTACCAATCTCATTTTCATTCACTTCGTCGTGATCATCCTCTTCGTTGTTATTCTCAGCAATGGTTTCCATTTCCATAACTAGCTCAGGATCCAACCCCAAATTCACATCTTCCAAAGAATCATTATATACATCCGCCAACTTCCTACCCAAGAATCTATGCGATTTGAGCGGGGACGGAGAAACCAGAAATTCAGGCATGTCCGTCACTTTTCCAAAAATCGGCGTTTTGGGACTAGTCACATATTCCACCTGTTGTTGTACCGGTGGTTTGAGAGAATTGCGATTTGGCGCCATATAACCCGGTGTTTCAAATGTGATTGTTTTTGGTTTGGTTGGGGTTTTGAATAATAACAACCCCGTTGATTTCGGTTTGGTTGGAGTTTGGATCTGGATTCGTTTCATTGGTGACCTTGGTGGCTGATCCATGGGAAGTATTGGATTGTTGGTTGATTTTCGTTTTAATGGAGATGATTCGGGTGGTGTTAGTCTGAAATCAAATATTGATAGCACTTTTCCGTTCGCTTGTGGAGTTGGACCCAATTGTCCCCTTGGTGACAGTGGGATTCGGTGTTGGTTGTCATGCTCTTCTCTTTTTGGTTTGGGTTTGTCGTTGGTGGGTTTTGATGATGCTTGTTTGAATGATTTGTATAACGAGTAAAGTTTATGAATATCTTCATTTTCTTTGATATCTTGTTTTGAGGGTTGTCTATCGTTCTGCTTCTTGAAGCTATACTCCCATTCTTTAATCCTCTGTCTAACTTCTGCTAATTCCATAGTCATTGAATCTTGATAACTTGGTAAGTCAGTAGAAGATGATTTCATTTGAAAATACTTCGCGTCTTTATTTAACGTGTAAAAAATAATGTAAGAAATTACGCGTAGAAAAATTTCGGAATATTGAAAGAGAATTCCGAGAATATAGTTCCTCAAGACAACCATTATGCTATGCCAAGTCGATTGATATTCATAGGTCTCTACTCAAATGTATAGTGAAGCGCCTGAAATACTCAGGAGTTTACTAATTTTTTAGTTTAGTCAAGAAGGTTGACTTAGAATTTGCAATTGCTGCAAAACTAACAATTTTCTCTTCCTGAAAATTTCATTCAAAGCTACAGGTTCTAGTGGCTCTTTTAAATTGTGTTATGGATACATAAGCGATCATAATTGTTTATTTTTAAAGTTTTATATACAGAGTGAATGTCATTTCAAACATCAAAAGTTAATCATTTTGAAATTTGTTTAGCAAATTCCAATGGTTCTTGAAACCATGGACGATCACTATAATCATTCTTGATTTTATTAATTGCCTTCACGAACGCAATCTTATCCTTTTCATTATTGAATTTATTTTCATTCTTTTGAAAATCAGACATGAATGACGATCTAATAGATTCATCTTGATTCCAATAATCACTAAAGAAACATCTAACAGCTTCTTTATTATTTCTTTGTGCAATGAAAACAGTCAACAAGACCCAATAGGTCATCGCATCCTTAGGATCAGTTATATTCTGACGAATACCTTTCCATTCTTGCCAAAATGCATCCCAGTGGCCACAATTACCAAAAGTAAGCATCATTTGTTCTCTGAACCAAATTGGCATTTCGGAGTTTGTGTCTTTATTGTATTGTTTAATAAGTTCCAAAACATCTCTTCTCATATTTTCATCCTGAACTAATGTATCCTTTTCAACTAGAGTTTCGTCAGCCTTTTCTTGTTCTACAAGTTCACGTAATGCATCCCCATCAATTTCATTCGATCCGTTGTATGTTAATCTCCATAATAAGGATTGGATTTGATCATTTCCAAGAAGTTCTAAATCTTGAGAAGCGAAATGAGAAATAGCAGACACGAATTTCCCCATTTTGTTAAATTTTTCCTTGGGGTCACGATGCCAATCACTTGGACAATCAACTAACAATTCTAAATATTTGATAACATCTTGTGTGATTTCTTGTTTTATGTCTTCGATTTGGACATTTAATGAAGCATATTTATCCCATATTGTGTCAAGAAGAACGATTTCTGGAATAGTTTGATTATCGAGTAAATGAAGCACTTTATAAAAGTCGTATTTTAAATTATGTTCTTCTAGAGTTTCACCAGTGAAATTTTCATCAAATTCCTGTTTGTATTTCGTAACTGGGGCACCTACTTCTTCTTCGAGAAGATGTTTAAATACCAATTTTAATTTCTTTTCATTTCCAAATTGTCGAGCAGAAGTATGAAATCTACGAATCCCTCTAAAAATACTATCAGAATCAATTCCCGATGGAGTATATTCAAGTTCAGGTTCTTCAATTTCCGTCCAAAGACTTTCCAAATTCAATTGTTCCCTTCTTTGAGGCGTCAACATATGAATCACAATTCCATCCATATTAGGATCACAAATCACCCAGGAATTACCTTCCAATCCAAAAGTATTCTGAGTAGCAAATGGACCTCTTCTAGATCTCTTCCTCAAACGACGACGTTGAACGGCACTAAGAGCATTGGAAACAACACCTTCCATAACTGGAAGAATACCATGTGTTGACTTAATATAATGCCTCAATTCAGTAGCTGCTTTATAGATATGTTTTTCCAGTTTTCCCGAACAAATGATAATATATCTTTCGGAACCCTCACTGGCAGTGTTTGGATGATCTTCACGTAATTCAGCTAAATCAAACAATTCGATATCTGACATACCATAGTCAGTTGCAATAAGGTTCAAAAATTCTGAAATTGTAGCAGGGGCAGATTCGGGGATTTCAGGCAATTCAATTTCTACGGCGTCTATTTGAGAACTTTCTCCTTCTCTTAAATACCAGGGAATCGAAGCATCATGTTCTTCTGGTGCTGGGGTGGTTGTAGAAGCAGTAGTGGTGGCAGTATTGGTGGTTGTCGTGGTGGATTTTAATTGTTCCTGGCGAACGACGGGGGTAAAATGTAAGTTTCTAACTCCAGTGAGCAAGAAGGCTGTATTGTTTGGCTTGATAGACCTTAAGATTGGTCTTGTTCTTGAAAGCATTGTTAATTGGGAGGCAATAACTGAAGCTATATGAAAAGATCTTGGGGGGTCTAAAAATAACTAAGATTTTTCAAGGGAGGAAAGGTGGAACGATGGAACGATAAATTTTAAATGACTGACTCCGTATGGTGCCGGAAAAAATCTCCATTGTACTGTACAATACACAATCTGGTACTAAGAAAAACTGAGGCCCATAGAAAAAAAAAAGTTTTAGATGCTCATCGGATTCATTTAGATCTTGTAGCGCAGGTCTTATAGAGTACAAGAAATATATAGAGAACAAGGGAGGATGGCTAAATTAGTTCATAATGTTCAGAAGAAACAACACAGAGAGAGATCTCAAATTCAAAGCAGAGAGAAATATGGATTACTAGAGAAGAAGAAAGATTATAAATTAAGAGCAGCTGATTATCACAAGAAACAAGCTGCTTTAAAAGCATTAAAGGCAAAAGCAAAAGTACATAACCCAGATGAATACTATCATGCTATGACTAAGAGGCGTACTGATGACAGAGGGATTCTTGTTGCTGATAGAGGCAATGAATCTCTTTCTGTAGATCAAGTCAAATTATTAAAGACTCAAGATGTGAATTATATACGAACAATGCGTTTGAATGAAATGAAGAAAATTGAAAAGGAAAAAGATGGTAAGCTATTTGAAGGTCTGGGTAATCATACCGTATTTGTAGATTCTGTATCTGAACAAATGGCTTTCAAACCGGAGGAATTTTTCGATACTGATGTTTCATTGGTTGATAATAGAGAAAATAGACTTCGTTTAAGTCAATTACAAAATAATGCTGGTGTTATAAAACAAGATGCATTGGATCCACAAATCAAGGATAAAATGGATATGAAGAAGTTAAAACAATTCAAACTTTTACAAAGAAGGTTAAAGAAGGAAAAAGAATTAAAAGAAATTGAATCAATAATGAATAGTAAATTAGAAACAATGAAGAAAGGTAACAAGAAGAAGATTGTTGATGCTGAAGGCAAAGTACATTTTAAATGGAAGAATCAAAGAAAGAGGTGAATCTATCTATGCTAGGCTAGGCTATATAACTAATCATCACTTAGACTTCTATTTATATATTCAACAAACAACGGTATAATTCTATCGATTTCAATTGTTCTCATTCTATTAAGACTGATGTAAGATCTTCTAATTCTTTGTAGTTGAGGAGTACTGACACTTCCAGTAGGAAGGTGTATAACTAATCCTGAATCAATGACAATATCTCCACCAGCGGAAATTTGTTGTTGTTGAATAATCTTTGACACAACTTCTTGTGTCTTTTTATCTAATTCTTGTAAGAAGGAATTCCCTGAAGTTGGTTTAATCAAAGTAGCAGCATTTGGAGGTGGAGCTTTCTTTAATACAAGTGCATCCCAAATCTCATCTATTGGTAATTTTTCATTTGGATCGTCAGAAACGAGAGTAAATAACGGTGAATCCCATCTAGAATCACTATTTGGTTCTTCATATCTCATTTCTAATTGTTTCATTAGCTCTTCATTCCATTTATTGTCTTCATTTGCATTACCATTCCATTCAATACATTTCAGAAGAGGTGCAACTACATGAACAACACAATGTGGTGTAACCGTTCCCTTAGCTTCACAAAATAATTGATATCTAAATCCTTTGATATATGACAAAGAATCCAAAATGATAATATTAGTTCTTGAAATATCTCTTTTAACCGCCGAGATTTGAGTTCCTCTAGCATTCTTTTCTAAATTTGAATCTTCATATACTGAATGATTTATACCTAAAGTTTCATCAGAATGATAAGTTACTGTGAAATTTTTACCCTGGTCACCCTGTTGTTTTGCAGTTTCTATTTTCTTTTCTAGTTGTTCTTGTAATAGTTTGGCCCATTTGGTCTTACCCGAGCAAGGATAACCTGTAAATGTAATTAATGGCATTCTTTGTTGGTTGTTAATCAATCCATAGAAAGAAAACTCATCGCCGGGTTTGTTCAAGAATCCGAATAGAAAAAATAATTCACTATGAAAAATCCCGAGAAGACCCATATCAGTTCTGTATCATCAGTATCTGTCAACACCCAAAATGAGGTCAAAGATCCCGTTCGTACCCAGAAAGATCTTCCCAGACTATAACATCTCCTTATCCAACTTCAAAGGACATCATAAAAAGGCCATCACAAAACTTGGCCACCTATCACCTCAACTAGATTTAATTCTCGAAGTACGAGATTCACGAGCACCAATTTCCACTACAAATGTATTATTTGATAAGATACTAGGCAGGAAGAAGAAACTTATATTATACAGCAAGAAAGATCTATCAGTCTTAAAACCAGCAGTATTAGATAAATGGCATGAATCAAAACTTGAAGATTATATGTTTATAGATTGTCGAAGTGAACAAGATTCCAAAAAGATTATTAAAAGGCTTAAACAAATGTATGATGAAATGATCCCACCTCCACCTTTAGGTATGAGATTAATGATCATTGGGATGCCAAATGTTGGGAAATCAACTTTGGTTAATACATTAAGAGAAGTTGGACTTGCTAAAGAATTCGCTGGGGCATTATCAACCAAGAAAAGAAAAGTTGCCAGGACGGGAGGACAACCTGGTGTGACTAGGGCAACGAGTGAAATGATTCGACTTAGTAGAGATCCAGATGTGATTGTGAATGATACTCCAGGTGTTTTCCTCCCTACGGTGAAGGATCCTCAGACTATGTTGTCATTAGCGTTGGTGGGGTGTATAAATGATTCATTTCTTGATCCGGTAATTGTGGCTGATTATTTATTATTCGTGTTGAATTTACAGGATCCTACTGGATCTAAATATTCCGAATATACGAATCATCCGACAAATGATATATATGAGTTGTTGCATAATATTGCCAAGCAAAGGGGAACACTTAAGCCAGACGGTCTGTATGATGAATTGGGAACAGCTAACCATTTCGTCAATACTTGGAGACAAGGGAAGCGGAGATTTAATTCCAAGGTGTTATTTGATGTAGAAGCTATTGAAGAGATCAGTGCAAAGGAGTATAAGGACTTACATAAGGAAGAACGATTACGTGTCGCGGAATCAAACGTACACAAAGTGATAACTGATAGATTTGGAGATGAAAATTCCGATTCTAAACATAGAAAAAGAAATGCAAAGGATAGAGAATCTGATCTTAAGAATAGATTATTCAAACTTTAGTTTCCTAAAACATCTTCAATATCAAAGAATTCATCAAATTCTGCATCGATTGGATTTTCGGGTTGCATAAGATAATCAAACTTCTGGCCTGCCTTTTGCTTGACTTGCTTCTTCTGGGTCTTGTATTGTACCATAAGAGCATTTCTTAACTTCACAGCAATATCGTCAATGTCAGTTTCATCAGTTGTATATAGTAATTGATTATCAAGTACATTTCTTGTATTAAAAATTGTAGTTTCTTCATCTTTCGAAAGATGATTCTCAATGAACTGGTCTTCACTTACAAATTTGAGTAATGAATCCTTCTCAAGAGACTTTATAATGATCTTTTGGAGATAATAATTGAATTTTCTTGCGACTGGATTTGATGCTAAGAGTGCGGAACTCAAATCTGTGTCCTCATTCAAGGGTGCACCTACTGATTCTGACTTGGTGAGACCCACTTTCCCATTCTTAAGAATAGTTGGATCAAATTGACTGCTTTCCTGTAACTTCCTGCTAGTAATGAACTTCTCCATAAGTTCGTCAGATGCATCCCTATCTGGCTCTTCTTTCCTAATTTCATCCTCATCTTCTTGCTTGATCTCAGTTTTCTTCTGGGTCAAATTTGGAAAATTCCCAATTTTCTCATCTTCTTTCATAGCAAGTCTCGTTAGGAGAAAGGTATATCCGATATTTCCTCCTAAAGCTGCTTTCTGGGGGAAGGCGGCACATATTTTGACTTCATTGTCATTAGACAGGACATATCGAACAATAGCAATACTCTTCATTTCCAACAAGGATACAATCATTGAATTAAACAATATCTTATTCTTCCCTTCATACAGCAGATTTGGAACAACATAGAATGATTCATCAGTTAGATATGCCGATGGCAAATTATCATCAGGAATGAATCCCAATATATCAATTCCAGGGTTGGATAGTAATGTCGCCACTGTTTGTAATTCGGGTTGTAATGCAATCACATCCCTAGGAGAATATTTAAACCCGGGAGTCGTGTCATATTGTTCAATCTTCAACGTTTGAGACTCCTCTTGTTCTGGTAAGCCAACTTCACCTTCTAGTTCATCTTCATTTCCTGATTTGATGTAATATGTAGTAGAACGTTTTATGGTCGTGAAAGTTTCATTTTCTGTGTCGACATGATATTCATGTCCACTTGGAAGAGATTCCGATTTCACGGCTGGAAATACTTGAATCTCGATTTTTATACCTGCTTTATCAGTTGCTGGATCTGGTCCAAATGCTTCTTGATGGGTAGCGAATGTGAGTTTACCCGTACAGGCGTTTCTTGGACCAACTAATTTCAACGGTGGTCGGGTATGTGTCAATTGTTTCAAATCACGGACTTTGGAATATCCCCATTCTTTAGATATACGTTTCAACATATGGATTACTTTCTCTTTTGAAGTAGATTTGTTTACGTTTGAATCTAAATCACATATCCCCATTGTGATATCTATCTTAGCCAGTTCGATTGTATCTTTGTATAATTGCCAATCACTATTCATCAGACCATTCCCTAATGATAATTCTCCATTTGTCAATAAGAATAAATTTCTTATAAATTTCAAATGTAAATTCTTATCAAATTGATCCAATGCCAGTTTTAACGCGTCTGTAACATCATTTCGTCCATTTCCTAAATTACAATCTCTTTCATGAAATGATTTAACTCGTGAATGATAAAATCTTACTGTTTCTAAAGAAAGTGGCTTATTCTCATATAATTCTTCAATATGATTTGATGAAAATAAGATCAATCCAAATCTATCCAGTTTTCTATTCTTAAGTAATTGTCTTCTTAAATAATCAAATACAAATTCAGTACATATTTCAAGATCAGTGTTGTTTTGATTTTCTTGTGATGCTATATCCATAGATTTGGATGCATCGAGAACAAAAATCGTATACTCTTTAGACATTGGAGGGGGGCACAAGTGTTGGCTCGTTAAGTATTGCGCTTTTATCTGAAACGAAGAACCCTTTGTTGATCCTTTTTGCAATTTGTCAAAAACCTTTGTGAAACAATTAAAACAAAAGCAAAAATAGCAATTGATACTTAAAAATTAAATGTGTTTAGTAATCAGGGCGGAGCTGACTATCTTTTTGTAAGTATAACTTTTAAGGTTACGTTCAAAACCTTAAATATCTAGTTAGCAATTTTGCGTTAAGTGTATTTTTGGCATCACATCGTTGACGCGAAAAGGGCTGAATTTTTAAAAATTCGGGTGTTTTCAACTAAATTCGGTTATACTAAACTCATTTACTTAATTAAGAAACATAGAGTACAATCTAAAATTTGATTTTAATACTAAGTTTGAATTTCAAACAAAATTTGAAAGGAATATTCAAACGAAATGTGTCCATCTCTTTCGCCTGCTGCCCAAATGTGTCACATATCGACAGTTTATAAACTCTTTCTTTTAATGTTGCTTCTTTTTTGTAAAAACCAGACCCTGTAATTACTATCAAAGTAAGTTCCACTGTATTATTCTAATTTTTGGTTGGATTTTATCAATTTTTTGCTTCTCTTGTCATGTACAACAATTCCTGGGCGTACTATGGTCAACCCAATAACCGACGCACAGATGAGAGTAGGTTTCAAGGGATTATGCTGCTGCAACAACAACAACAACAACCATTGAGTGAGAGTCCCATGACAAGCTATCCAGGACAAATCTCACAACAAAGCCAACTTTCACAAAGACAAACGAACGAATCTCAAAGATTGAATCTTGCTGAGGATTTGTTTAGAAGAGATGGCGTTTCTCTGTCTCATCAATCACAACAACAACATCATCCTCATCAATCAGACAATTATTTTCAAAACATTTATCCAGGACAAACAATCACTAATCCAATTCTTCCGCTTAATACTCAATCACAACATCAACCGGCACAATCGCATGCTGGTCAACAACAACAACAGACATTCCAATCGGTGTCGACGGCACCAACAACTTATGCCCTATCTCAAACACAACAAAGTCAATATACACCCATGTCTCCATTCCCTGCTTTGACAGGTCAACGTTCTTATTATACCCAATCACAACCACAACAACCAATCATTGGTCAATCAAACCGGTCGCTTAGTTATTATTCACAAGACTTACAACAGAAATCACCACAAGGATATACCCAACGTTATGAATCAATAGATCAATTACAACAACCACAACAACATGACTCCAGGCTATTACCATATGGTAGAACATTGCTGTATCCCACTGAACAACAAAGAACTCCAATATATTCTGCTCAATCTATGACATATGGTCTGAATTTCTTATTTGGAGGTCGGTCAAGTATAGATGGTACTGCTAATCCAAGTGAATTAAGTACATTAGATCCTACCCCACAACATAGTTTCGAACAACTTGATGGTAGTGAAAGTTCTTCAAGTCATTTCAAACCTCCACAACCAAAACAGAATACTCGCCCTAGGATTAATAAACTTAGTAGTGAACAATATGTGGTTAAGACCACAATTAGGAAACCGACATTCAAATTAGGAGAATACTCCACTCGTGAACTTAAACAGATATTTTTTAATCATTGTGATATAGTCATTCATAACAATCATGGAGGAGATAGATCATTTTATTTTGAAAGCAAGATTAAAACTGATTTTGAATTACAAATGTTTGATTATTTTGTTAATTCAGTTTCAAATATAATTGATGTCTATTTTGATAAAAGGATCTATGCAGAAATCGTTTCCGAGATAGCATTGTTTGAAGAAACTAATATCATTTTAAATGCTATTTTCTGTTTAAGTTCTTTGATGTTACATAGATTAACTCCAAATAAAGTGGACCCTTCCCTTCCAATCAAATATTATCAAAATGCAGTGAAAATCATTAAATACCATTTGGAATCAAATCTACTTGAAGACGGAATCGCTTCAAGATGTTTATTAGCAACCAGTTTGTTATGTCTATATGAGTTTTTCTTTAGTTCAATTCAAGGGATTTATTTGGATAATGCCACCAATATCTTAGCATCTATAATAGGAGCTAAAACCAGGAATAAATCAAGTGCATTATTGGAATCACCATTCTTAGGTACATGTTTCTGGGGGATATTCTTAATGGGATTCATTCAATCTTTAAAAAATGGACAAATGAATACTTATTCAGTTGAAAAGTTTTGGAAATCATTGGATCTGGAATACTTTAAAATCTTTGATAAATATCTGTTATTACGAGAGAACGAATTTGGAAATGAAGTATTGGCTAACATGGAAACAGTTTGGTGGTTTAGAAAGACGATATTGAATTGTAGTAAGATTCTTGATTTCAAACATGAAATTATTGTGTTGTCAAAAGAAGATATTGAATCAAATAAGCAATTAATCAAATGGGTTGAATTAAAAAATATGATAATGAATTTTGAACAAAGAATACTGCCAGCTTTAGAACCAGTCGTGTATAAGCAACCTTCTAATGATGATGATGATGAGGACTGTTTCCCAATGATTTATTTCAAAGATGAACTTTCCGCATTGATTGGATTAAATCGACTGTTGGCCAAAATTCTTTTGTTTGAAAGTTTATTAAAAACAACCAAGATTCATTCACAAATGTTTCCACATCAATTAGCAAGATTTCCTCCTAATTATTGTAAGAAGTTGGCCAATGATATGATTGGAATCATTCAGACTTATGATTCAAATTTGGCTATTTGGCCTTTAAATTTACATATTATAAGACATGTTGGACATTATTTACAAGATGATCCAAACGTTGCCAAACAATTAGATTCACTTGTTGAAAGAATGTTAATGTTCTGTAAGTTGACCATCTAGGACTCTTCATCTTCTACTTCAAAGAGATATTTCTGTATTATTTGTTGTACTTTATATAATTATTTATGTGTAAAAACTATCTAATTAAAGTTTACGTTTATTGTTATCTATAACCATGACAAATAAATTTTGACATAGTAAACTCTAAAGCTTAACTTCCCAAGTTCTAATAGTTCCATCTAATCCAGAACTAACAAACTTCCCTTGTTTAGTTTCATTATCATATTTCAACCACTTCAAATTTGAAATACCTGATGGATGTGCCAATGGGAATTTAACAACCTTTGAAGGTCTATCTACTGAATATATAAACAACCCACTATCTAACCCACCACTAAGTAAGTACTTTGAGTCTGGAGTCCATTGAGCATCATATACTTTACTTGAATGGAAAGCCCAACGAGTTGTAATAACACTGGCATCTTCAGCTTTGAATAAAGTATATTTCCCAGCAGAATCAGCCACGGCAAATAATTCTTTATTTGGTGAAACTGTAATCAAGGTTGGTGGAGAACGCATTTTTGTAAATTGCTTATTGGTTTTAGTAATCGATCCTGATTCAATCTTGATTTCTTCAATGGTGGATCCGGTGGTGTTCGTTAATAAACAAGTTGAATCATTGATAGGTGAAATACAAGTACTACTGAAATCTAATGATAAGCTAGTTATCAATTCAAGTGATTCTGAATATAATTCCACTTGAGATTCATATAATACAAGTAATCCTGATGAAATGTGGGCTAATTGTCTTGGTTGAGAAGGCAATTTAACTGATTCGGTAACTTTTCCTTCTTCTGTCCATGACTTCAATACATCATCCCAGCCAACGGAATAGGTAGTGTTACCGACGACCAATACATCAACCACATAATTGGCATGAGCTTCATCCTGGTTTCCTTGCAATGTTGGAAGTGGTTGTAAGTTTTTCTCATCATCTAATTTCCATTTAAGTAATACACCATCAGCACTTCCACTGAATAAATTGGTGGCGGATTCATCAGTAGAAATCTTAGTTAAGGAATGTTGGTGTCCCTTGACTACTTGAACCAATTCCCCTGAATCATAATTAAAATAATTCAAATCACCACTAGCTGAAAGGGAAATGATATATTCCTTAGCCAATACTAGTCCAACTTGTTGATTTTGCACTGTACGAGTTTCACCCACAGTAAAAGTTTGAACACATTCCAGATTTGAAATATCCCATTTCTTTAAAGTATTATCAGCAGAAGCAGTAATAAAATATTTCGAATCTGATAACCAAGCAACCGCAAAAATTCCCCCTTCATGAGCATTTTCAATCTTACTAACAAATTCCCCAGTTTTCCCTTGATATACACAAATACTTCTATCAGAACCAACACTAATAAGATATTCACCATTTGGACTAAACTTAACATCCCTAACCACATTTGAATGATGTCCTCTTAAACTCTTATCAAACTTAAACGGAGGCCCATTGAAGAAAACCAAAGCATGGTCATCACTTACAGTAGCAGCACGATATGGTCTTTGTGATTTAATATCAACAGCATTAATAGGACCACTATGTCCTTGGATATCACCAATTGAATTCCCACTATCCCAGGAAAAACAATGGCCGAATTTCTCTTTTCCTTGACCAACAGCTATTATTCTGGCATTGTCGGCATCCCAAGCAATGGATCTGATTGGACCTGACATGACTTGAAATTCACTCTTGATGGTGGGGGGTTCAAATTTGGTTATGGTTTTATTATTTGGGTCAATTGAAGTATCCCAAATCTTGATATTTCCGGATTCATCACCAGAAGCAATATAATAACCAGATGGTGAGAATTTGACTGTCATGGTTGTGAATGTATGTTTACTAAAACAAATAACTGGTGAAGTTGAATTGAAATCTACTGGTCTAACAATTATCGATTTCCCATTAACATAAGCAATTCTATCATTTACAGAATCGTAAGAAAGATGAGTGGCTTGTCCTCTGGTTGTAGATGGATGAGGAACCGTAATTGAAACAGGATTAATCGACATTGTTTTGTAGGTTATCTAGTACAGTGATAGAGTGAATGTGTGGAATGGCAAATGGTGGTGGTTGTAAATTGGTAGATCTTTGAAAAACTAAAACCCTCGGAAGTCTTGTTTAGTCACGTGATAATTGTTAAAAAATTAAAAAATGGACCGTAAATTAAAAAAATTGAACCAACGAAAAAACTTTCAATTTTTAAGGAGCGTGAGAGGAGAGAGAGAGAGACCCGAGACAGCCTGGTTGACTAACAAAACAGAAAGTTTAACTTTGAACTTGACTCAAACAAGAACCCCCCAATTGAGAGATAAGAATCAAGAGCAATGATGATAAGAAGAGTGGCATGTATTAATAAGGGAAGTATCCGTTTAATATCCAAGTCAGCTATTAGACACAATGTTGCTTCAACTACAGCTGAAGCAAACCCTCAAACCAAGAAGAAATTTTCATGGTTTGGATTCCTTTTTAAAACTGGTTTATTGGTAGGTACTGTTTATGGTGGTACTTTATATGTTGCTACTAAGAATGATAAAGTTATGGATTTTGTTGTTGATCAAAAATTACCATATCATGAAGAATTAATTGATATAATTGAAACTACCACTTGGCAAGATGTTACTGATTCCTTTGATTCTATTAAGAATAAACTTACTGGAGCTAAATTACAAAAAGAATTTGAAGAGCTTACTGAAAGAATCGAAAAAGGAAGTGAAGATCTTATCAATGAAACTAGAAAGAGATTAGGAGGTGCTGCTACTTCTACTAAGGCTCCTTCTACACCTACCAAAGGTACTGATATAACTCCAGCTCAACAATTACAAAAGCCAGTTGAAATTGAATCAGTTAAGAAGACAAGAGATATTACTCGTTTACCTTTGATTGAATTAAATACTGAAATTGCTCAATCTGTTGATGAACATGTTAAAGGTACCGTTGCATCTTTTAATAAATTTATACAGGGTATTGATGCTAGTGCTGTTAGTTCTAGTAATGCCAACTTGATTAAAACTGTCAATGAAAATATTACTGAATTAGCCCTTAAATTAAATGCATTGACTAAAACTTTTGATGACGAATTACAAAGAAAATTAAAGGTTTCTCAAACTGATTTATATTCTTCATTTACTAAGAAGGAATTAGAATTGACTGAAAACTTATTAGAACAATTCAATAAGGAAAAATCACAATTAGAAACTAAATTAAATGAAAAATTACTTCATGAAATCCAAGCTGCTAGAGAAGCTATTACTCAAGCTGCTACTAATGCTGTATCCATGGTTAGAATTGAACAAACTAGGAAATTCGAAAAATTGATTGTTGATAAGATTGATCAAGAAAGAAATGGTAGATTAGCTAATTTAGAAAAATTGAATACAAGAGTTGAAGATTTAGAAAAATTTGCTGAAAGTGTTGAAACTCAACTTCAATCAAATCATAAGAAATCATTAATTCAACAATCAATTTCTAAAATTAGAAGCTTATTATTAACTGCTCCAAATTCAAATGAACAACCAAAACATTTACAACCATTTGTTGAAGATTTAAACTCTGTTTCTACTGATAATGAATTATTAAACTTGGCTTTGAAAGATTTAACTCCATTAATTTCAAATGAATCTTCTCAATCAATCTTAACCACTCCACAATTATTATCTCGTTGGGAACAATTAGCCCCAGAACTTAGATCTGCTTCCTTATTACCACCAAATGCCGGTTTATTAGGACATTTATCTTCCATTTTATTTTCCAAACTTTTAGTCCCAGTCAAGGGGGTTAAAGAAGATGGTAAAGATATCGAATCAGTTATTGCAAGAGTCGAATCTAGTTTAGCAAGAGGTGAATTGGATGTAGCTGTTGAAGAAGTTGCTAGTTTAAAGGGTTGGTGTAGAAAACTTGCTGATGATTGGGTGGTTGAAGGTAGAAAAAGACTTGAAGTTGAGTTTTTACTTAATTTGATTGAGTCTGAATCTAAAATAATGTAAATACTTTTGTATAAATTAAAAGCTGGCCCTCCAAAAGACGGTTAACCTGTTAACTGTGTTATCCGTGGAGTCTGTTTTTCTTGATTCATATTATTTAAGTCCTTAGTACTTTTTTTGTTTATATATTAATTAAATTATTCAGATTTGAATTTGTAATAATGTAGTAGGAACTTTCAATTGGTTCCCTTCTTGCCCAAGTAACCTAAAGTACTCAACTGACATTCGTCAGAATAACATTGGTTAGATCAATCTTGGCGTATCTTGTTAGTCATCGCAATGACTAAATATAAATGCGAGATGAGAGTCAAAAAAAATTATTTTCAATAGAGGTACCTCTACCATCAACTTCAAAGTAAGTCCACAATGAGTACCCCCAACCAAGCTATTACATATCTAGATTCCGAAGAGTCAACCTCATGTCAAAGATGTAAAACCACTCCAGCAATCTTAATCTCCAGAAAAGAGAAATTCTGCCAGAATTGTTTCATTCGATTCATTCGTGGAAAACAAAGAAAACAAATGCAAGATGATCAATATAAAGTAAAATACGGCCCCTTGGCTGAGAAATTAGGGAAGCAGAAAGTATTGCTTGCGCTATCTGGAGGAAGATCTTCTTTGGTTTTACTTGATGTGATTGCATCTTTATTACAGGAACAATATGCGGCTCATAAAGGAAATCAAGGGTTTGAATTGGTGATTGTTAATTTGGATGAATATGAGTTGGATAGTTTGAATAAGAAGGTTCAAGATGTTATTCCGGAATTGCTTGAGAGGTATAATCCTGTTAAATTGACTTTGAAGGTTTTGTCATTGAATTCATATGTTGATCAAGGCACCTTACAAAAGATTTCATTGAATCATGAATTCACAGGATTTATTAGTAGTATAAATAATTCAAAGGAATATACGTTGTCGGAATTATTGGATTTGTGTCCCAGCAAATCGTCAGCCGAGGATTTGCTTACGATAGTATATGAAGAATTGATATTAAGGACAGCATATAAAGAAGGGTGTCAAACAGTCATATATGGTCACAGTATGACCCGCATTGCTAATGAAATCATCGCACTTACAGTCAAAGGAAGAGGATCTATAATCCACAAAGCCATTGCTGATCATACTGAGAAATACCTCGATAAAGAAATCAAAGTCTTATTCCCTTTGAGAGATGTCTTATATGCCGAAATCCTAGCATATTGTGAATTGGCAGATTTAAATAAATATCTAATCGAATCCACAATTCAAAAATCAAAAATCACCAAAAATCTAACCATTCGAGACATAACCACGAATTATTTCAAACAATTAGATGCAACAGGATATGCATCCACTGCATCCACCGTAGTCAGAACCGGGGAGAAATTAGGCGCACCGAAAGATGAACAGGTCTTAGCCCATTGTCAAGTCTGTGGAGTTGAAATCTATCGAGATCCACGGGAATGGTTAAGAAGGATTACTGTGAATGATCCAGCACCTGTCGAGACTGAAGAAGAAAGAGAATATGTAGAATTGTATAAACGAACATTTGGCACTGGTCAAGAGGGAGAAATTGAAGGTGATCCGGTGAGTATTTGTTATGGGTGTATTGTTACTTTGGGAGGGGTGAAGCAGGAATCGGGGTTCGTTTGGCCGATAAAGTCTCATGAAGTGGAAGCTGGGGATAATAAAGAGTTACAATGGATCTATAGAAATGATGAACAAGAAAAGCAAAAGATTCTTGATGAGTTTATCTTGTCTGATGAAGAGGATGTATAAGCATCGACTGTATATAGAGGTTTATAATTAGGAATTCTTGATAGACTATATAACATCAACCTTCGTATAACTTGGAGTCTTTCCAATGGAAACTCTTACACATCGTAGCAACGAAAATTTATAGGTGGTAGCGCCCTTTAAGCTGGAGTTCCCAGATTTTTTTTTACAACCAAATAGATCGTTTAATTCAAAGGTTAGACTTTCAATTTGAACTCAACTGATATCTCTTTCTTCTTGATAAGGTAATATTGGTCTCACCATGTACTCGCCAGATATATTCCCTAAACATCTATATAGTTTATGGAATGATAATCCCAACAAAACGCCAATAAAATCATTAGAACAAGAAACAACCAAATCAAATCATCAACAGAATAATACCACCAATGGACTTCTCACCCGATCACTAGAAGCTGAACATCAAAATCAACGAAAACAATTACGAACCTTATTCTCACCCCCATTGTCTGCTTATTCTGCCGATTATCCCGGCGCCAGCTTATCACAACTAGAATATACGATCCAAACACTGGCAACTTCCACCTCTCATAATTTATTTCAATCACGACTATTGATTTCAGCTACTCCATTGGCACAATCGAAAATCGATCAATTGGAAAGAATACGAAACACGGGATATAATTCAATACGTCCCATTGGGATTGGAAGAACTTTGGAAGAATTGGATTTTGAAAATGCAAACGCTGCTGCTGCTGGTCAGTTTGGAGAAGTGAGTCAAGAAATTACATTTTCGAATTTGGCATCGGCAGCAGCGGTTGAGAACACGAATGAACAACTGAGTGTACTTTGGACATCAGGGATTAATACCAATGGTACTCGTGAAGAAGAAGGAGCAGCCGGTCCTGAGATAGATTTAGATGCCCAAGTATTCAATGCTGATGAATTCTCTGATGACGGCGTGAATGATGAGGCGTTTACTGATGATAGTGATGAGGTGTTGGACGCCCAAGAAAATGGATTAAGAAGAAGAGAAGGGGATACTGATTTGGAGAGTTATAGAACAAATATCGATGATGAAGATTTTATGGCTGCTGAAGTTGAATATCAAGATGATCATAGTATAAATTCAGAAATAAACACGGGTACTTATATGTTGATGAATAGCGGGACTAATACTACAAGTACAGCATTTAATTCAAATACAACCACTGGTAGGACGGCAAATACGAGTCCTACAACAGCTAGTGGAACTTTGGCTGGAGCTGCTAGTAGTTATAATATGAGTAGGATACATGAGCAAGGTGAGATTCAAGATGAAAATGAACCTGAATACTCGGAGCTAGACATGATAGTTGATGAATAGGTATATATATTGTAGGTTTATCCTTGGAAGGAATGTATAGGAGCATGTACATCTTTAATTAAATCAACTTTTGCATCTTGTAAATGAATTGCCGGAACCATCCATTTCCCACAAGAACAACGAGAACCTCTCCAACTATATCCTCCAACTTTGGAAGCACATTTTGGACATTGGAATCTCCCTTCTAGTTCTGCCTTATCAAGTTCTTCTTTCATCCATACCAAAGGTTCTTTAAGGAAATAATGTGAACATTTTGAACTTCCTTCTTGAACAGATATGATTCTTCTTGAATTTGGAGCGGTTTTTATGAATTGATGTTGACGAGAATCTGATTCTGGGATGGAATGAAATTCTATATGGGTGTTATTTGCAACTACTTGTCGACATCTCTTACATCTTAAATCAAACTTTTCTTGTTGCTCACCTGATTTCTCTTGTTGCTGTTTTCCAATTTCTGCTTTCTGCATCATTAATTCCCGTAATGATTGCCCAGTTGGGTCTATCTTAAGATTAAGCTCCACAAGATATTGTCTATATATTTCATTATTCTCATCCACAACACAATTCATTTCTTTATACAACTTCAATTGTTCCATAAACGCCGCATTCGGTCCCACTGCTGGACTTTTCCTCTTGACGGCATGTAAGGATTGTTCCAAACTAAGATTATATTTCTTCATCAAATATGCCATCACAATAGCAACAGATCTTGAAACTCCTTGTGAACAATGTATCAATACACAAGCCAGATGTTTCTTTTTATCCACCGAATCTTTGAATAATCCCGATTCTATAAATTCATAACAATCATTGAAATAGGGTAATAAATTTGTAGTTTCTTCATCGGTGACTTCGATTTGTTTCCAGGTATATGTGGAGGATGATGAGTATTGTTGTGGGATTGGGCCCGGGATGATGGATAAGATATGGGTTATTCCATATTGGGTTTTAAGGTCGAGTCCTTGGTTGATTGGTTCGATTGAGGATATATAGACTCCTCCTAATATTCTATAAACTGACATGATAATGAGGTGATGTGTGGTGTTCGGGAATGTAGAAATTTGTGATGAGGCTCACAAATTTTTCATATTTGTCTGCTTCCGTTTTGGGAATATTTTTTAGTAGCAAAGATTACGCGGAGAACAAAATTTTGCAGCTTTTTGAAATGGATTCTTGACAAATCAGTTCGACAATGAATGTGAAGCGTGGATACGTTATTTATCGAAACAATAGGAAACTTGGGGGGTTGAACGTTTCTCTAGAATTTCCTCGTGTCTGTCCGCATTTGTTCTTGTAAGTTGCTTTGAGAGATTTAGAAAAGTTTTTTGTCAATTTCTGCCAAAACTCTTTGCAGCAATCTGTGGAATAAAGAAGATGGGATGCAAGAGACAAACAAAGGTAAAAACTAGATAGAAGAGTCTTCTACTTCCACCAGGACGAATCTCAGCTATCATCCATTCTAAAAGCTAGAATGTATATATCTAGAGTGTTTATTCCTCAGGTTCTGCGTCACATTATGACTAGATGTATTCTTGCTTACAGACTTTCAGATAAAGCTATGGTTTCTTCATGTGAAACTATGAACCACCTCTCCCAAGAGCTTCCTGAATGAAATATCCCCCTTCGTCATCGTTTCAAGAAATTAATAAACTTCTCTCTACCAGATCATTATACTCTCGTCCACTCATCTAAAGTACGCAATCACTTAGCCATACAATACACCTCCCTTATCAGGATTCTTCTATCAGTAATGAATACCAAACCACCTTGCATATTTCCGTCATGTCGTATGCATGAGAATTGTGGCTAGTTATGATATTTTTTGCAAAGTCAAAATGCAGCCATACATAAATAATAAATTGCGCTTCTGTATGCCTAATTTGCCACACAGTAGATGTGTTTTGTAGTTAGTTGCATTATCACCGAGCTTTAGAGGGAAAAGTTTCCAAAAATGCAATTAATTATTGAATTAAATCATTCGCAACATTTTTGATAATCCACTAACAAAATCTAGTAGTGTACTAACCAAATTGCAAAATTGGCTGCAACATGATTCAAACTATCATAAGTTGAGTTGTGTTGTATTAGGGCGCAGTCCTTTCGTTTTCGTTAAAAGGGGATAGATTACTCTCCTAGAAGTCTGTGAGAGTTTAAGCCAATTCAGGGGTGTGGATTCTTTCGACTGGATTCTTAGAGTAGGAAGAGAGCTAAAAATAGCATACCATCATCGTGGCAGTTCTTTTAGGAACCACCATTTCAACAATACAGCCACTGCTTGGGATTATCATGCAACGAAAAGGAGGGGATAACTTCCTCAAAGGTCAAGCTTCAAACCAGCCTCAATTTCTAAACATCTACTACTGAAAATGTCTATTTATAGATACATCTCAATTAAACTAGAGTAGCCTTGGCATACCCTGCCTTAGATGGATTTAAATTAACATTCTCCGGGGATTAAATTATTTGCAAGACATTTAGATCAACATTCTCCGGAGATTAAATTATTTGCGAGATATCAGATGAACATTCTCCGGAGATTAGATTATTTGCGAGATATTCGTATCATGGCTGTGTATGTTTGCGGCGATTTTTTGCTTATCGGGTGCGGAAAAAAAATATAACCACGCGATTGAACCCTATGCCAAGAAAATCACGAATACATTAGAGGCCCTGGAACATTATTTATTTGATTTACGGTTCAAGTTAAAGCGTTTATTGATCTTAAGACATGTTGCAAGTGTATGGGGGCCAGTGTAAGATCTTCGGATTATACATAAAGCAATGATATAAAAAGGGTTAGATTTCTCTGATGATTTCAGTATCTTTTGTGAATATCCAACAATTAAACACACATACAAAACACTACAAAATGAGATACGCTGCTTTATTACCTATTGCCGTTTTAGCTTCCTCTGTTCTTACTGCAGAACTCCAAGAAAGAGAAGATTTTGGTTTTACTGACGACAACGACTGGTTCGACGATGACGATGACGGGTATGATACCGATAATGGCGGGCCACTTCCGAGCGCAGGAACTACGATTGGCCCAGTAGTTGTTCCTCAACCACAATCATCCGGAACTGTTGATGACAATGACGGGTACGAGACTGAAGACTGGATCGACACAGATGATGACGGGTATGATACCGANTATCAATATAAAAATGGTTAGATTTCTCTGATAATTTCAGTATCTTTTGTAGAATATCCAACAATTAAACACACACAAATAAACACTACAAAATGAGATACGCTACTTTATTACCTATTGCTCTTTTAGCTTCCGTCGTTCTTGCAGCCGAAATCGAAGAAAGAGAAGATGATGGTTATTATACTGACGACAGGTATGACACTGACAATGATGGGTATGATACCGATAATGATGGTCCATATGATCCTAGAACAAGAACTGGAACTACCGTTAGCACAGTAACAGTGACTCCACCACAAGCATCCAGCACTTCTGCATCTCAGACCACCAGAGCTGCTGACCCTCAAAATCAAATTAATGATGATGACGACCTTAATAGACAAGCTACTGTTGTCGTGACTACAACCACTAACTCCAACGGTGCTACCAATCTCAAAATGGATGGGTTATTATTTGTTTTAGGCATTGCTTTACTTTAGAGCCACAACACATCAATGTTCCCCAAAGAAACACCTACACTTCGAATTGTATAGAAACGAACTCTATATATATGTTTTGTATATATTAAAATGCAAAATGCTTGAAAAATTGAAGCACTATTTAACAATGAATATTTCTATAAACTAGCTTCGCAAGATGCTGGACCAGTAATATTACCCAACTTCTCACTAGAATCAATTGATTCTGCTTTACTTGTAGTATCAGCATTATCAATCTTATCAATCAATAATTTATCAATAGAATTTTTTCTACTATTATTACTATTACTACCTGTTTTATCAATTGAATTATTTCTACTATTGATAAATATTTTCCCATTATTTTCATATCCTCCATTACTATTTGAATATGTAGATAGCAAATCGGTACATAATTGATCATAATATCCTTTTAATTCACGAATTTCTTTGATCGTAAGAGTATCGAATTCAAGGTTTTGATATTTGGTCAATTCATACACATCAACAACCAGTTCTTCATGATTTGTAGCTAATGCTTCTAATTTTGGTTTTGGTTGTACTTGAGTTGGCGACTGTTGTGGAGCAAGCACTGGTTGGATAGCTGGTGCATTTGCATTCAAGTTATTAAACCATTTATCTAAGATTTGAAGACTGGTTGTTCTACTTCTACCTCCCTCTATCTTTGCAGTTGACGAGTCAGTAGGGCCCTGTGAGTCACCATTTTCAATGGTATGTAATGAACTGTTAGAAATATTCTGTTCATGATGTAAATTAGGTGTCAGCAGTGGCGCATTCAATTTCGTCATAAATTCAGAAACTCCCGTAGTAAATCTTGATGAGATTGAATTCTTCTTTGCATGGGTATGTATGGAACTAGCAAACGGATTCTGACTACCTAAACCTGTTTCCAAAGATGATGAACGAGTTCTTGTATGGCTTGGAGATATTCTGCTCATAAGGGTGTTGGATCTCTTTTGAGGCGTGATTAATGAGGTATTGGTAACATTTCTGGCCTCATTTTCCTGATCAACATGAGTGAGTGGATTTTGAACTTGCAGTATACTGACAGAACCAATTCTTTCCAATATATTCTTCATCATGGCGAATCCAGTTTTCTCGCTGGCATCATCATTTCCCAAACTAGGGAAAGTTTCCTTTTGTTTTAATGAACTATTGGATCTAGAACGAGTTTCGCTGATTTTGTGAGTAATTGTACTAAGGAAAGAAGATGATCTGGACCTATTAGTTGCTTCTTTGGTTTCCTCCTTCTGCTTAATTTCCTCAGCTAGTTCTCCTTCTGGAAATTGGAAATGGGACATTAATTCTTCATCCACTAAAGCTGAAATAGGATAATTCAAGACACGACTCTTTCTCATGTCACTATTGATTACTCGATGTGCTTCTTCATTATTCACCAAAAGTTCCTTTATAGTAGTGTTTGATAAATATACAATGATAGCTTCCAAATTTGTCAAATAATAAAATAATTCTCCGGTGTTTAAATAATTCTGATTGATATATGCTATTAATTCCTTATCATTCTCAAAGAATTTAAAATCATCATTGGTAAGGAAATCTTGCTTTTGTGGAATTACATCCGACTCAGTTAAATTTAAAAACTCTATAAATGTTGATTTCTTACATTTGGTTGTAGTTGTTGGTGGACGGTCCTGACTTGGATTATATGATGAATTCAAACCCACTGGATATAATTCTATAATATTGGAGTCCAATGTGTTTAGGAAATTCTTGATAAATAAGAAATTTAAATAAAGCTCTTTGTTATCTAATTTATAAATCAACAAATAAATCAAAGAAGGTAATAATAAATCATTATTAATCTGTTTATTCTTGAGCTTCTTGCTCACAAATAACTTAATAAGATTCTTATGCAAATTCACAATTGATACTAATTTAGAATACGGAGTCACATTTCGACGCAATTCTGATAAATTTTCTTGTAATGCTGACAAATCTTCTGATTGAATATCATCCATTATCTCCACAATACTCCCTTGGTCACCTAATTCTGGATCGATAAAATGTTTAAATGATAATTCTAGTCTCTTTAACTTATCTAACTTTTCTTGTAAAAATTCCAGATATATAATATCTTTTTGATCAAATTTGAAAATCCGTTCATATAATGACACATCATCACCTAAACTAACTGAACTAAAAAGTTCTAATTGTGCTAAATGTATCGATTGGAATATCACCAAGAACTTATAATAATTAAATATCCTTAATTGATACAACGCGTCATCATCGGTTCTTTTCAACATTTTTACAGCAGAAGTGCTATAATTAGCAATAGCCAATAAATAATCAAAAACTTTCGGATTATCATTAAAATAATCACAATTTGAAATCAACAGTTTCTTAGTTGAATTAGATTGTGTATATATTCCTATTGCCAATACATTTAAATCTTGATAAAAATTATGAAATAATTTGGATAATTCGGATACTGTTAATGGCGCTTGATATCTTGGTTCTTTTAAATATTTAAGAAATAATTGAATTAAGGTTTGTATTTTAGGATGTAATGTCAAATTCAACTCTACATCTTCTCGTAGAGCCTGAACTGACTTATAAGGTGGTATCAGCATGTCCCCGTAGTATACCTTTTGCTTGATGTTGGTTGTGGGAAAAGGGGCTGGTGGATTGTTCAAAAAAAAAAAAAAGAATTTAGACAACAGTTTTTATAAACTGACAGTCTTATCGCAAATACTCGTAAAGAATAGACCACATAAAAAATTATGAGAGAGTGAGACTGTAGGTGGGGATGGGGAGGGGTGTGTGCGAGTGATGAGCCGGAGTTTTTGGGAAACAAGAAAAATTTGACACTCCTCCTAAAATGTCATAGGATAAATTTCTTAGTATGGCATCTATACAGTCCATAACTAACCACGAGTTGGAGCATTGGAGAAGCTCGAGTAGTCAAGTTGTGTTTACAACAATCGAAACGAGGGAGCACTCCAAAAAAACAAAAAAATTAAGGGATTGTTTAGAGTTATTTATTAACAATTTTTTAAGATTGGTCATTCATAAAATTGGTCAATTGAATTCAAATAAAGATATATGAACGCAATACTTTACAACTTTTACAATTGACTTGGTTATCAGATATTTTAGCTTTCTACAAATGAATTAGAGATGACTTTAAAAATTCTAGACTCATTGTTTCTGTTTGCATTACGTATTTTTATGGGGTCGCTTAACAAAAGAAAAGAAAAAATTAATTTAAATTTTAATGAAGTTTCTTTTTCTGAAAACCCTAATTAACAATTTTATGTTTTAAGAATTTCTGTGCAAAAAAATATAGCGAACCAACCAATTGATTCAGATTCTATTCAATATTGACGTTATAACATTGATTCAAACGAGGAAGCAAAAAAACAATGATTCTGCCCAGGATCGAACTGGGGACGTTCTGCGTGTTAAGCAGATGCCATAACCAACTAGACCACAGAACC